GAACACTCTGAAATCGACCTTTCGCCGCAATATATGCATGTCCTCACTGCCCTCCGTCCCCTGTTCAACGTCTCGCCCACTGATCCTTCAGCGAAACTCAATGCAAAGGACAATGCTGCCGGTGCTGTTTCCCGTCTCATCATCCGCAACACTGCTGCCGTCCCTCTGGACCAGGTTCTTCCTGTGTTGATTGGCAGCCTCCCGCTCAAGACCGACTACCTTGAGAACCGCCCAGTTTTCCGCGCTATCTTCCATCTATTCCGCACGAACCCCCAGTCGCTCTTGCCGTTCATGGATCAACTGCTTGCCGTGTTTGCTCATGTCCTTGATCCCAGTGGACCCGAGCAGATTGGCGATGAGACAGGGGCTGAGCTGATCGCGTTGATTGGTATATTGAACGCAGAAGATCCAGGGAGAATCCAAGCAGCGGGGCTCAGCGCCTTCACAGGAGCATAATCCATTCATATTTCTTTTCCATCATGCACTTGTCTTCCTTTTATCACACTACAACGCTTGTCTTTCGGATTCCATGTTTCAGTCCCTTCCGCTTTCGTTGATTTAGATTACTTACAGAGTTACTTCACATGCTATCTTCAACATGACTCATTTGTTCACAAGGGTAAACCGTAATATGGATTTGATAAATGTTCACACTACCTATAGTCGTGACGCGTTGTTTTTGCGTATTTGTTAGTTCCCTGTCTCAATCAATCATCATTGGCTTTCCAACTGACCGATTAAATAATTCGAAATCTGAGCTCGCTGGCCGACTCGTCTTCCAACGTGCGTCGTCGTCGCGCCTTACGACTCCCATCACTATGATTGTCACTCTTTTAACCCTCCTCGCTGCCGTGTCAGCGGGTCGCGCGACAGTAACTGTCGACAATCCGCTGGATGGCCAACTGCCGCTTATTGCTCGTGTTGGCGAAAACTACACTTGGTCCTTCAGCCAGTTCACGTTTTCAACCGACCTGGACCAGGCTCTTTCATACACCGCTTTAGGCCTACCGAGTTGGTGCTCGTTTGACAACGCAACTCGAACGCTCTACGGCTTGCCTTCTGCTGCAGATGAGGGCACGCCGCAGGTCACCATGAACGCCTCAGACTCTGAGTCCTCGGCAACCTCATCGTTCTTCATCTGCGTCACGTCCTATCCTCCTCCGACGCTTGAAATTCCTCTACAAAAGCAATTCTATGCAGGCAGCTCCGCGCTCTCATCGGTGTTCTTTCTATCCCCTGGATCGGCTCTTGAAACGGACGAGTTTGTATTCAGGGTCCCATCTCAGTGGTCTTTTAGCATCGGTATCCTCAGTGACACGTTCTCGGCCCAAAACGATCTATACTACGCGGCCTTACAAGCGGATGGAACACCTCTTCCTGAATGGCTTACATTCAATACAAATACTGTGACCTTCGACGGAGTAGCGCCATCTGAGGCTAATCTACCCACGCCTTGCACCCTATCTATAGATGTCCATGCGTCTGATCAGGAAGGCTATAGCGCGGACACTGTTTCTTTCGACCTTGTCGTGGCTTCTCACGAGCTGTATGCACTATCAACTCTACCCACTGTCAATGTCACAGCCGATTCTCCTTTCAACTTCACGGTCATGGCTGCTGCCGATTTTACTGGTATACTGGTGGATGGGCAGCCTCTAGAACCTACAAACGTCACCGGTTTGTCTATCGATGTGTCTGCGTACAAAAACTGGCTTCAGTACGATGAGGAAAGTAGGACGCTTTTTGGGATCCCGCCAACTGGACTTTCTGTAACGAGCGCTACGAACGGAGGACCTGTCCTGCCTGCCAGGCTTACCACTGACTTCAATCAGACCTTGGACACGACGATCTCTCTGGCAGTTGTGTCATCCTACTTTTCTGCCTCAGACCTTGGAGTCATCAATGCGGATCCAGGGCAGCAAGTCCGCTTCAATCTGGCTCAATTCTTCTCTAACAAGGCCGATACTGCCCAAAATCACAACGACGTCAACCTTAGTGTTACCTTTTTCCCCGATGCCAGCAATTATTTGAGCTTCGATCCGGTCTCTGGGGAACTGTCCGGACAGATCCCGGGCAACTCACAAGTCCCAAAGATTGTAGTCACCTTCATCGCCTACTCCCATGTCACGCACTCCACTTCCCACGCAACGCTATCCGTGGTATCTCCACAGAAGGAAAATCAGAGCCAGGGACTAGGAACGGCGAACTCGGGGGGGGCGCCAAACAACGACTCTGATCTTGTCTGTCGTTTTTGGTGTAATCGGAGGCCTGCTTTTCCTTGGCGTCGGTCTGGCCCTCTTCAGGCGTTGCGCAAGGGTTCGAGACTCGGCCTTGCTAGGCGAGGAAGGCGCATTCGCTTGGTCGGATGCGGAGAAGAGGTACTACGGGATGGCTCCCGTTGAAAACAATAGCCTTCGTGAGGAAAACAAGAGTTACGGCTGGTCCAAGGAGGCGGACACGAGCGCAACCTCAGAGAAAGGCAGTCTTGAACTCAGCCAGCGGCAAGGGAACCCGTTTCAGCCCATTGAAAATCCGCCGTCGAACACATACGGAAATCTTGGACTTGGCCTCCGGCGTGTTGTTCCTCAAACGCCTTCGACTGTTCACGCTGATTGCAATGGTGTCATGAAGAAAGCGGAGTTCCTTGGGCGGATTAAGGAGACTGCAAGGAACGTGAGCGACAAATACAAGCGCAAGGCTGCTCCAACAAGGCCCGTCATCGGTTACCCTACGCCATTGACATCAAGACATGCACGTCAGGGCGTGGATGGGCTTCCTCTAGAAGGCGACTACATAGATATCAAGGCCACCCCATCTTCACAAGATGTACGCGAAAATCCCTTCAACGATTCGGAGTTGAAGGTGAAGCGAGTGAGTACGATGACTAGTTTCATTAGTTCTCCGTCGAACTCTACGGATGAGAGGTCTATCCCACGAAGGCGAGCCGATTTTGCACCTCCAAGGTCGCCGCGGGGCCCGCGAGAGCCATCACCTGCTGCTGTCAAGGATTCCGCTCGCAGAAGGTACATTTTTCTTTTCGTCGTATCGATTTGATATTGACTGGAAGCATCCTTCAGCATTATCAGGGAAAGCCTACAGAGCACAAGCATCGTTTCCTATGAATCACGTCCTGAGACTATCCAGACTATTCACACCGCCGAGGAGAAGCCTCGTCTCAAACAGTTCACAAATTCTTCCCGAGTTCCTCCTCCGCGGTCTCCATCTAGTAATCAAACAACGCTAGATGTATCCCCGGGAACCAGAAGAATCGCCAGCCAGACAGCAAAGGTCTACCAAGAAGGACGGGACGCGCACCACGCTAGTATTGATGAGCTTCGCATGGGCATGCATTACGTTCGCACGCTCGGAGAAGGCTCATCGAACGTGCGCTCTGTATCCGACGAGTCATTCTCGTCGCTCGCGTCTTCTCAGCCTGTCGGTGTGGGGACGGAAAACACCGTCTCTCGATTCATCGTACGGACCGGCGAGAAGTTCAAGTTCCGCATTCCCATGAAGTCCATCAATGGCACATATCGCAAGTTGGAGGCAAAACTGATGTCGGGGCAAGCTCTCCCACACTTCCTGCAGTTAGAGCTGAAGGGGCACGGCGGTAACGACAAGAGAGTGGTCGAGTTTTATGGGATTCCTACAGAGCAAGACCTTGGGGAGATACAAGTGGGCGTATTCAATGCGGAGGGTGGGGAATGTCTTGCAAAGGTGATCGTTGAGATAGTTGGAAGGAATAAAAGGTCTCCGCCGTTGACAGGGTGAGCCGGCTCACATCGTGTCGTACTCGATTTGTCCACGCTTCATGGCTTTCTAATGGACCAGTGGACTTGGTATTATTTGCAATTCTATGTACCTTAGATTTGATTCATTCACCTTCTTTCCACGGTGTGCATGCAAACATAACGCCGTTGCCGGACACCCGCAGGAGCGCTGTCATGAGATCCATCGACCTGCCACGGACAAGGTCACGCTCTGCGATGATTGCACGTCATGATTAGTGTTACTGCCATCAAATACCTGACATATTTAAAGACATGTGTGCATGTCTTGGCTCAACTTGATTCCCAGACATTGCGGACTAGAGACTTATCAACCAATGTTCGTTTCATAAGGGTGATCTTCCACGAAAGTAATGGTAATGAACAGTCTGTACACGAAAAGCGGGGACATTACAGGTGTGCGAGGCAAATGCGGATCCAGAGGAACGTACAATACACGTGGTGAAAAGCAGTTAGTCGTGTCTGTCTGTACTACAATTATTTTGGTTAAAGGAACGCGCGATCTGGGGTAAGAAAACTCACATTGATCTATTCAACGTGGATCTACAGTTGTTTCATGACTTCCAGATGAGGATAGCAAGCGATCCGACGTAGAAATAGATAAAGTGCTTGGTTTCTGGAAAAAATAACTCAGATTAGATTCCTTCCCGCGAGGGACAGAAGCGTAAAAAATTTGTAGGAGATCGATGAAAGCAAACAGGTTGCATAAACACCACGTCCGGCGATGGCCCAGCATCACAACGCACAAAAGACATACCATGAGTCACGTAGCTGCCAAAGTTCTTTCCGACAACAACGTGCCACGTAGGGCCATGTCGTCTGTCGAACTCTTTCTTGATCTGTGCAGCGATGTCCTTCTCTATGTTATATTTCTCGAGAGCAGCAGATGCGATCTCAACGCTCTCTTGCTGCATCTCTTCAGTCATATCCACGTTCTTGATGATAGCCTTGGGCCCGCCGGCAGAATTGTGTTCTCTGGGACTGGAGCCAGTGTCGGTAGATGTTACTGCGTTGTCTGCCATGGTAGTGAAGTAAAGAAGAGAGTAATCTGGAATGTTTTTTCAGCTTTGTATGAGTTTATATATGTCTTAGATAGGCCTGCCTTGAGTTTTTGGGCGTACAGGTGGCTTGGCGTGTGGTTGAAGGGAGAGATCGCGCTAGAAAGTGCTGTTGACTTTAATTTTTGCACGTGGCTAAAATGGGTTAACGTATCATCATGTTTATCTGTACCACATGCTCTCCGCACGCTCCTTCAATATTTCAATGACTTATTAGGAATAACTAATCTCCAGATCCCATAGTTGCCGTGAGCTAGTCCAGGATGTTGCGTTCTCGCACCTTCATTTTACCCTTGCATGATGGGTTTTGGTCAGTATTCTATTGACTTCTAATCGGTATAGGCTGTGTCCATCGCAGGGCGTGCACATGCAACAGAACCTTCATCACAATCAGCATGTGGATTCGAAGGACATCCCGTCCCTATCTCCGCACTGCGCAGGGTACACGCAAGTCTAGTATGTGTTCTTGTCGGTTCCCATTGCCCACTGCTTTACGGTATTCCCCTCGGACCACTAGTCGATTTGGAAGCATGTTCTCGCCAGGTGCCGCCGGCTTCGCTGATAGTAAATATACAAGGTTTTGATTTTTCCAATTGTTTGCATGGAACTGCTTTCCCTTTAAATTTGGTTGTCTTATGCTTGTTTTATGCGGAAAGCTCTTCTCGAGCGCCTAAGCACATTTCCCTTGCCCCACAAAGGATGGCTACTGCAATGAGGCGAAACCACCAGCTCACACGCCAACCCTGGTTTCGCCAACCTTTATTTCCGTTGACCTGCATGCGCGCATCGCGCTTCGTTGTGTCAATAAGTCGTACGTATGCCGCACTGCATCCTGCATTTGATATATCGTATTCACGTCTAATATTGTTCCACGCCAAATCTCAGTCAGGCCCGGGGACACACGGAAACTCAGTGTACACGCAGCACCGACCAGGACAAGGAACCACAGCAAATGGTCACAGGAGAGACAGTTGACGCCCATCCAGTCTATTCTTCCCAACCTGGGGAACCCGCGCTTCTCTTGATCAAAGGCGTCGAGACGGTAACTACTCGATTGGATATCGATGTCACTAGCCCGGTGGGTGCCTAAAGATTGTGGAAAGCACGCTCAAATTAGATAACTTCCCGCAGGCCCAAAAAATGTGGGATAAATTAATTTTGGAAGGTCTGCCGCTTGAAATTCAGTTCTCGTACAGCAAAAGCCAGTGTTCAACGTTCAATGCTGAATATCATGGCCAATGGCAATGCACTTCCAGCTTGTCGTACCGATTCAAAGGGGCAGCACGACACTCACGGTTTATGACCTGATATGGATTCCCTCCTTTTTGATTTGTTATCAAACCATGCACTATCCTATCTCAGTCTACGGGGAGCCATCTAATATCTAATATTATGCCGCAAGCTAACGAAGAACACATTCAATATTTCGACCTAAGTTGGCGTACTTGACACTTCCGATCCAGTGAATACCTTCTGAACTCAGTGTGCTCGCCGTCGTCTACCTTCTCAATCCGCCAGGTGCTTAGTGGCAAGCCAATTCGGAAGACAGCATGGCACGTCCAATTTGGAAGACAGCGTGGCACAGTGTCACAGAGTAGAACCCATGTCTCCAATGGCACTAATTCCAGCTCATGCATGATTACCAATTCGCCCGGGCCGGTCACTCTCATGTGACGTCATGTGCATTGGTATGCATCCAGTGACCTTATCTTATGGTTGTGTTGTCTGCATGACTTTCTGACGGCGGGAAATTCGATTCTCTTCCTATCTTCATGGACCAAACAGCACAGATAGAGCGAGAGCCTTTCGCTGACGAGAAGGCACCTTCCACTGTCCAAAACATGCACTGGAGAGCTAAGGCAGATCCAGAGCTTGTATGGCACGCAACTCAAAACTACAAGCGTCAACGCAGCACTGTCCGATCGAAGATCCTTGGTTTTGCATGTTTTTTGGGTCTTGCATTGTTGTCCCATCACTTCTGGCCATCTCTTACAACCAATGCCTTCCCCACTCACGAGAGCCAGAGGTTACTTGCTGTAGCGGATGAGATGTGTCCGCAAGTCTCTGCTATCACACCTTCGAGCCACGCGCTGCTAGTCGACTCTCTCGATAAGGAGTACGGAACCAAAGAGTTCAAACTAAAGGCATACGAGTCACTGGGAGGCGCCGTAAGGATTCCGTGCGTACTCTTGTCTTGGGGATCGTTTCTTTTTCATTCAAATTGTTATAGGACCGTGTGCTATGACGATCTTGGCACTCCAGAAGAGGACCCGCGATGGAAGGTATTCGATGAGTTCCATACCTACATCGAACAGCGTTTCCCAAAAGTGTAAGTAGCATATATCGGTTATACTAAAGCATCACTAAGAGCAAAACAAGCCACGCCTCTCTACAGCGCACCAAGATTGCGACCTATGCACTTGTCTATCACTGGCAAGGAACAGATACGTCTTTGAAGCCACTTCTCTTGGCTGCGCATATGGACGTGGTCCCCATAAACGCTGCAACTGAAGCTGACTGGATCAACCCCCCTTTTTCGGGTTATTATGATGGTGAGTGGATTTGGGGGAGAGGCAGCTGCGACGACAAGTCTGGAGCCATCGGCATCATGTGCGTAGTAAAGAATAGCATAAGCGTCATCGCGATGCTGAACGTTAGGATAGGACTGCCATCGAGACTCTCCTTGAGCAAGGGTTCAAACCTACAAGAACCGTCGTCTTAGCTTATGGCATCGACGAGGAGCGTGGTGGCCCAACTGTAAGTGCATTTTTGATTTGACTGAGAATATTCCAATGTTGTCATAGGGAGCTGCAGCAATTGGAAAGTATCTCGTAAAGACCTATGGAGAAGATTCCATCTCAATGATTGTCGATGAAGGAGGTAAGATGACTTTTCGATCGAGTTGCACTCGAGTTCTTAAATCCATAAAGGAAAATACTCAGACTTGAGCGGTACTGTGTTTGCAACTCCCGCAGTTGCTGAGAAAGGATACTTGGACGTTCGTGTGGATGTTCTCACACCTGGAGGGCACTCGAGCAGACCTCCGAGACATACTGTAAGTACACCGCTGTACACACGCTGTACACACAGTGACATGTCTCATGGTGCGCAGGGCATTGGTATCCTCGCCGGCGTTGTCACTGAGCTCGAGGCGAACCCACACGTCCCGAAGCTTGCACGCGACCGAACCTACTATCAGGGTCTGCAGTGCAGGGCAAAGTACGATGCTGGGTTCCCCTCTGATATGCGCAAACTTGTCATCGAATCGCAGACTAGCGACGAGAAGTTGCATGAGCTGGAGACAAAGCTTGACGATTTCGACCCAGAATACTCTGCTTCGGCAGGTACAACTCAAGCCATCGGTAAGTAAACAAGGTCATCTCACGTTGGCAGCTTGAAGGAACAGTTGGTCAGACATCATCTACGGTGGCGTTAAGATCAACGCACTGCCTGAAGCTGTTTACGCCATTACAAACCACAGAATCGCAGATCACAGGTATGCGAACGCAGGCCACTATCCAGACCAATCCACTTACAATGAACCAGCTCTGTTTCTGAACTTCAAGACCGATTTGTGAGCATCGTCGCACCTGTTGCGGCAAAGTACAATATGTCTCTGGATGCATTTGGGAAGCAAATCAACCCCGAGGCATCTACATGGGGTCTTGTGAAGGTTTCAGAGGCATTCGGCGCGGGATTAGAACCTGCACCTGTCACCCCAACTACCGGAAGCGGGCCATATGAACTGCTTTCGGGTACCCTCTTGTCCACGCTGAAGACCAACCTCCGTACGGATGACTTCCCCGAGTTTTCCGTCGTGTCACCTGGCCTTTCCCTAGGTAGACTAGCACTTTAATACTCTATATCGGTCGATAGCTAACGTATTCATCCGATAATCGCAGGAAACACGGGTGGGTGGCGCTTATGACGAGAACACGGAGATAATCTGAACATGCGTTTTCCAGACACAAGGCATTACTGGAGCCTTACCAGACACATTTTCCGATATAACCACCGTGGTGCCACTGATGGCTACAATGGCGCGCATACCATTAATGAAGGTAAGCAGGCTGCCGCACTACCTGCTGTTTTACTCAATAACACGGTGGTCTCGATTCTAGCCATGAGAGCAGAGGGCTTCTTGGAACAAATTCGCTTCTTCACGAGGTTGATTCTGAACGCTGACGAAACTAACCTCCTGGAGTAAATCTAAGCGCAGCGATGGGAATGGAATCTAGAAATAGCCCCTATGTCGCTTGTTTTCATATGGCTCTTTCAAAGAGTGACTTCGCTTAGTAGCCGCGTGTGATCGTTTAGTTTTAGTAGCTAGTTATCATGTAAGATAGGAAGTCGTGTGTTGATTTCAGCGCATGGAACAAACGAATAAACGAATTTCGCATGGAAAACTTTCGTTGGGGACTTCAAGTTGGGGAGTTACATAAATATTGGTGTTCCCGCCCCCCCGTAGCAAGTCTTGCGAAAAACAAGCATGGAACGTTGAACGTCAACGTTGATGACTCTGACTCCGACGCTGTCGTTGCCGTATCGGCCTGTTCTGAAACCAGTTTCAAGACAAGCTAGCTACTCTCGATAAGATAACCATTGACGCGGGATATAATTGATTATTACGTAACAAAGTAGATACTTTGGGGCTCAGTAAAAGAAGTAATAAAATACTTGACAAGCCCCATCATATCTTCGTCTCGCTTGCTTTCTCTTTCCTCCCATCATCATCTCCCATCTCTGGCAGCCCAGTCTGCCGGTGAATTCAATTCATTCAATAATCAATAACTGGTGGCAACGATGTCAGCTTACGATCACTCAAAAGTAGCCCACTTCATAGGTACGCGTCCTATCACTGAATAATAAATAACGCGTTTTAGATGTTGATCTCATTTTCAGGTGGGAATTCACTGGATAAGGCTCCCGCTGGCCGTGTTACGGACTTTGTAAAGGCTCATGGAGGTCATACTGTCATCACGAAGGTGGGTCTTTTCACGGGTTCTTGAAACTGTTTCATTTGTTTTACCAAACCCCATTCATCCCTTAAATGATTTTTAATATAATTCTGATCAATCCCTTGTCTTTTATAGGTACTTATTGCAAATAATGGTACGTACCAACACAGGGCATACTGCAAAGGTTAACTCACGTTACACAGGCATCGCGGCGGTCAAGGAGATTCGATCGATCCGCCAATGGAGTTACGAAACATTCGGAACGGAGCGAGCTGTCGAGTTTACAGTTATGGCAACTCCTGAGGACCTCAAGGTAAATGCTGAGTACATCCGCATGGCGGACCAGTACATCGAGGTTCCAGGAGGATCGAACAATAACAATTATGCCAACGTTGACCTTATCGTCGATGTTGCCGAGCGTGCTGGCGTGCATGCCGTTTGGGCAGGATGGGGTCATGCGTCTGAAAACCCTCGACTACCCGAGAGTCTCGCTGCGTCGAAGAACCGTATAGTATTCATCGGTCCCCCAGGAAGTGCCATGAGGAGCTTGGGAGACAAGATATCAAGTACGATCGTTGCTCAGAGCGCGGATGTTCCCTGTATGGCTTGGTCGGGCTCTGGTATCTCGGACACTACCTTATCAGAGCAGGGTTTCGTGACTGTTCCCGACAAGGCGTATAAGAACGCTTGTATCACAAATGTCGGGGAGGGTCTCGCCAAGGCTGAGATTATCGGATATCCAGTCATGATCAAGGCCAGTGAAGGCGGAGGAGGAAAGGGCATTCGTAAAGTCGATCATCCGGATGCGTTCAAGAATGCATTCCACGCCGTTGCAGGAGAAATCCCAGGTACGATGATTTAATCCGACTTGAGCATCCCCTAACCTACCTTCTTCAGGATCGCCAATTTTCATCATGAAGCTAGCTGGTCAAGCACGACACTTGGAGGTTCAGTTGCTCGCCGATCAGTATGGCAATGCCATCTCTTTATTCGGGCGTGACTGTTCCGTTCAACGTCGCCACCAGAAGATTATCGAGGAAGCCCCCGTAACCATTGCAAAGGAGGATACGTTTGAGCAGATGGAACGTGCAGCCGTCCGGTTGGCGAAGCTAGTCGGATATGTCAGCGCAGGAACGGTTGAATGTATGCGCATTATCTATACCGGCTCTTTCAAATTCGCTAACTCATTCCCCTCTAGATCTCTACAGTCACAGGGAGGATGTGTTCTTTTTCCTTGAGCTGAACCCTCGTTTGCAAGTCGAGCATCCGACGACTGAAATGGTTTCCGGCGTCAATTTGCCTGCTGCCCAACTACAGGTAGCCATGGGTATCCCTCTCCACAGGATCCGTCATATCCGCACTCTTTACGGCGTGGCTCCCAATGCCTCGTCCGAGATCGATTTCGACATGGTGAAGCCTGAGTCGAATCAGCTTCAGCGCAAACCGCGTCCCAAGGGTCATGTCGTTGCAGTTCGTATCACTGCCGAGAACCCTGACGCTGGATTCAAACCTTCATCTGGATCTCTCCAAGAGCTTAACTTCCGTTCCAGTACGAATGTGTGGGGTTACTTCTCCGTCAGCACTGCGGGTGGTTTACATGAGTTCGCTGATTCTCAATTCGGTCATATTTTCGCGTATGGCGAGGATCGATCCGAGAGTAGGAAGAACATGATCGTCGCACTGAAGGAGCTTAGCATTCGTGGTGACTTCCGAACCACTGTCGAGTACCTCATCAAGCTCCTTGAGCTCGAGGCGTTCACCGAGAACACCTTCACAACCGGGTGGTTGGACACCCTCATCAGCAACAAGCTCACCGCCGAGCGTCCTGACGCTACGCTTGCTGTCGTCTGTGGTGCCGTTACGAAGGCGCATCTTTCTGCTGACGCTTGCACCAGCGAGTACAAACGCATCCTTGACAAGGGTCAGGTTCCTGCTCGTGACCTGCTCAAAACAGTCTTCGGCGTTGATTTCATCTATGAGAACACGCGGTATAACTTTACTTGCGCACGCTCCTCCAAGAATATGTGGACGCTGTTCCTGAACGGTGGCCGGACCATGGTTGGTGCTCGTCCACTGGCTGATGGTGGATTGCTCGTCTTGCTCGATGGCCGGAGTCATTCCGTGTATTGGAGAGAGGAAGTAGGCGCGCTGCGTCTCATGGTCGATGCGAAGACATGTTTGATTGAACAGGAGAATGATCCCACGCAACTCAGAAGCCCGAGCCCTGGCAAACTTGTCAGGTTCCTTGTCGATAGCGGCGACCATATTAACGCTGGCGAGACCTACGCAGAAATCGAGGGTAAGTCTTTTATAGTATGAACGCGATGTTTCAGCGCCTGAGCTAGTTGCCTCTAGGTCATGAAGATGTATATGCCACTCGTAGCTGCTGAGGACGGCATAGTCCAGTTTGTCAAGCAGCCTGGTGTCAGCCTTGAGCCCGGTGACATTCTTGGCATCCTTACTCTGGACGACCCAGCCCGCGTCAAACACGCTAAACCCTTCGAAGGCCTCCTCCCTCCTATGGGTCTCCCTGGCATCATTGGCAACAAGACCTATCAGCGTTTTGTTCGCTGCATGGGTACACTCAATGACATTCTTGAGGGCTATGACAACCAGGCTATCATGGCCTCGACCTTCAAGGACCTCATTGAGGTGCTGCATGACCCTGAGCTTCCTTACTCTGAGGTTAACGCTATCTTATCTGCGCTTTCCGGTCGCATGCCCGCAAAACTTGAAGAGGGTATCCGTAGCGCAATCGAGACCGCCAAATCGAAGAGCGACGCTCACGAATTCCCCGCAGTGCGCATCAAGAAGGTGCTCGAGCACTACGTCCAGGACTCCCTCTTACCCCATGACAGGGCGATGTTCCGCATGCAACTCACTGCTCTATATGATGTCCTGGAGCGCTTTATGGGTGGTATGAAGGGTCACGAGGTGCACACAATCGCCAACCTTCTTTCTGCATATGAGCAGACTGAGAAACTCTTTGGCGGAAGCATTGAGACTCGTGTCCTCAAGCTTCGAGAACAACACAAAGACGATCTCGACAAGGTTGTTGCACTTGTACTCAGTCACACGAAGGCACAGAGCAAGTCGAAGCTAGTGTTGGCCGTGCTTGACTACGTCAAGACAAGTGGTTTGCCTGTTTCGAACGCAGAAAGTCGACTTTACCAGGTCCTCAACGACCTGGCAGCTCTTGAATCCAAGTAGGGTCCTGTATTTTCTCTCGTTGTAATCACTCACCGAAGACCTTCAGGTCCTCCACCTCCGTTTCTCTTAAGGCTCGCGAGGTTCTCATTCTCGGGCAGATGCCGTCGTACGAAGAGCGTCTCATTCAAATGGAGGCTGTTTTGAAAGCGTCGGTCTCTTCGAGCGTTTATGGCGAATCTGGCAATGCTAACAGGTAAAACAATTAATTTAATGTTGTAACTGTCGCTAATGACCATTTAGGGCTCCATCTGCTGAAATTTTGCGAGAGTTGAGCGACTCACGTTATACCGTCTACGATGTCCTTCCTGCGTTCTTCTCGCACACCGATCCAGTTGTCACATTGGGTACGTCTTTAACTTGATGAACCAATACAGTAATTCTGACTGGGACCGTCCATCAGCTGCCTTCGAGGTTTATATCCGACGTGCTTACCGCGCTTACTCACTTCTCTCTATCGACTACGAGGAGGGTGATGGTTCGGACGATGGCGAATTGCCGAGCGCTGCTACTTGGAGGTTTAATCTTGGTCAATCTCATTCGCCACCATCGACTCCAAGCGTCACTGCACCGTGAGTTCACCGCACAGCGGCTTCTTCATTCGACTCACTCACTTGATCCCAGCGACCCTCGCCGCCAGGGCTCAGTCAGCGATTTAACCTATCTCATAACTCGCAGCAAGTCTCAGCCTATTCGAAATGGTGTTATTTCATCATTCTCTGACCTTGCTGCTATGGCACGAGGCTTCGAAAAGGTCGCCGAACTCCTCCCTATATTTGACGTCGACGAATTCAGCCAGCGTTATGGCAACAACCAGCCGCCTAATGTGATGAACCTGGCACTCCGTATCTTTGACAAGACCGATGACGTTGCCGAAGAAACTTGGGCAGAGCAGTTGGCAAAATTCTTGAACGATCGCAATGGCGTCCTTGCAAAGCGTGGTGTCCGTCGCGTAACTATTCTCATCTGCCGTCGCGGGCAATACCCGATGTACTTCACCCTTCGTAACTCCGGTGGCTCTTGGGTTGAGGAGCAAGCCATCCGTAACATTGAACCGGCTCTTGCTTTCCAGCTGGAGCTCAGCCGTTTGTCCCACTACAAGCTCACACCCTGTTTCGTCGAGACCAAGCAAATTCACATTTACCATGCCGTTGCTCGGGAGAACCAACTGGACAACCGCTTCTTCATTCGCGCACTCGTCCGCCCCGGACGCCTACGTGGCTCGATGAGCACCGCAGAGTACCTTGTTTCTGAAACCGATCGTCTCGTTACAAGCGTTCTTGACGCACTGGAAGTCGTCAGTGCACAACACCGCAATGCTGACGTTAACCACATCTTCATGAACTTCGTCTACAACCTCGCGGTCTCATATGAAGATGTTTTGACGGCTATTGCTGGATTCATAGAGCGACATGGAAAAAGGTTATGGCGTCTCCACGTCACTGGCTCCGAAATTCGCATTGCTCTGGAAGATAGCGAGGGGAATGTTACCCCTATTCGCTGCATCATAGAGAACGTATCTGGATTTGTAGTCAACTTCCATGGTTATCAGGAGATTACAACGGACAAAGGCACCACTATCCTGAAATCCATTGGAGAAAAGGGACCTCTCCACCTCCAGCCCGTCCACCAGCCGTACCCAACCAAAGAGTCGTTGCAACCCAAGCGATACCAGGCGCATCTTATCGGTACCACTTATGTCTATGACTTCCCCGAGCTCTTTTCCAAAGCCTTGCACAACCTCTGGATCAAGGCTCGTGCGACTGATTCTTCCTTGAGCTTGCCGAAGAACACTCTGGAGGCGAAGGAACTCGTGCTTGACGAGCACGATGAACTCGCGGAAGTTGAACGTGCTCCAGGAAACAATACCTTCGGTATGGTTGCTTGGGTGTTCACTCTAAGGACACCTGAGTATCCCAGTGGGCGCAAGGTAGTTGTGATCGCCAACGACATCACCTACAAAATTGGCTCGTTTGGTCCCATCGAAGATCAGTTCTTCTACACCGTCACCAAGTACGCTCGCGAACACGGCCTTCCTCGCGTTTACCTTTCTGCCAACTCTGGTGCTCGCATTGGGCTGGGAGAAGAAGTGATGAACCTCTTTTCGTGTTCCTGGAACGATGATGGGCACCCTGAGAAAGGCATCGATTATATTTACCTGACTCGGGAGAACTACCTGAAGGTTCAAGAGAAGGCTGCTGCGTCTGTGCGCACAGCTGAGATAGAGGTTAATGGCGAGCTGCGCTACAAGATCACCGACATTATAGGTCTACAGGATGGTCTCGGTGTTGAGAGTCTGAAGGGATCAGGTCTTATCGCTGGTGAAACGTCACGGGCATACGACGACATCTTCACTATCACTTTGGTCACCGCTCGGTCAGTTGGAATCGGAGCTTATCTCGTACGTCTTGGAGAACGTGCAGTGCAAGTCGAGGGCCAGCCCATCATTCTCACTGGTGCTCCAGCCCTGAACAAGGTGCTCGGACGGGAGGTGTATACCTCCAACTTGCAGCTTGGAGGGACGCAGATCATGTATAAGAACGGTATATCGCATCTCACCGCTAGCAGCGACTTGGAGGGTGTCACGCACATCTTGCAGTGGTTATCATATGTTCCAGAGTCGAAGGGCGACTCCCTGCCTATTCGCGAAACTTCAGACTCTTGGGATCGCGATATCGCCTTCATACCTCCCAAGGGCCCGTATGATCCTCGTTGGTTCATCGAAGGCAAAGAAGATGAACACACGTCACAGTGGCTCACTGGCTTTTTCGACAAAGGGTCCTTCCAAGAGACACTCGGAGGGTGGGCTCAGACTGTCGTTGTTGGCCGTGCACGCCTTGGTGGTATTCCCATGGGTGTTATTGCTGTCGAGACCCGGACAATTGAGCGCATTGTTCCTGCAGACCCTGCTAACCCAGCGTCATTTGAACAACGAGTCATGGAGGCAGGTCAAGTCTGGTACCCCAACTCTGCCTACAAAACCGCCCAAGCCATCTTCGATTTTAATCGTGAAGGACTCCCTCTCATCATCTTCGCTAATTGGCGTGGGTTCTCTGGTGGTCAGCAAGACATGTACGACGAGGTACTCAAACAGGGCTCGAAAATCGTTGATGGGTTGTCCGCCTACAAGCAGCCTGTCTTTGTTTACATCGTCCCCAATGGTGAACTGCGCGGCGGTGCCTGGGTCGTTCTTGACCCCTCGATCAATCCGGAGAAAATGGAGATGTATGCAGACGTCGAGGCTCGTGCTGGTGTTCTCGAGCCGGAGGGTATTGTTGAAATCAAGATGCGCCGAGACAAGATCTTGACATTGATGGAGCGTCTTGACTCGACGTACGCCGAGCTCAAGCAAGCCAGCAAGGATTCTACCAAGACCGACGAGGAGAGAGCCCAGGCAACGCAGGCACTTGCCAACAGGGAGACCTTTTTGCAGCCCACATACAAGCAGCTTGCTTTGCTTTACGCAGACCTTCATGAGTAGGTGTTCCCCCAACCTCACGAGATAATCTTTGTCTGATTTGTGTACAGTCGCGCTGGGCGAATGGAAGCCAAAGGTTGTGCTAAACCTGCCGTGTGGAAAGATGCTCGGAGATACTTCTACTGGGCCCTTCGCGCCCGCATCGCACGCTCCAGCTTGCTCGAGCAGATTGCAGATGGCAACCCCGAAATGGAGTCCGAGGAGCGTGCCGCGTTGTTGGACTCACTTATCCCTGATAGTGACTTGCCTAACAATCGTGCTTTGGCCGAAGTCCTTGAGCAGCTCGACATCACGCCGACCTTGTCGAAACTTAAGGCTGATCATCTACTTAGCCACTTTGCGGAGGTTGCCGAGGAAGACCGCAAGGCTTCTCTAGATGGTCTTGTTCGCATCATTGACAGTCTCTCGGATGGCGAGAAGATGACCTTGCAGTCCGCCATACAGAACACCGTGCGCTTAGTTGGTAAGCTTGGTCCAGTTGTTCTGTTGGGTTAATTCTGACGCATTTGGCTCCAGGACCTCCTTCGTACTCTAATTGAACAAAACCTTCTCTGATATTTCTTTGTTCTCTACGGTTCCCACTACGACTTTACGATACTCTCGTTGTTCACTGCTTAGAATACATACATAATACCTCGCATAGATGTCTACAATACACCAGTCTGAAATGTTGTGACACAATCCATTCGGCACACAATGCTATTTTACCTGAATCCAGCTGAACTGGAAACATCATTAGTCCGACGCGATGTCGAAGGACCCAATGATTATTGCATTAAGATCTACATGAGGCATGGTAATAAAAACATAAGTAACTCAGTGCCTAATCATACAATGACTCGACGTTGTTCAGAGGAACATCTGCAGTGGATGCTTGTCATATACATTTTGTCCTTCACTGAGCTCACCCAGGTCGGGATAGAAGGGAACCATAGCATCCGAAGCGCCCAGGTACAATGCGTTATAGACGCGCCAGTAGACCTAGGTAACAAAGTAAATCAGATCAGTATGAGACATAGAACATGCACCTGGGAAGACGCACCTCGCGGACTTTGCGTGCAGGGTGGAATAAACCTTGAAGAACGTAGCTCAAGAGGATACCGGGGCCAAGACATACCCGCATTGCCTCGATTGCGTCCATAACAGCACCAATGACATGCGGCGACGTTTCAAAACAATTAGGCCAGACAAGATTCATCAAGTGCATCATAGAGTCTTCGCAGCCCATGCCCGCGACACCAAGTGCGATGTGCTTCACGATGACGCTAGCAGTTTGACGATGAACAAGGTCGCGATCTGTGAGGGCATCTTCAAGCATGGTGACTACGGAGTCACAGTAGTACGCCGACTGGGGACCAATATATTCGAAGACAAATGTGAGGGCTTTGAGACAACCGGTGCGCACGTTGAGCTCCGCTGTCCGGTATTCGTTCAAGATGGCAGGGATACACGTGAAGGGACCGCAAGTCTCAGCGACAATGGCGATGGCGACAGTACTGCAAACACGACTTTGACGTTCTTGCACGCGCAAGTTGGTAAGAAGAACCGAAAGAACATCCTGAGGACCCAAGGACTTCGCAATATATCCGAAGGAGTTGACAGCAGCACGTCGAATACCTTTCTTGTGCGCCTTCAATAAATCCAGTAGCTCGAAACAGATGCGCATCCACTCTCGCGCCGGCACAAATTCTGCCCCACGATCGGCTGGTCGAAGAATAAGTCAGCGAATGGAGTAGACACATCATATTGACACCTACCAATACGACCAATTAAGTTGATAGATGCCTCCTGCACCTTCTCATGACGATTACGGAGGATAGGCGTCATTCGAGGCACTAATAACAGTATTAGCAATCAGCGTTATGACTTAGTAGAAGCAACTCACAAAGATCCTTAACCGGCGGATTCATCTGCGTCATACCAACAACATTAGCAATTGCTCCCTCTGCAGCAATGATACTACCGAGAGTGTCGGGATATTCTTCACCAAGTTGCTCGAACAGAACGAGGCCTAGCTTGCTGAGAAGTTGGTCTTCCCCGCACTGCTTGATTACGACAGCCAGCCTCGTCGTGAGATCTGCAGCCTGTTGCCGGACCTTAGCGCTCTTGTTATTGAGCCGCCAGAGAACGGTAGAGACAATCTGCGTGAGATAGGGCTTGACACGAATGCCAAGGGCGTTGACCACCGTGCCGAAGCCATCAAGCATGACTTGATCCTCGGTAGTCTGCTCCTGGAAGGAGTAGATGATACCGTCGACTAGACGGACCTCGAGCCGCTCGTCAATATCTGAAGCACCGAGCATAGCGACGACTTTGGTGATTGTCTCCATGACCATCTTCCGGTAAGGCTCCGCTTCATCCTTTAGCTCATTCACAACTCTGCCGACTATCTCGGACACCCCAGCCTTCTGCGCAAGCTCGACAGTCGTCTCCACAACCTGGCGATAGTTTCGCCTATCAAGCGCCATGCGGCGGACCCAGAACGCTCTGAAGAAGTCAGGCAGGATGTCCTGCTTAATATATTGAGGTGTGACACCTTCAGTGGCTGCGCATTGTTTGACCACCTTTAGGACGATCTTCTTCATCTCTTCGTCAGAGGTTTGGAATTCACGAATGAGGATGACTGTGACTTCCTTGGTGTAGTAGGATGCGTACTCGGGGTCCATGAGGGGAATAATGAAGCCGATGGCCTTCAAGAAGGCAGCAAGGCCCTTGCCACGATGCAGACGAATACCGAGCCAGAGGGGCTTCAGCACCTCATCGAAGGACTCGATACCGTAAGGCGCAGCTGCTTCAGCAAGGGCAGCAAGTCCGAGTGCAGTCATGGTCCGCACTTTCTGCTGCTCATCCTGCAGACCGTGTGCAATGCAGGCCACGAGATTGCGAAGATGGGGCAAGACGGCACAGCCCATCATGATAGCGATCTGTTGCACGATACGGATACCGGTATGCCGCGCCTGCCATGACTTCTTACTGCGACATACGGCCTTGAGGAAAGGCAAGAGCGAGGGGATACCGAGCGCAGAGGCAACGACAGAGAATGCGCGAGCGGTGGTGTTACGGACGTACTCGTCGGCATGGTCAATGTCAGGACGCATAGTGGATATCATGTGTGCGAGACCGGCAGCTTTGGAAAGGTTGGATATAATCTCCCGACCCTCCACACGAGCATAGTAATCCTCATCAATGAGGAGCGGCTCAATGACAACGAGAATTTTGTGAACGTACGGACGGACAAGATCGTCAAGCTTGTAGAGGACACGATCAATGACCTTCACAAGTAGGTGGCGCTCCTGATCCTCGAGAGTACGCTCCATGAGCAAGGGAAGGATCTTGTCAAAGAGAGGACCAGCACCAAACTCGCGAGCCTTGTCAGTGATTTGGCGGAGGGCAGTCTTTCGTACAGGAGGAGTACCGTTCTTTATCTTCAAAAGTAAACGCATGATTTTACGCTCCTTCATCTCATCCACCGATAGCTCCGTTTCATCTTCCTCCTTAAGAATCTTGGCGAAGTACTGAGCATCCTCGGCCTTGAAAAATGCAAGACTACCGACACCAGGTATTTCGGTGGGAAGTTCAGGCGCGAGGCCGGCAGCAGCAGCCACTGCTGCTGCGTCTGAGCCTTCCTGGATATGGAAGCCACCTACTTCTGTCACTGGTGCACCCATAAGCTTGCGGGGAGCTACCATCGGTGCATATCCAGGGGGAGGAGTAACAATAGCATACCCGGTGGCCGGTAAAATAGCATCCAACTCCTCGTCACTGAGATAACGGTTATGCTTATCCTCCTGCATGATACCCGGCGCATTCATTATTATCTGCGTCATGGGGGTTTCTGGAATGACAGCAGCCTGATCCCAGCGAGATTTCTTAGGTGTCTCACCGACAGCGGCGCCCTCTGCCGGAGTAGCGTCCCAGCGAGAACGACGCTTTTTTGGCGCGGATGCTTCCAGGGCTTCTTTCGACCATTCGTTCTTATCAGTCTTGTTAGGGTCAACGTTCTCATCCGCAGGCTCGGGAACATCCCATCTCCGTTTGCGTTTGGTCCCAGAAGCAGCTTCGCGAGAGTTCGCGAGCTCTTTTGCAGTAGCAAGTTCCATGGCGACATCCTCAAGTTCGGCACGAGGAGGGGTCTTGTCAAGGTCCATTTTCATTTTTCCCTCTTCTCTCTCCTGCCTCTCTTTCTCTTCAATCGCCCGCCTGACCCTTACTTCCTCCTGCTCCAACCTAGCCAATCTCATCGCCTCTTTGTATCCTCCTTCCGTCTCCATACCATCTTCGACGGGTTTAAAGGCATCTGCGCTCTCCTGCGCAACACGACTGAAGCGACGGTTGTGGTAGTCGGACTGCCGTGCTGCAATCTGACGTTTTGAGGCTGTTTCTGCGAAGGGGTCGACATTTTCTTCTTCTGCAAGATCTGCAAACTCCTGTAATATTTCCTTTGGTGCGGTAAACGAGTCGACAAGTCTAGGAGAGTTGGGAGCAGACATGGTGAAGGGTGATGGTGGTGCAGAACAAAGTCGTGAACATCGTGACCGACAGCGAGCTGAGTATGAATAATCCCAGCTGCAAGCAAGACCAAATAAATATTATGTTTCCTTTTACGTGAACCAAACTCTAATTAGTTAGGGACTCGAACGCCAAACGGACTCCCATCTTGCAGGCAATGCATAGATTGTTTCTCGTGCATGAGCTACTCATGATAATATGCGAACATCTGTATGATGAAGATGATATCCCAAATGCTTCCAAAAAGGCTCTGGCACGTCTTGCCAGAACCTGCAAGGCTTTTCATGCAGTGGCATTGAATGCTCTCTGGTCAAATCTCGACGGCGTTGCGCCTCTAATCCAATGCCTGTCTGCAGAAGTCACCCGATTGTGTTGGCGCCTGGTACGTCGTTTGTTGTTTACAGTAGTATTTAACTCATTGAGTACTTATCATCTCCTCAGCCCCTAGGTACAGCAGTGGTTGGTATTGAACGGGCACCTCGAAAAGCAGAATGGGACATCATTCAAGGCTATGCTAGTCGTGTACGGCGTCTGCGTGTTTTAAATCCCCTTCGTTCTGTGGAACCATCCGTCATCTTGACACTTTCCCGTCCACCTACCACGTCCCCGCTGTTCCCGAATCTACGCTCGCTTGTATGGAATGACAGCAGACCCCAAACGATGGGCTTCTTAAAAACTCTATGTGGACCACTTCTGACATCCCTTACGCTTGATTGTTCGAGTACTGGCACTGCTCGGTGGGATGCGGCTGCATCTCCTATATTGACTGCTGTGCCCGTCATTTGCCCTGCTGTCAAAGTCATCACCCTTCCCTCCGGTTCCCCCTGTCCCCCAATTTCGAACATGCTTCTCGCATGGAGCCACCTCGAGGAAGTCACATGTGGTGAAATCGATACAGTCATCTTTCGCCATCTCGCCAAACAAACCTACTTACGCAAACTTGCATTTACATTGTCACAATCGATCTCTCAAAGTCTGACAGACCACCCTCCATCTCCGCAAACTTTTTCGCGCCTCCGTGAACTGGAAGTTCATGCACCTGAGCTACCTTCCTTGATTGAGTTCATGCAGAAACTAGAGATACATCCCACATCTATTCGCGGTCAAGTGGATGCTGGCCCAACTCCCTGCGACATGGGAGCATTCTTTGCTTTTCTCACAGAACATTATGTGGGCGTTAAACCGCAGAATGTCTCATTGCAGAGTCTTCCTAGTATACGAATGCCCTCTGCGGCTCAACCTCCGTTGCCGCCACCTACTGGTAATCGATTTAACGGACGGTCATCCCACACCGGCATCCATGGCAATGATTTCATGCCTCTCACTCAGTTTGGAAGCATTAACACCTTAATAATCGACGTGAATTGTAGTATACATCTTGCAGACGATGATCTGGCATCTTTGGCATCTGCATGGCCTCACCTCCGGACCTTTAGTGTCAACAAAAGGCACGGCTGGGTCGTAAAATCCGATATCAGCCAAATTGGCTTACTCGAGATGCTTCAATGTTGCCCCAGACTCCAGACTCTTTGTATTGCAATCGATACCGACACATTCACAGAGGTGCCTTTGGATCGCCCAGGAGGAGGAGTCCAAAACATGAATATCCGGACAATTGATTTTGCAGACTCGGTTATCCAACCTCGCGCAACCACTGTGGTCGCTGCATTCCTGTCCGATGTTTTCCCCAGGCTCAACGAGGTTACAGCTTGGAAGTCTGATCAAATGCGTTCCCGACGGGACGCAAATAGCACGAGCCCGACGGCATACGCCATTCATTGGGAAGGTGTTTCTCAGCAAGTCAAGGGAATGATCAGAATTCGACAGCAGGAAAGGAGGTGGCGCCGGAGCGAATAAACCAGGTACGTTTCATGTTCGAGATCTTGATTTGATAGGCTTTGACTGACTCGGTTATCAATGACTTGATTCTTAGGTGGATGTTGACTTCTTCAGTCCGATGTTCATGAAACGGTCGGTTACAGTCGGGTACAGTCGGTTACCAGCCCTTACTTACTCGAGGTACAGTGTAGAGTCGAACCAGGGCTCTGATATTTCGCTCGGTATGTATGAGGGTGCAAAACAAGAAGTATGGCGGTTTCCAGGAAGGTTTTCCATGCAATACAACGTTGAATACTGGGTCGATCAACTACTTACTTAGTATTCGACCGAGCCTCAGAATGATTAGGTGAACTTCTTCGAAATTCTAGCCATGGTATCCTAATCGATCGCGGGATGGAAATTTTGTCTCCGGAGCTGTAGTATCCTGTAGTCTGGCCATGATTAGAAGGAAGAAGACCGTCTTTCCTCCTTAACGATGCTGCAAGATCAGCGGATTCTGCCATTAAATCTTGCAGGCGCAAATGAATGTGTGACAGTGCATGAATAGATAAGAATTAAAACTAAATAAACGTTAAATATTGATGTCCTTACCTTTAAAATCCTTACGCGAAGAAATCCTTTTCCCTCCAAATCTACTACACTACTAGTCCCTGACGGTCTTTCAAGCTTTCAAGGCCCATCTATTGCTCGCATCGTCAATATTCAATATTGAATACTCAGGCTGGTGCATGCCCGAGACAGGAAATGGATTCAGAGGGAGCTGCTGGTATTTTTCAATGCGTGTCGCATTTACCACCACAACACGCGCGAATGCACAGACTTTTCCTTATCCAAGAACTTTTCTGTATCATATGTGAACATGTGCGGAATGACAACGCTGGCAGAATTGCCGCAGGAAGAACTCTTGCTTCTCTTGCTAGAACCTCCAAGGTCTTCCATCATGTGGCCACCAGTGCTCTGTGGTCGCGATTGGACGGACTCACACCACTACTACGACCCTTGGCCTCTGACCTGACTTTCACCGCAGAAAATGCGGTAAGCCCTTTGCCCTAGATTGATATGACAGGTGATCCGAACTTCGACAACTTATGTAGGCAAGGCCACAACCCGTGTTAACGCTTCGGAGGCCTCTTAAAATGGCAGAATGGGAGATACTTCGCGGTCTTGCACGTCGTGTTGAGCACCTATGCGTCCATGACCCTGCTCGGCCAGTAGACGTCTCAATCATTCTCTCTCTCTGCCACCCCCCAACCAACTCACCTCTGTTTCCGAATTTGAAGTCAATCCTCTGGAATGATGAAAGAGCTGAGACTTTCGCGTTCATTCGCACGCTTTCAGGGCCCACAGTTACTTCCCTGGCGATAACCATCACAAATGATAGTCGTAAATGGCATATACCCGAGTTCGGCATATTGGCTTCTCTGCCCTACGTTTGTCCTAACGTCACAGAAGTGACCCTGCCCACCAACGCTTTTGGAAACGATTTCCCCTCTCTATCAGAAGCCCTTTGTGCCTGGAACAATCTCACAGAAATCAAATGTGGAGCAATTGAGGGTAGTGCACTTGCACATCTTGCCAGACAACCAGCTCTTCGCAAGCTTTCATTCAATCTCAACAACGCGGGACTCAGACTGGACTCGTCTTTGCCTTCAGGGGCATTTTCATGTGTCCGCGATTTCCAGATTCACGCAGCGAATATGTCTTTCCTAGACTCATTCATTAACAAGCTTGGAGGATCGCCCACTTCTATGCATGTGCTAGTGGATACCAACCCGCCACCTACCAGTATCAGTTCACTTGTTGCCACTCTCAGGCGATTCTCGAGTACTCATTTGCAAGATCTGAGCCTGCGATTAATGACCCCGCCAAGTCCTCGGGTCATGCCAGTACATCCACTACATCTACTCGCACATCCACAACCTCCAACTAATCTCGGAACTTATATGGCACCTTCAGTCAACATGATCATGGGCTATCCAATTAGCGCGGGCTGGCAGCCTCCGCCTAACCTGAATGGACCTCATGTTGTGTCTTTGGGTGGCGTGTCGACTTCCGGATCACCTACATGTCACACCCTCACTTTGGGTGACTTTATCCCCCTTACCTGCTTTGAAAGCCTGGGCAGGATAGATATCAGTATCAATCACAGTATACACTTGGACGATGACGACCTCCGGTCGCTAGTCTCTGCATGGCCCCACCTCTACTCCTTCTCCCTCAACGACACAGCTGGATGGCGCGTCAAGTCTGGCATCACCCAGATCGGCCTCATTGCGATGCTCGACTGTTGTCCAGATCTCCAGAAGCTTTGCCTTGCTTTGAACACGGATGCGTTCATAGAGGTGTCATCAGACCGTGAAGGGATAGAAAACACAGCCGTGCGAACCCTAGGTCTCGCTGACTCCCTGATCGAGGCGCGCGCTACCGTAGCAGTCGCCGCCTTTCTCTCCGACATCTTCCCAAACCTCACCACCATCGTCGCATGGGACTCGGTGGTGATGAGTCGGCGCCTCAATGCAGGGATCTATGCTGAGCGGTGGATACATGTAGCTGAGCAGGTGCACGGGATGAACAAGGTTCGGGCGCAGGAAAGGAAATGGTGGTTGAGTGACGATGACGGTGAAAGCGAGGCGTGTGCTATATCTCAAGTTTGACGCATGGTATTCCAGAACGCATCTACTTGTGTCAGAGGATATGGTCCTTATGAGACCAATGGGTTGAGCAGCCACCGAGACTAAAACTCTCCATTGGCCTGGGAGATCTGATGGTTTTTGTTAAGCGGCTTGATACTTACCGCGACACGTATTTGCAATCACAACACAAGTGCTCAGGTATCGCATGTGAAGAAGTTCAGACGCACGCAGGCTCGACACAATAATATTATTGGGAAATCAAGGACTGCTCGTGGATAGATACCCTGGTAGTAAGGATATAGGAATCGTGGTTATCATCCTGAATGGGAGTGGTGAAAATGCCAGAGTCAATAAATTTGTGCAGGTTAAGCATCAGTCGAGATACGAGAGTCACGGACATGCTGAGGAGCGATGTAAAAATTGATTCGTTTTTATCGCACTAACCACTCACCAGCTGGTAAATGTGGCCAGACTGGACTTGTCGATATCCTTGCCAATTATCAGGAAATAGTTACAAAATACGGGTGTATGCTCACTGAACCGTACTAAACCAAGGTGTAAGCGTGCGACTCGACCAATATTTCATTCGTCAACTCACGTAGAACATCAGGATGTTCGGTATATTAGATAGTGTCATCGCTCTGAAGGAACATGGATCAGATTCACCACACAGAATGACAATCTCGTTGGAAACCTCACCCGAAATACATCGCACCTGCGTTCGCTTGGATCAGTATGTCAGGTATAGATAAAACGGGAAACTTTACCATCTTGGAATATGATGCCAGTGATGTCTTTCCTGCACATCACCAAATACGGTGACCGCAGCATTCCTCTAGTTTTGCAAATCCTGGACACTGTGAGGATAAAGATGAGTAATTCGTAGGCAAATAGGGCTACCCATGCCAGCCCAGGACCTGTAATCGGATAAAATCAGGAAATCATGTTCCATACAAATCTGACTCGACATCCACTGACTGGCTGATCTGCAGCATTTTTTGAGCGAGTACGCAGAACGGCGAAGAAAATGGCGTACGTCGTTGATACATATGATTCATAACAGTTAACTCCTGGCACGGCGATCACAGTGGTTGAAGAATGTCCAAATATTCCCACCTTGAAGCCATCAGTATTCCCAGAGTAGAACATTATGTGTGAACACGCACAGAAGCTACTCCTGCAAGAGCAATGACGGCCACCACCATCCAAATCAGCAGGCGCCTGCTACGGCCGTAGAGAGCATAAGTCCGCAGAGTCAATATGACTGGAAATTTCAGAATATGTAGTTCTCGCCATAGAAATAAACTCACAGCAAACAATGAATTGTTGACCAAAAATGAGGAGTTCTCTGGACAGCAAATATTTCGGACAGCTAGGATCCGTTGAGCAAAACAATAAAGATTTGAGAACCAAAGTTGATACCTCTGCGGACATAAGTTGTGAGCCTGTCAGTTGGGTATATGTGCAACGAAATCATAGAACCTCTTCTGAAACAGGCAGGAAATTGATCAACAAGGCATAGATATTGCCGAGCAGAGCGATATATCGATTGAGCAGAAACAACATTGCAGATAGTGCTTTCGGACGATACCAAATGAAAATGATTTCTTCTGTGAGGGTCGCTATATGGTCATACACCAGGATACCTGGAATATCTTGTTATCATCCCGAGGGTCCCAAAGATAAAAAAGCCTAGTACTGATTGCCACGAGAACGGTGTACGAGTGTATCAAACTGGAGATGTTCGAGTTGAGTCACTATCAAAACACGTAGTAAATCTATGTATTACTCACATTTGCTGTGCTATACTATTATCCATTGCAATGTAAAGCAGTGACAGTCTAAGAGGAAGGGTGTCGACGAGAACACTGGGACGATACGTGCTACGTATGCAAGTATGCATGCAAAGCAAACACAGTTACACGCGCGCTTACTACGTCACGAAGTAGTTGGCAACTTGGAGTCCAGCGTATATGATGCTGTGCGTGATTTTCCCTACATCATCGTAGCGCGGGATGTTGATTATACATGAACCATGCAGTTCCTTACAAGGAGCTAGCTTGAGCTTCGAAAGTTGCTAGATGGAGCGCCGAGAGCGTTGACATGCCAGCCAAGACAGATCAGATCAATCCGAATTCTGATGCCAAGATTTGACCGCCGCACTTTCAAATTAAACTCCGGCCACTACAGATAACGTTTATATTTAAACATGTTATCCTCAGACAAACGGTCCACTTAGCGCTACGGAAACAAACTGCAAGCAGCTGCACAAATACAAACGTCCTTGAGATCTCCCTGCAAGCGGAGATCATGTTCTCGGTCGTACGAGTGAGCGCTCATTCATCTAACGGAATTACAGGATGTGGTATGTGTAAACAATGAGGAGGATGAGGTAAACGTCATATCCGCCGGGGATTGCCGTACGCCCTCACATTAAGGTTTGCAAGGAGGGTGTTGCGGTACAAAGAGCAGATCGGATATGTCAAAGAGAATATAGATAACCTTTTAGTGGCAAGCTGCGAACTGCTTATCATGCGTCTGCCGTCAGCTCGGTTGACTTTAAGGGGAGTATTGAAGTTAACGTTGAGAGCTCATTTACACGAACAACAAATGTACTTACTTATACTACTACGAGCTCGAGGGAACCTGGAATTAAAGTCATCAATAAATTTCATGCGGCTTATATTTCGCTTATATTTTTCGTTCTGTATCTACACATATCTACCTCCTCATTCTCGATTTTCACTGGGTTTGATTACTTGAGGTATGTTCAAGGCGCGTCTACATCGAATCCATTCGAATTCGCTGGTGGTAACCGTCACGGAGGGGATCTGGAATAGTCCCCTGAGGTCAAACTAAAGACTTGGACACAACTCGGACAGCAATAACTCGACCTCTGACATTTGAAACACTTGGAGAAATCTTCACTACCATCACAAACCAATCTGTTGTTTGCAGAGACAGGCATCAACGCTGAAGTTACCATTGAGCTTGAAGCCATTTTGCTGGGAACTACCACTCGCACCTCGAAGCCACAACATCACGCAGTCCCGGAATCAATATCACTCGAAGAGATCAACGTAGGTACTTTATACTATAGGGCTCTGCTCCAACGGACAATAAACAAGAATACAAAAAAAAATCAATGTAGCATTCGCCTACCCTGCGCGACGACAGACATGCCACGGGCTCCACCTGACATACTGGTCATGACCTGCCTCCTTGAACAGGAACCTGGTCAAGAAATAGAGCTACCCTTCTATTTAGACGTTGCAAAATGCTCCTTCCGTAGACCCTGCCTTGCATGTCAATATTCGGCCCTAAGGGCCTCATTCCCTACTCCGTGCGAGAATTGTCAGTATGCGGCCATTGAGATTTAGGGTATTGTAAAGGTTGCGTAGGATATCGCTGCAAGTTTCTTTCCATTCCGCCACTTTCCGCACCAGACTATCCAAAGGTGATGGAGAGTAGTGTTCCTCAGTGTGATGCGAATAAACACCATGTAGAAGGTAATCGGAATAATCGGCATTACCTTGTAGGAGTTCAGCAAGATGTAATAATGGGCATGGGCTATGATAATTACCGTGTCTTGGATAATAAACTGAGCGTTGTTCGAGCAGAGGAAACAAACCAACATGACAGATAGCACCGTAGAATACATGATAGCGGCATCCACAAGTATGCGCACGATAGGCATCAAAGTGCTGTTTATAGTGCCCATTGCAGAGACTCTGCGTTCGATCGTCCAGATACGATACGCAAGTAATCCTGGACGAGTTCGAGTTATTATGAACCTCACCGTCGCGTTCACGCAGAAGGATACATACCTGAAGTTATCAAATTTGTTAAAAGTGTCAATACAAACAACGCCACAACCCATCGTCCAGCCAGATTGCTGTAGATGTCTCCACCAGTCGACTTCGAAGCGTAGTAGGGGGCAATAAAACTAGCCGCTTCAATGAAAAATCAAAACACGCAACTCCGTGGGCACGATAACGACCTACCTGAGGCGCTGAACCACAGCAGGCTTGGTAGGACGATAACCCAAATGGATTGCCAAACGACGTAACAGCGATAAATCTTTTGCCAAATAAAACACTCTTTAAGCCCATAAGTTTTCAGCTGACATAAAAATTCAAACACACCAATACCCCATCGCCTAGCATAGTTTGGAAGGCGTATAATATATTTTTGGTCAAAAATGTTGGTTGGCTAATATCTTGGAAGAACGCCGCTGGTCCACCAGGAAAGGTATCACGGTACTTGACAAATCCATCTTCTAGACGGATGATATCTGTGACCATGTGCTTGAGAGAGAATTGAGAAAATGACATTGGATGCAAGAGGCGAAAAGCCCACCGCAGTACTTAATGTCAATAACAAGATTGCCACTAAAGCGATCGGGCGATTGGCGTCACGTTTGTAGGCCGATGTCAACATGGTGCACACAAACAGGAGAACTGAAAAACCTGAAGAATCTTAGCTTGGTGGGCATGGAATGACTGGGCATCACAACACTCACCGTATAAGATGCCTTCCAGTGCTGTTGAAATAATAGCTGCCCTATCCAGCGGGATGCCTGTTGAAACCATGGCGAAAATGATGTCTGAAGGATGTGTTACAAGAGCCCATTATATGCAGAAATGACGAATACTTCATTTTGAGAAGAACTGACAACTGACCCTATGAACAATAGATGGTGTGCGTATGCGTTCCTGGAACGTGCATGATGTATGATGTCGTTGGTTGGCGGGGGTGACAAGAATCAGACAAACAACGCTCTTGAAACATTCAAATTGATACTGACCTTGAGGCTTGAGCAAGAATATCATGATGACGCGATGTTGAAAGGAGCTACGAACAGTGCCTCTAGCGGCCTTACTAGCCCATAGAAGCTTGCCGCACCGATCATTTTGTGATCAAGGCAATTCGCGATTGGTTAAATATGTAACCACAGTGAGGACACGTCATTCGGTTTGCGGTATAAGGGATAGCCTGACCGGTGTCCAAGGAGAGATCAGATTGATAGTGCCCTGTTATCATTCCGAAGTAGATCGACTCCCAAGAGGGTGGGAAACACAAGTCTCTGAGCACATCAATTACATTGATGCAGTGGCAATTTGCAACAAGTTTCCTGATCATTCGTAAGTCGAAGTTCACCGCCCTCGCGCATACCTATTCTGCGGTGTCCTGCCATGTTCGTGCCACCGCCTTAAATGCCCATCGCCGAGCTACCCGACCAATACTTGATATCCACGTTCCCACTGAAGAAAAATAAATACGAAGGTGCCTGCCGCCAGGTAGTGGTAACTGGTGGGGAGAGGCAACGAGGATCGATGGTACTAAAGAGACAACGAGGAAGGAGATGTCGACGGCGAACGCGAAGGGTTATAGGCAGGATGCAGAGAGGCGGGCGGCGTTCATGGGCATTAGGATTGGAAAAAAGGCAGAGAAAGGCAGAGGATGCTCTTCGCAAAGACTGCGAGCTCGACGAGTAGGACTTAATGAAGACGTCAATACATAAAAAAAGATTCGTACTTTTCTCCGACACAGTTTGTGGGGTCCAACCTTTACTAGATAACGTCAGTCGAAAGGTAACATGCCATGGCTAGTGGTTTCTGAAAGATGGAGAGCCGATCTATTTCGGAATGCTAGCAGATCGCACATCACTCTCAGAAGAGCAGCCACGAAGATCAGACCGGTGACCTGTCAGATAAGTTTCTTTTTACATGAACATAGATGCTATTCATATTCACCGGTGTCTCAGCCAGGATTCTGCTGTTCAAGTTTGCTAGATCTATGAACTGTACACACAGCAGCAGAGAAAAACGAAGGATTGTGTTTCTCCTCCATTAACGTGGGAGTCGGGGACACCTGACTCTTGAGTCAGTTGGCATATATAGAGACCGAGGTGATCTTACCAGTAAGACAGTCACTTTGCCGCCGCCCAAGCCTGAGCACTGCTCACTCTTTTCATTTTCCATCAGTTTGTTTCAGTTCTGGGGCCGGTATAATACAGACCGAGGTGTAGTAAGATGAGCCCCGATATTCCAAGATTGTCTTCCTTCTATCAAGATCTGAACGATGGATATTTAAAATAAGCGGTACTGCTCACTCTTCGTTTGTTTCAGTTCTGATTCTGTGGAGTTACGACCATAACTTCATCACACGTCCCACCTCCTGACGTATATTGTATAGACCGGGGGCCGAGGTTTATCGAAATAATCAAGCCCTGACGCGTCTGACGCTGAGAAGGAACTGTCTTCTTTCTGTCAAGGTCTGACTACGGGATCCTAAAGATAAGCGGCACTACTCACCCTTTGTCTGTAATGTGCAATTGGTTTCAATTTTGGAGCCGGTATGTATATACGGTGCCCATAAAATCCGAATTTTCACTAACAGGATTACAGCTGGAGAACGATATCGTTTCCTCATATCTGCCCCAAAGATGACAGAATTGACTGAACCCGAAGTCAAGCTTGAAGCTCTCTTAGGCATCATCAACTCCTCTGCACGCCAAGCAATTGCAGAATACAAGAAAACTGGACATGGGGTACCCAGTGCAGATGCAACTACCTTCCACCCCCTCGACATGGCGACAGATACGCTTGCCCTCAGGAAAGCCACTAGGCTGCTTGAGGGTGCATATCACCAACTGAGTGCGATACTGGCTCCTCCCCAACACACAGTGATGAATGTGAGTGCCAGTCGCCGATGATATTCACTCTGATGCTCATTTCCTTAGTTCGTTTTTGATTACAATTGGGCATGTACAAACGTTGCCTTGCGAGCACGCTTTGCGGATGTTCTGGAGCAACACCCGGAAGGTCTTAGTGTGGATAAGCTAGCTGAAGCAGCCAACCTCGACAAGAGCAAGACTGCACGCGTCTTACGGGCTTTGTCCCTCATGGGTTGCTTTAAAGAAGGTGACATGCTGCTGTTGGTGGGAATTGTATAGTATAAAGCCTTACGGTAATGTGTTTAACAGTCGAACGGGATGTCTTCACAAACACCCGACTGTCCCTCATACTCAAGTCAACGAACAACACTGGGTGTTATGCACATTTCCATTCCCGGGATGTCTCGAAATACGCCGGAGTCCTCTATGAGACTATGATCGACCAGGAATTTTCACGATCACATGAGGTCGAAAAGGCACCCCGTGTATTTGCCTGCAGGAAAGAGGGTACAGGAGGAGAGCTTTCTGGGACATGATGAAGAAGGACGTGAGTTTTGCCACTATACTTCGGTCTTTCCCCTACCTCAACACATTTTCTAGGATGAAAGACGCGATGTATGTGCAGAGTCATTTATGAATGATTGACGGCTCACATCCTCATGTATAGATATTTCACAGAGGCATGCTTGGCTACAGTGAGATGACGGGCACTTCTACATTTCTGCATCGTAAGCCATCATCATTTTTAAATCATTAACACAACTGAAAAGCGGTCTATAAGAATACCATTGGGACAATGTATGCTCTGTGGTTGACGTCGGATCTGGCATTGGAGCGTTTTCTATGCCCCTGGCGAAAATGTTCCCTCACCTCAGAATAACCAATCATGATCTTCCGGAGATTATAGTACAGGCACAAAATGTGAGTACAGACATCCAGTAACTATAGTCATTCCAGTACAGCGGGCACATCATTGATATCTGATTAGGCTTGGGAGAAGGATGCTCCTGATGCACTACTCGATGGACGCGTGGAGTTCGTGCCAAACAATTTTCTCGAGGACATACCTGCTGCTGGCAAGGATGTCTACTATGTAAGAGCCTATATTTGTTATCATTCATCGCCGGTAACTTGATCACTTACTATATAGTTGAGACACATTCTCCACGACTGGCCGGACGCTGAGGCAACGATGATCCTCCGTAACATTCGCAAGGCCATGGGACCAAACAGCGTATTGCTAATTCGTGAGTCATTTGCAACCCAATTAGTCGTTTCTTCATGGGCCATGCCTTGTATTAGATGATTGCGTCCTCCTTCACACATTCCAAGAACCTGGCGTAAGGAACTACTGAAGGGTTAAGCATCGTAAGTCTCGGAGCGCAGCCCGATATATTTCTGAACTCAGGACCCCCAGGCCCCTGAACCTATGTTACCGAACTTCGGAGCAGGCAGTCACGGAGTGTACCAAATAGACCTGACTATGTGGTTCCTTCTAAATTCCAAGGAACGAACCTTGGACGAGTTGAAGATTATCGCGCAAGTTCCTTATAATTCATCTTTGACACGTCGGTGACAACTGATTGGTGATGATTCACAGGGCCACGGCTGGTCTAGCACTCACCCAGGTTTATGATCTCGTGGAGACAATGGTCATGGAGTTCAGGATCGCTTAGAGCTGATATCAAGAAGTTCTTCAAATACGTGGTACATATTCATTGTATACTTTGAAAGATTAATAAAACTCTCGACGTTTTTCATCTTACTGATTCAATTGCGCGATCTTATGCATCCAGTTCTGTCTCTACAGAACTGGACACCACCCTGACATCGATTGACACTTTCTACTACTTCCAATTCCCGCTACCGTTAGGGAGTGGGTTATGTAGCTCGCTATTTTCACGTTTTTGCGGTAGATTCGTCCGATTTTGGCGTCCCTTTATTTTCGCCTCAGACTACCTTGCGGAGCAAGGTCATGTTGGTGGGGAGATAATATGTCTGTCAAGTGACATGAACATCGTGCTGTACAGTCACACGATCATAAACAGTCGCACACAGCATTGCCAAGACTTTGATAGGCTCCCGCGACTATCAGAGTGCCCCTATGTTCACCTATTTTTAGCTACCAGACCTCGTTCATCGGACGTCTTCCTGTATCCGTTGCCTTTGACTTCGAATCACATCCTCTCCTTCGATTGCTCACTCGCTTGGTCGCTCGGGCCTAGGTTCGCGCTTCTCTGAAATCCTTACGGCCTTCTATGATGGCCGTGTGCTCACGACCGACGTCGAGTTTGAGGTCGCGCGTGGTCTCGATTCTGATGTTGTGATTGGGAAGAATTGGATTGCTGTGTGACGCATCGTTTGGCGGGAAGATGAGACTCCCGCCTCCAATCCCTATTCTCGTTCTATGTCTGGCACTCAAGGTGAAGGTGTCATTTTTTTCTTTTTTCCTGTCTTTTTTATACTTGCTGATTTCGTCCCGTTCTTCCGGATACTTCGTGTATATTCAGTGGTGACATCAATCATATTGAACCTGATAACAGTGTCCATTCGGATTCATCTCAGTGTTCGTCCCTCGGCGGCCCCGGATCCTAAAGATACGCGGCACTACTCACCCTTTGTCTGCAATGTGCAATTTGTTTCAATTTTGGAGTCGGTATGTATATACGGTGCCCATAAAATCCGAATTTTCACTAACAGGATTACAGCTGGAGAACGATATCGTTTCCTCATATCTGCCCCAAAGATGACAGAATTGACTGAACCCGAAGTCAAGCTTGAAGCTCTCTTAGGCATCATCAACTCCTCTGCACGCCAAGCAATTGCAGAATACAAGAAAACTGGACATGGGGTGCCCAGTGCAGATGCAACTACCTTCCACCCCCTCGACATGGCGACAGATACGCTTGCCCTCAGGAAAGCCACTAGGCTGCTTGAGGGTGCATATCACCAACTGAGTGCAATACTGGCTCCTCCCCAACACACAGTGATGAATGTGAGTGCCGGTCGCCGATGATGTTCACTCTGGTGCTCATTTCCTTAGTTCGTTTTTGATTACAATTGGGCATGTACAGACGTTGCCTTGCGAGCACGCTTTGCGGATGTTCTGGAGCAACACCCGGAAGGCCTCAGTGTGGATAAGCTAGCTGAAGCAGTCAACCTCGACAAGAGCAAGACTGCACGCGTCTTACGGGCTTTGTCCCTCATGGGTTGCTTTAAAGAAGGTGACATGCTGTTGGTGGAGAATTGTATAGTATAAAGCCTTACGGTAATGTGTTTAACAGTCGAACGGGATGTCTTCACAAACACCCGACTGTCCCTCATACTCAAGTCAACAAACAACACTGGGTGTTATGCGCAAACTCATTCCCGGGATGTCTCGAAATACGCCGGAGTCCTCTATGAGACTATGACCGACCAGGAATTTTCACGATCGCATGAGGTCGAAAAGGCACCCCGTGTATTTGCCTGCAGGAAAGAGGGTACGGAGGAGAGTTTCTGGGACATGATGAAGAAGGACGTGAGTTTTGCCACTATACTCCGGTCTTTCCCTACCTTAACACAATCTCTAGGATGAAAGACGCGATGTATGTGTGGAGTCATCTATGAATGATTGACGACTCACATACACATGTATAGATATTTCACAGAGGCATGCTTGGCTACAGTGAGATGACGGGCACTTCTACATTTCTGCATCGTAAGCCACCATAATTTTTCAATCATTAACACAACTGTACAGCAGGTCTATAAGAATACCATTGGGACAATGTATGCTCTGTGGTTGACATCGGATCTGGCATTGGAGCGTTTTCTATGCCCCTGGCGAAAATGTTCCCTCACCTCAGAATACCAACCATGACCTTCCGGAAGTTATGGTACAGGCACAAAATGTGAGTACAGACTCCCAGTAATATAGTCATTCCAGCACAGCGGGCACATCATTGATATCTGATTAGGCCTGGGAGAAGGATGCTCCTGATGCGCTATTCGATGGACGCGTGGAGCTCGTGCCAAACAATTTTCTCGAGGACATACCTGCTGCTGGCAAGGATGTCTACTATGTAAGAGCCTATATCTGTTTCATCCATCGCCGGTAACTTGATCACTTACTATATAGTTGAGACACATTCTCCACGACTGGCCGGACGCTGAGGCAACGATGATCCTCCGTAACGTTCGCAAGGCCATGGGACCAAACAGCGTAGTGCTAATTCGTGAGTCAATTGCGATCCGATGTGTTGTTTCTTCAAGGGCCATATCTTGCATTAGATGATTGCATCCTCCTTCACACATTCCAAGAACCTGGCGTAGGAACTACTGAAGGGTTAAGCATCGTAAGTCTCAGAGCGCAGCCCTGATATATTTCTGAACTCAGGACCCCCAGGCCCCTGAACCTATGTTACCGAACTTCGGAGCAGGCAGTCACGGAGTGTACCAAATAGACCTGACTATGTGGTTCCTTGTGAATGCCAAGGAACGAACTTTGGACGAGATGAAGATTATTGCGCAAGTTCCTTATAATTCATCTTTGACACGTCGGTGACAACTGATTGGTGATGATTCACAGGGCCACGGCTGGTCTAGCACTCACCCAGGTTTATGATCTCGTAGAGACAATGGTCATGGAGTTCAGGATCGCTTAGAGCTGATATCAAGAAGTTCTTCAAATACGTGGTGCATAATCATTGTACACTTTGAAAGATTAATAGAACTCTCGACGGTTTCCATCTTACTGATTCAAATGCGCGATCTTATGCATCCAGTTCCGTTTCTACAGAACTGGGCACTACCCCGACATTAATCAACACTTTCTACTTCCGATAAGATTACTCGCATCCAGAAACATAACCTAATATTAACCTAGCAATCGCCAGAGGAAGCTGCGGACTGTTCTACGGCGATCCTGGTGGTAAGGGCGTATTCATGGTCATCATCTCGGATAGGGGTGGTAAGGATGCCTGCGTCGACAGATTTGTGCAGGTTAAGCATCAGCCGAGAGATAAGAGTCACGGACATGCTAGAGTGCATGGTCAGAATCAATCCGTATTACCGCGCCAGATACTCACCAGCTAGTAAATGGAGCCAGACCGTCCCTGGTGGTATTCTTATAAGTCGCCAGTAATAGTTAGTCAATTTAATCATAAGAAGCAGGTGTGTGCTCACTGAACCAACCTGAACCAAAGAGTGAGTGTGCGACTTGACAGACATTTCATTAGTAGACTCACGTAGGACGTCAGAATGTTAGGTAGATTAACCAATGACATCACCCTGAATGGAAGGCGGATCAGATTTATTCGAATCACTGTTTCCCTAGCAAGCTCACGCGAAATACATTGCGCCTGCGTTTACTTGGATCAATGTTTACGATATCGATGCAGCGAAAATTACCATCTTGAAACATGATATCAAGTAAATTTCTCCTCGATCTTGTCAGAGACGGTCCTCTAGTTTTGTATATCCTGTGAACTGTGAGGACAAAGATGAGTAATTCGTAGAGAAGTAGTGTCGTCCATCCCAACCCAGGACCTGCGATTTAATTAAGTCATAGCATCATATTCCATGCAAATCCGACTGCGAATTCACTAACTGACGGCTCTGCAACATCTTTTGAGCAAGCATGCGGAAGGGTGAGGAAGATGGCGTACATCTTTTCTGAATATGATTCAAAGCAATTATATCCTAGCACGAGAGTGCTTGAACGGAATGCAAGCGTTGCCGCCTATAAGCCATAAGTAGACTCCCAGAGTACAAAGGCTTATGCGAATACGTACAGTCCCTCCCCCAAGAACAAGACCGATGGTTACCATCCAAACAAGAAGGCGTTTGCTACGGCTGTAGAGAGCATAAGTGCGAAGAGTCAATATAACTGGAAATGTCAGTACAAGTATATAGTTCTCGTCATGAAATTTTACTCACGGCCAACGAAGATTTGTTGGAACAAAAGGAGCAGTTCTCTGTATATTAGATATGGCTGACAGCTAGGATTTTGTTGAGTAAAACAACACATGTTGAAGAACCAGAATTGAAACCTCTGCAGAATAAGATATGAGCCTGCCAGCTGGGTACGCGCATAAGGAAACTATAGAACCTCATCTGACATGGGCAGAACATACTCAAATAACATATAAACGTTGCCGAACAGAGCAAAATAGCGATTGGTGAGAAATAATATTGCAGATAGTGATCTCGGGCGACACCAGATGAAAGTGATTTCATCTGTGATAGTTGCCATGTGGTCGTATATCAGGATACCTAGAAATTCAGAATATTGTGTTATCGTCCTGAGGCTAAGATAAAAAGTCATAGTACTGTCTGCCACGAGAACGACGTATAACTTGAAGCTCATCGACCTGGGAATGCTCGCTGAAGATCAGGACACACCAAATCCGTACATTACTCACATCTGCTGCACTTCACCACGATGAGACAGAGCACAACAAGGAAAGGTGTTGATGAGAGGGCATCTGACGCTGTGATAGTGTATCCGCCTTGTGTGTTGGGCATATAGGCTAGGCACAAACACAGTCACACACAGCTAACGTCACGGATTGGCGTGTTGAATATGTTTTTCCTAATCCATTGACAGACCAAGCACTAGTATCCTTGGGAACAACGCCCAGGGAAGTCCAGCCCAGGGAACCGGCGGCCCAAGTAAGGGATGTCCTGGATATTCTGAATTGAAGCAGGGCGCCTTGTTCTGAACTTTAGAAGCAACGTACAAATGATAGACGTATGAGCGCTCAGCGCATGCAATATGCCGACCGGATATGAGTCATATGACTATTACCTATGATCGTGAGTTCGTGAACGCTGCGAACGTTTCAGGGGTACAGCATGGTGAGCTCGTTCGTCCAGATCACGGTGTGGGTAGATTATGCATATATAGATCCTGAATGGGTGTTATACCATGTAACGGGGCCAGTCCCCGACACATGTGCATCATAAATTATACAGTCTCTAATTATAAGTACTATACGTACAGGTAAAAACAGAACGGATTCAGACATGACACCGTTTAGCATCTTACGGGACCGCCAATCATAAGCAGGCACACAGTGAGCATATCGACTCGGTCTCGTTCCTCGGCCAATCGACATACTCACTGCGACAAGAAGTAGCCTGAGGGTCCAGTACTTTGTGGCACAGACAACACTTGGCACACGAATATCGGATTTGGGTAACTTGCATCGACAGACAACAGAAGGGTGTTTTATGAAAAACATAGAACACCGTGGACCGTCTGTAGATAAACAAACAATTTTAGTCGATCAATTCAATCCGGACAATCACTTTAACAACATTGAATATTGACCAATATTTGCCGAATACAATTATGCTTTTAACTACATACTATGCACGTCAATACTTTATCTTGAAGTTCCGTCAGACAGACGCTCCACTCGCTAGGATTCAGCTTCACCAGACTGCAAGCAGCCCGACAATGCATAAACCCAAACGTCCTCGAGATCCCCGCAAGCGGAAACCATGTTCTCTGTCGAACGAGTGAGCGCTGGTGTCATCCAGCGGAATTGAAGGATGTGGCATGTGTAAACATGCGAGACTCGAGTTAGTTTCTATAAAATAGATCCTAGCTGAGTATGTTCTGAAGAATCATAAAAGTTCGAGGTCAGGTTTATATAGTTTTCTGTTGATGGTCTGTGCGTGGAAAATTCGCTGTGGCGTCACGCTTGTTTTAGAAGGCAACGGCAGCTTTCAGTTGGCTAAGACCTTTAAATTCACGACCACAAAGTTTTATGTATTCTGACACTAAAATGCCTCTCGTTTAATCCAGGCCTGTTGTCCAAGCTTGAATCAAATGAAGAGGAATTTTGGTGCGATGATACCACATGGATTTCCCTTGCTACATTCTCTTGAGGCTTCTTCGGCACAGTCGTAGCAGAGGTTTGAGACTATGATACGCATGTTCTTTCGAGCAAGTTCACCATACACAAAATGAAGGGGATGACTGGTAGATGACGCGGACGACGGCAGTGATGATGGAAGAAACAACATGAGATCAGAAGCGCCCACACATGTTGGGTTATGACTCTATGAGCAAAAAAACATACGCCACTCACCACCCGTACACAAAATCTACAACGCGGCGATATCACTTGAACGTACGCTCCTCGTCAACTTGAAAAGATACTGATCATCTCTCTCTGTATATTTCAACACGATATCATGTCGGGGCTGCCTGATTCAGATGCAGCGAGAGATCTCATCAAGCACTTTGAGGAGGGCAGCCAGTGCTGGCGCACTGTGCAGATAATCATGAAGCCGCGGTCCGGTACCAACGTGGACAACGCAAGAGCACACAGTCGAGTGGATGCAGTTGGGATCTTCACAGGCGGTCGACAGGTGAATTGCAGGCAGTGGAGATAAGAATACAATAATTTTCTGGGACGTCGAGAACAAACAAAAAGTATTCAATCTGCTGGTGAAACGTACAAACGGTGCACCTGTTTACTTCTCGCTCGATGGCAAAAGACTTGCCAGCGGGACAAAGGCTGGCGCTGGGCTCGCAATACTCGAGAGTCTGGTGCTTGGGTATATCCTGGCTCTAGAGGCGACATCCTTGCCAATCTCAATCTAATCATTAAGATGCGGTGTATGCTCATACATCAAGTTCATCGGACTTGGATAGAACATTAGTAATAGGACGTTCAGTATATTAAACAATTAATGTCATCGTTCTGAAGGAACGCGGATCCAGATTGACTCCAATCAAAATTTCACTGGCACGATCATACGCATGTATTCCAACACAAAAATGACTTGTATTCTTCTAGTTCAAGGCTGCAAGTACAAATCCCAGCCAACAGCAACCTCAAGTTGCCCCGTTATTTATACGATTTAATACAATCACATCCCGTTGAGAAACTAACAACAGCTATGTGAACATACGTGCCCGCCGCCGCCGCCGTCGCACAGGGTTTACACACTGGAGTTTTACATTTAGTGCACGGGCCGACGAGTTCCACGTATTTTTCCTTTGCTACATTCTCTGGGGCTTCTTCGGCACAGTCGTGGCAGAGGTTCGAAGCTCTACAGCCGCGACATCCCACAAGGTACGAGCATCCATCGCAAAATGGCCTGTTGCAGCGAAGACAGCGTAAAAAGCCGCCTTTTTTTGTGCAGAGGTCGCACGTCCAGGTTTCATCGCATAGACAGGTTGTGCCGCCGACAACACAATCGATACAGATGTCGCTGTACCAGCAGCGGTGTCCTGCGGCACATGGCCGCCAGCGCATGCAAGATAAAGGAAATGCAACGCAGTTGCGCGCAGGACACATAACTTTCAGACAAACCTTGCATTGGAGAAGGTCCGATCGACAAAGATCACATTGATGATTGTGGCGAGGGTCTGTGCTCGCGATGAGGCCTGTGTTCATAAGGAGCTCGTGAAATTTCTGACGGGCCAATAGTTTGCATTAAAACAATTAGATCAATAGTACGAATTAGTAGCTCTCACCTGCATTTGAACTCGTTCCCACACCTGACCCGCAGGGTAGCTTTCTGGTTCGTCTATTTCGTATCCGGATTCATATACATCGTATTCTGGGTCATTTGGATCTGGGGCGAACTGAGACCTCGCAATGGTGAAATCGCAGATGTCTGTCACGGTCGACACGAGCTCAGGCGGGACGGGTATACGTGATCCTTGTATCAAGTCCTCGATTTGCATAGACGGTAATATGACAGCAAAGCGTGGAGAAGTCTGGCTGGATAGACTAAAATGAATGAAAAGGCTTGATAATACAGATGATTCGTTGGTTTCTTCTGAATCTTCATAACCAAAGGTTGCGGTATGTTTTCCTTCATGGATCCCCGACGGTTCATTTTGCGGATCCAAAAGCCCGTAAACGGTCTTCATGATGCGAAATAATTTCACAATCATTGGGTGACAATAATCTTGATCAAGGTCATCCATGGTTGGCGGGATGATTGTCCAGTTAGGCATAGTGAAACAGAATTCGTAATTGCAAGTGAAAATGATAATAAGTCTAGTAACAGTGAGAGGTGCGTGAGATGCGTCGATGTATCTTGAGATTTAGGACATGACGAGGTCTTTATAAGCTGCAGAAGGTGAAAATATAGAGAGCTGAGAGGTTACTTACAAGATCGCGTATATATGGTGTGCGCCACTGTGCACACGTTCAGTAACTCTAGCGTGGTTGCGATCAGATATTTAGTGATATCGAGAGGATATGAGCAGAACCAGAGTTCACGGCATCCACCACAAAAGACGACAGCTATCGCAGTGAAGTCGCGAGTACTTATGCCTACGATCGTTACTAGGTGTGGTTAAGCAATTAATGATCGATCGTCGATCATATCATCACCAAGGTTATTTGGCACTGTTTGCCTCTTCCCTAGGCCTGCACTTGCACCAGCATTTGGTTGTCTGGTTGTATATCATGTCCTCGAATCTGCTGAAGCTCCCGGACGGCACCGAACCAGTGACCAATGCAGACGAGGAGGTCAGCTCAATTCACTTATATTATGATTCAAATCTATACCATCGCAGATCTTCCTCGTATACACAGCTCTGAACCAAAAACCACTCGACCAGACAGGACCAGACGGGTTCCGCGGCCTAGGACACGTTGATTCTCGCAAGGACACTCTTTCCATCCGATTTGAACTCACCGCGCCATCACAGCCAACACCCTCCTCAGGAACTGCTGAATCTAAATCGGCGTCGAGATCACGAAAGGGCAAGTCTGCGAAGAAAACTCGTAGTGAAGAGAGCCCACATGTCATCGAGATTGAGCTCGCGCAAGATAAAACTGCGCTACGCAGTCGAAAAGGAGATACTGGGAGTGTCTTGTGGCGAGCGAGGTAGGATCATGCTGCGTACTTTGTTCGCTTGGCAGATATCCGACGAGGTGATGGTAGCATTGCTTTCGCTCAAGTTATCCTGCAGCAGTATCGCTTCCCTCCAAGCAACCCTTTAGTCGATAAGGATCTACTTCGAGAGAGCCATATACTTGAGTTAGGGTGAATTTCGACGTTTGTTTGGTTGCTGTTTTTATTCACCCTGATCGGTTGGGCAGTGCAGGCACGGGTTTGCTTAGCATCGCGCTTTCTGCATGTGCAAAGAGTTACACTGCAACGGACATCGCACCCCTTCTTCCGCTTATCCGAAAAAACGTCGCCCTTAATTTTGCGGGTTGGACGCAAAATACAAAGCCCCCAGAGGAGTCACCAGGATCGAATATCTCCGTGGAAGAGCTAGACTGGGAAACACTGCTGTCCTTGCCGCCGGCCGGTCGGTCACGCTATTACCCAACGCCGCCTGAGCCCAACGCCAAGTGGGATCTCATCCTGGTCGTTGATTGTATCTATCACCCTTCCCTTCTTCCTGCACTCGTCGAGACAATCGAGACTGTCTCAACTGCAGGGAAGACGTGGGCGTTGGTGATCGTTGAACTGAGACAAGAAGATGTGGTGAGGGAGTTCCTTGAGAGATGGTTGACCAAAGGGACTTGGCGGTTGTTCAGGGTAGACGGGCTTTTGGATTTACCTTATGTGGTTTGGGCCTGTCAGAAGTATGCTTGATTATCGGGCCTTTTCAACATGTCGAGTGTAAACTTAACTTGTACTTGTCGGTCATTCAAGTTGTCCCGGAAGATCTACCTCGGATACCCTCCTCGGTGCCTTGCACAGCATGAAGTCATGAAGATCGACTATGTTGGCCTCCCTAGAGGTTATGCAAAGGACTGTAAGATTGAGGGTTTCCCTCGAGGCTGCGTTGCCTTTTTCTAGATAAGATATATAAAAAGACAAAGTCGGTAGTTATGCAAAGGCTATATACTATAGGAGATCGGTCGGTCTGGTGTGAAAGAACAAGAAAAATTGTGCTGAGACCGAGTCGCTGACTAAAATAAATGTCTTGGAAACCTTGGCCAGCCGCGCATCGAATTAAATCGATCATCCGCAGTACCAAGACACTCCCATTTGTGCCCCGCTGTGCGAGCACACCAACACGTTCTTTCTTTCTCTCACCACTGCCTCGTTCGATACTGTATAAACATCTATTAAGTTCTCGTTTTCATCGCTTTCAAGTCAGGTCACAGTATTCGCAATGTTTTCCTCGTTGGCACTCGCACTGTCTTGTCTCCTCATCATCTCACCGAATACTTCTGCTGCCCCAAATTTAGTCCCGGCTGCTGGCCAGTCTATCCCTCTCATCCGAAGAGCTCAGCCCGAACGAACTGTCGCCGATTGGGAAGCATGGGCTAAGAATGAACGAGAAGTCCTCACTGCCAAGTATGGGGGAAACATAGAAAAAAGGAGTACTGGAACAAATTTGTGAGAATTGGCTAGCATATCCATTTCCCCGTCGTTGACCAGTCACTTCACAGGTTGACCAACCAGAATGCGGATTCAAGGTCAGTCAGGATTCTCTGCCGTTGATTGACTCATCGAACGCTTTCATTTTAGTTATTTCGGCACTGTGGCCATAGGAACTCCACCAGTCGCCTTTAATGTCATCCTTGACACTGGCTCGTCGTGAGTTATTTACCCCTAACAATTTTTTGGGGACTGTATTCAACATTGTCTACGAATTAGCGATCTCTGGGTCGCAGATCAAGGCTGCACCACCGGTTGCTCCAAAGTCCAGCTATTTAATGACCTAAGCTCATCTACTTTCCACAACCTGTCAGAGCCCTTCAACATCCAATACGGTTCTGGCGCTGCAACAGGCTCATTAGGCCAAGACGTCGTACAAATGGCTGGGTTCTCTGTTCCCAACCAGGTTTTCGGTGTTGTCACGCAGGCGACATCGGGTCTTCTGAACCCACCCGTGTCTGGCTTGTTGGGTTTGGCATGGCAGAGCATAGCTACTTCGAAAGCGGAACCGTTCTGGCAGACCTTGGCAAGCTCTGGGGCTTGGACAGATCCGGTCATGGCGTTCCAGCTCACGCGGTTCGTCAACGGTTCGAACGTCAATGATGCGGAGCCTGGTGGATCGTTCACTATGGGTATGTCGTCTTTTCTCGGAGTTTGTTTACGAATTGATGGACCATTGCTAGGCTTTGTTAATAGCAGTCTTTACACCGGCTCCATTGATTACCAATCCATCCCAACGACGCCATCTTATTGGCTTCTACCGATGACATGTGAGTTCATCCTTTGTTCGGCTTTGTAAAACCTGACATCGATTGCCTCCAAGCGTTAACTGTCCAAGGAAGCTCCATCTCCATCCCCTCTGGTTCTTCATCTTACTCCGCCATCGACACCGGGACCACTCTCGTCGGCGGACCCTCTAGCGTCATCCAAAACATCTTCGCTCAAATTCCAGGTTCGCAGCCCGGCACAGGCAACTGGCAGGGATACTGGACCTACCCCTGCAGCACCGCCGTCAACGTCGCCATCTCCTTCGGCGGACCCAGCTGGCCCATCTCTCCCGCCGACTTCCAACTCACAAAGATCAGCTCCTCCCAATGCGTCGGTGCATTCTTCGAACTGAACACAAGTGGCAGTGCGCCAAATTGGATCGTCGGCGACACTTTCCTCGTAAGCTTGCTTTCCTGCTGCTTGAATAATGATCAGTTTGCTCACTTGGAGTGATTGTAGAAAAACGTTTATTCGGTTTTCCGGTATAACCCGGCTGCTGTTGGTTTTGCTGCGCTATCGAATACCGCGCTTGCTGCGAATGGGATTAATGCTGCTGCTCCTTCGCCTACTATTGGTTCGGTCTCGGCTAGTGCGACAGCGGGCACGGGGGGTGGAAGTAATGCTGCTTCTCATCGTTGGGGTGTTTCATGGGCACCGCTTGTGGGTGGTATTTCTGTCGCTGTTGGTGCTGCGTGGATGTGAGACGTCTTGCATGATTTTGGATTGAATAGGGATGGATGAATGCATGCTCGATCGGGGACATTTACTGATCATTTGTTTATTGACGACGGACTCCACAGGACAATGTCGCTACACCATGGATTGTATATTTAGCATCAGTATGATATGATTGTATCTCTTAATATTGCTTTGCATCGTGTTCATACATAACATCGAGTCAATTAGCAGCTTGACAATTTGTGGTGTGATAGAATGTGGCAGTATTGCAAGCTGAGCTTCGTGAGTCTTCGGACGAACGAATAGCATAGTACCAATTTGAACCGCGTTGATTTTCATAACTATCAATAAGAGAATCGGTCGTACATGACTATCACAAGTCTCATCCTCGCCTAGACACCGCTTTGAGCACCCATAGTGACAGGTTTTCCTTCATCATCGTTCGATGCATCGTCAAGGCTGTTGGACACGTCGCTAATACTGCTGCCAGATATGTCACCAAAGCTGTCGGATACGTTGCTGTCCACGAAAGAGCTGTAGAAGCCGGCGGTTACACCTTCGGGTGTCGTAGTGAAGGGTGTATCAAACGCAGACGAGTCAGACTGCGCCAGTGGTGTCTCGGATAAGTTCGGGTCGTGGGACGGGTCGTTATCCGCGGGGATGATCGCAGCTGTATCTCCAGAGGGAGGGCTTCCCACAGGGTTGGCTAGAGTTTCGGGAGTTTCGTTGCCGGCGGAAGTACCAGTCGACGTGGGCCCAGTTGCACTTCCAGGCCCGGGTGTCTCTGAAGGAGATGGGGTAGGTGAGGTGGTAGTCGCAGAAGTCGTCGAAGGACTACTACTAGCAGTGGAAGAACTAGCACTCTGATCTCGCTGATCACCAGACGCTGGAGGCTGAGGAGCGTCTCCTGGAGTGGTCGTATCAAGCATGCTATCGCTCCCAGGTGATGCGGTAGTTGCAGGAGTCGTCGAAGGACTACTAGCAGCGGAAGAACTAGCACTCTGATCTCGCTGATCACCGGACGCCGGAGGCTGAGGAGCACCTCCTGGAGTGGTCGTGCCAAGCATGCTATCACTCCCTGCCGGATCCTCGAGAGCGTTGGACAAGTAGCTGCCTTGCTGACGAGCGACGTGGGAGCTAGAGGATGAACGACCGCCGGACTCGTGGCAGAAGAGTAGGAAGTCGGTGAAAGCGCGCTCGGAGAGTCCAGTGGGAGGGTGAAGTTCTCGTCTGCCAAGGAGGACGAGGGTGTGATGAGGGTCTGGATAAGCGACGCCTGCGATGATACAGGAGGATGACTAGTAGCAGGGCAGGCGAATAGAATCAACGGCACATCTTGATGGATGATTAGGGACTTACATGTTGGTGGTGGGTGGTGGATTTAAGAGGTGCTGCGAGCACGGTTGGGAGTAGGAGAGCGAGAGTTGAGAAGGAACGCATTATGAATGAATGTGGGGTAATAGTAGATGCGGCAAGCAAAAGAAGTCAAATCGAAGTTGAGGACAAAAACGTGATGGGTTGGAGAGCGAAAAGAGCGAGTTTTTGTATGCCATGAGCTCGGTGGCTGACAAGGACATCATTGGCTGACAGAATTCCTCCTCATGTATCATGAACTGGCTGAATATAATTAGATCGACGTTTCAGAGCATCGTTCAGTACTTCAGAGAGTATTGTGGTATGTGAAATTGGCTCGTCATTGCAGAATGCATGCCAAAATGGTCCAGTCGGTAGTAAGAAAAGAATAGATAATACAATAGAATACACTAATAAATAAGAACCCTCTACGAACGCTCGCCACGAAGCCGCCGTGCAAGAGCAAGATCTTTTGGTTGAATAGTAACACGCTTAGCGTGGATAGCAGCCAAGTTGGTGTCCTCGAACAATGAGACGAGGTATGCCTTCAGCAGCTTCTTGAAGAGCCATCACGGCAGATGATTGGAAGCGCAGGTCAGTCTGGCAAAAGGAATGAGACGACTGCAGTTTATATAAAACATAGAACTAACCTTGAAGTCCTGTGCGATTTCACGGACAAGACGTTGGAAGGGGAGCTTGCGGATGAGGAGCTCTGTTGATTTCTGGTACCGACGGATCTCACGAAGAGCGACGGTACCGGGGCGGAAACGATGGGGCTTTTTGACACCACCAGCGCTCTGAACAAGTAGTATTGTGAGCAGAGTCCAGTAGTTTAAAAACAATACGTACTGCTTGTGCAGTCTTGCGGGCTGCAGACTTGGCTGCCAATTGCTTACGAGGGGCTTTGCCTGATAGCCAATGAGCTCGAGTTCCCATGTGCTAAACTAGAAGAGTGACTTACCACCAGTAGACTTGCGAGCGGTTTGCTTGGTACGAGCCATTGTTAATTTGCAAAAGAGATGATAGTTCGGGAATGTCACCGAATTGGGGTGACCCTATATACAGACGCGTCGCGCTGTCACGTGAAAGGTCAATCAACAAACCGGATACGGTTATTCAGCACAGCCACCCACCGATGATATAAAAGCAGACGTTGCTCATTTCGGCGTCGTCATCTTCCCACTCAACAAGTTCACCCGCTTTACTACACTCAACACAATGTCTGGCCGTGGAAAAGGTGGCAAGGTTAGCTTTGTAGTCTGGAGCACATCCTGATCTAGGTCTCATTTATCTTCAAGGGTCTCGGAAAGGGTGGTGCCAAGCGTCATCGTAAGATTCTTCGTGACAACATTCAGGGTAAGTCATTGGCAGATACTTTGCCTTGTCATCGATCTAACTGGCATGTCCAGGCATAACAAAGCCTGCTATTCGTCGTCTTGCCCGTCGTGGTGGTGTCAAGCGTATCTCTGGTCTCATCTATGAGGAGACTCGTGGTGTTCTCAAGATCTTCCTTGAAAATGTGCGTTGGTAGACTCATGGACCCATATAACTACTCACTTCTTCCAGGTCATCCGTGATTCGGTAACATACACTGAGCACGCAAAACGGAAAACCGTCACCGCCCTCGACGTCGTTTACGCACTCAAGCGGTCAGGGCGTACTCTGTATGGTTTCGGCGCATAGACATTTTTCGATCTTATCCTATTATTTATACTGTATCAGTACTGTAATTTTAACTCTTTCCTTTTGTCTAAGCCCATGTTTGAATTTGAGGTCATCTGCACGTGGCCCGGATCATCCGTCGCCGTCAGTCCAAACTTATCTCTTACTTGGTCCTGCACTGACAATCAGTATGTCCGTGGTTTTACCGACTTTTGATGTATCTTTCGTTCACAACCAATGATCCCGACTACGACGGGCTATGAATCCAACCACGATGACTGTTGAGCTAAATGGTCCACAGTGTTTGACTGCGGACTCGGCCTTATTCCTACCAAACGAGACTCTTGCTGCTATCTGCCGTGGTCTTTCACCTTCTGTCCTAACAGCTGTTGCCCGTGTATCACGCCAGTGGAGGGGAGTAGCAGAATGGTTGCTCTATTCAAACATCTTCATCACAGAGACCCTCTCTGCCTCATCTCCATTCCCATACAGCACCCTTCGTTGCTGCCAGACCATTCGGCTACATTCACATCTTGCCAGCGGACTCCACAAACTCCATATCCGATGGAAATCAGAGAACGGTGCATACTACGAACCACACTTCACCATGATCCTCTCCAATCTCTCACAAGCAATAGGCCTCGCAACCAACCTCGAGTCCCTAGACCTACATCTCGGCCTGCCATCTCTACCAGAACACCCCACTTCAACTTCTTTCACATTCCCTTCTACCGATACGTGTTATCACTCCCTCCGACGCGTCTCTCTCAGCGGCATCGGCCCCTTTACCCACAACCGCCTCACTGATTTTCTCCACGTTCTCCCCGCCGCACAACATCTCCGTCTTCCCGACTATCACGACCCAATCACCCTCCTCCCTCAAGCCATTCCATCTCTCATATCATTCTCCGGCTCGCCACGCGTAGCCGCTGCAATCCTACCCGGAAGACCCGTACAATCCCTCGTACTCATAGGACAGGACTACATCCCAGACCTAGACCTAACCCAAATGACCCTAACAAGCGTCCCTCTCCGCCATCTGGATTTGTCATCCATGCTAGTTACACCGACATTACTACGAAATTTATCCAGAAATCTTAATACAGTCGAGTCGTTGAAAGTGAAGCTTGCGTTAAGGCATACTTTACATTTCGCTGGTATCGTGAGTTCATTTCTTATTGGGTTACTGTTTTGCAGTCTCGTTTTTCAAAGTCGTTTATTAACGACTTTCCGTCGTAGGGCTTGCTAGCAGCGCTTTCACACCTCCTCGGCGCATTTCGCAATCTTTCTACGCTTGACCTCTCGCCTACGCACGTAGATTATACCGGGGTCAGTAACAGCACAGAAGAGCTCTCACTCTGTCAATCATGGCAGAACGCGTGTCCTTCACTACGACGCGTCGTCTTTCCCTCCCAAACAGAATGGACGTTCCAAGAAGGCGATAAGACGTGGATATCTGTTCATGCAGCAGAATCGCGAACTCGGAGGCGGGTAAGTGCATTTTTAGGCTTTTGTAATTTGTTGTTAATGAGCAAATGCTGATTTCTTGTTATCTCTTCGTAGCCTGCGTTTTACTCGTCCAATAAGTTCCTTAGGACCTGAGCTGATATATCTATAAATTAAGGGGGATCTATGAAGTGAGGTAGAGCGGGGGAGTTGCTCGCGTGGCACTTCGCGTGGTACCCATGTGGCTAGGAATGACGGTGGAGAAGGGTCTTGCCAGCTCGCGTGGTTTGCGCTTAAGGCCATGTGGTTTTCGCTTAGGAACACTTACCTCGCTTAGCCTCTTTTTTGAAACCTCGCGTAGCATGAACTCGCTAACGATGAGGGAAAAACCTGCAAATGAGAGGCTAAATTCTACAAAGTATAAAAATACTCCCAAACGCGATATAGTGGACAGTGATCCGCACGCCTTCTGCGCCGCGGGCACAATACGGACGCACAGTGTGGTTTTCCTACTATAGGGGAAGGGCATCGAGAAATTAGCAAATGCTAGTGTTATCGTTAAAGCACAAATGAATACCTCTAGGATTGGGTTCGTTACTCATTGAGGTGCCTACAAACAAAGTGTTAGAGCGGCTGGTTAGGAGATTTCGGTGCTTGTACTGCTTTCGGAGCTTGTACAACCGATAATGGCACGTACCAAAAGCTAAAGCACCAATGAAGTCGACTCCTCCCCTCTTCTTCTCGTATCATCTATCCCCGCACTTTGTTAACATACTCTCCATTCTACACATCTGGTATAGTTTCATGCTAGTTTCGTTGTTGACATCCATCCTAGCGAGGGGGTGCCTTTTTAGAAAACGTGGAGATGAGAATCGGACGCGTGAATACGCTGGAGAGGCGCAGGGAAGGTATACTGTCGAGGAGGGCAGGTACTAAGGGAGCATTCTTGCTGCGATGGCCTGATCACCTCGGATCCTAGGTATCGGTATCTATGAAAAACAAGGCGGGTTAACGCATTGGAACGCCAAATACACGCACCTAAGCAATACACCCACAACCCCTCCACCTCACCGTCAAGTTAACCTCCACTAAAATATCGAAGCCCCGCGCCGCTTCGAGTGTTTGAAGGTCGTGAAAAGTTATCGCAGTCGCAATTTTGCCGATAGACAACGCGTTGTCACGGGCTCGAAGACGCTTCGTACGTGGGGCTTGAAGCTTGAAGTTAGGTGTCGTATTGAAAGAAATGGAGGGTCATCAAAAAGTTGGCGGTATCACGTGATGGTCAGTTGATAGCAAGTGAGGGCAAGCTCATTGTGTCACTCGTCCAATTCATCATGCATCAAAGCCTATACCTACTCATTGCACTTTTCCCCTGATGGAACAGTGCTAGCCACTAGTTCGTGCGCCGAAACGAAGCTTTGGAACTCCGAGGGGAACTATAATGTCAGTAATACTACGACTCGGAAGTTCATCGTACATCATGGAAGGCTTGCAGTTGCGTCGACCTGTAGGAGCCCACCAAGTACAACGCATGTGATACCAGGCAGCTCGACATTATCAGACGTCCGATATGTCTATCCTGGAAGGGTGCAACATGAAGGAGAACCGAGAACCGAAACGCGAGAATCTAGAGCAGGCAAGGATACAACATAGTTGTAAATTATGGCCGCATTTGCCCGAAACCACGAGCTAGTGCGATGAGAACACGAGCCTGGTAAGTCACGGTTTGAGGCCTGATGTACCAGAGACACATATTCTTACCTTTTATCACAGTTGGATGTAAGGATGCAATAAATCTTACCACTACTTGGTTAGCAGCTACGGGTGGTAGAAATGAAAAGATATCACAAATTCTCTCTCTCGTCTTCTGTCTTAACGCCTAACAAACACGCTTCCTCTATCTCATCATCATTCCCCTTCGAATCTTAACGCATGCCTTAGTCACCAGGACTTCGACTTCTCTACCTCTCCAAGGAAAGCAAACATCTGATCGCCCTAAACTTCGCCTCTGCCGTCACCAAAGTCTTTATTACACCCAATGGTCAAGCCTCTGGGATGCATGTCAAGAAGGCCTACCACGCTGGTGAGTTATTTGGTTAAATACAAACTACTCATACTCACACAACGCAGCCCAACAGGACACTCTGTGCACTGTGAATGACGCCATCAGATGAAAGGGCAGTATTCAGTGTCAGCGTCAGTGGCAGATACTGTCGCCGTCAAAGCAGCGACAACGGCGAGGACAAAGCAGAAACGCATTATTCGTGAGGATGTATGCGCTCTGAAAAATTTGAAGAGGAAAGTAGGAAGACGCCTTCCCTTAGGTGCTGAATTCTGTTCTTTATGTAGGACAACTGAGTTCACCTAAAATCCTCTTTCGAACTGATCTACCAGCCGATTGCCACCCAACATCTGCCTCGTGAACCAAGGTCTATTGGCAATTTTGTGTGGAGCAAGATGTCATCTTCTGACGCGAGGTCAATGCCAACCATACTGCCACCTGAAAAGATCTATTTCGTGAAGCAATGTCTGCTGGCGATTTGGTGTGGAACGGAATATCACCCTAATTACGAAGCCAACTCGCAACAAGGGCTGATAATCCAAGTTCAGCTTGTTGTTTGGAGTACGTAGGGACCACATGTCCCTCGTTTCGGAATGCTAGTGACAGACCTATGTGATGTAGCAGCCCGGCTGCCCGTAGCTATTTTGACGTCGCAGTCGTGACGCGCATGTGACGCGCACCAGTGCAAGCGTTCCTATGTGTTCTACATTTAGGCTTATATGACTCCCAGATCAAGTTTCACGGGTTCATAACCATCCCTTCGTTGTTTTATTCATCCGTACAAACAATCGACTCGCTAAGTACGTAGGACCTCATCATAGTGCAACTGCTGAACACCCACGCAAGAACTGAGACAAGGGGGGGGAAATTAACTTCAGACCTAAGGCCAACACCAGAACTCGCCCTGGCAGACGCAATGAACGAATATGAAGTATCCCACCAGATAGAAAAACAAGACACGCAAATTCAACCAGATGGAAAGGAAAGGCCACGCATGAAAATTCCAAGCAAGGGATCAAAACCTGCTGCCTCAGGCAGCCTTACTCTGGCCAGAGCCTCTTTTCGCAGGGGAAGTTTGTCCTGCCGGTCCGTCGGCCTTGCGCTTCCCTTTGGCATCGGTTGTCTTGGTCGCAGGTTTGTTGAAGAGGTACTTGGCAGCCCCGGTTGTCGGTAGCAGCCTCATAGACCTCAATCCCGTCCGGTAAACTCGAGAGTCGTTCGGATGCTTCTCGTCAGGACCTAAAGTCCAGCTGTAATCAGGCAGGTGAGCCCTCGAACCTTTGCACTAGCACACATACTCACAGTCACAAGTCAACACCCACCACGACATGCACAGGCGCAGTGATCTTCTGGCTGTATTTGGATGGGTAGATGGGCACCCCCGCAGCGTCGCGAACGTTGGGAACCATGACTGGTACGTCTTCAATTCCATAGAGCTCAATGCCAGACTGATAAAGGCCTCGGGGGTCCAGCATATCTTTCAGCGTCCAGTCCGTGATGCCTGTCGCATGTTGAAAGGCATTCATCTACCAAAACTGCTCACCTCGCATAGCCCCGTTAGATGCCTTCCTCTTGGGTGAGAACCGCTCTTCGATCATACTTGCACCGAGCAACAGTGAGGCGTGCAAGAATGCCGACTGCTATTATCCTTACTTGCAGTAAATCTCACGTCCGTGTCTAAGGTTATCTTCGATGAATAGGCAACTGTCGCAAAAGACAGGAGTGACATACTCTCGAAGTCTTCGATCGGGAACTCAGGCCTCAGGAACGGCTTCCTGAGTGACCTCAGCAGTATCCGGAAAGAGGTGATCACTGTGAATGATGGGCTGGTGATTAGCTCCATTGGTTGTCCCGGCGTTTCGTATAAATTGGATGACCTCCTTCCATCTATCGAGTGCGTTCCACGTTCCTGGCAACATTCAAGCGTGAGACCTCGTCCTTATTCGTGGTCACGGTCACACGCCAATAGGCGCTGTTGTAAATGGTCAGACGCCAATAGGCACTGTCGTAAATGATTTTAGTCCCCTTGTTCCAGAAAAGCATGACTGAGACGAGGATGGGTGGCACAGACAGACACACGGAGACTCCCGGGAAATCTGGTAAATCTGATCAAGTCGGTGGGAGTCGGGGATATTCTTTTCCTCCCTCTCTGACCCTCTGCGAAGTACGTTTGACGGGTGCAAATTCTTCAGCAGGCAGCGAATGGCTACCTTTCACAGGCGCAATTTCTTCTTCAGCTGGCATTTGAGGCGGATTGCGCAGTGACACTAGTTTTATGTGTGACAGGAGCCGTTGCAACAGTATAGAAGAATATTGCTATTGCTCACTTAAATCATGTAAAATGCTACAAACCTATGTGACATAGGCATCTGTGGGATTTGAAGCTAGGTGTCTGTGTCGAAGGAATGGAGGGGCATCAAAAGGAGGTGTCGGCATTAATATTGTTGTCGCGACTCACGAATCAAAGTTCACACCGCTGGGAAGCGCCAGTCCCCGACTTCAACTTCAAAAAATGACGACGGATTGGTAGTAAACAGTCTATCGATATAAAAGCCAGGCGCTTCGCAGATCAGATGCAGCACCACTTGAAATTTGACAATAGTATTCGAGTCAGGCTAATCATCATCAGCCTCCAGCTCAATATCAAAGATGTCATGGCTCTCCGTCGATAACTTTGAGTTCTTAGCAGGTGACTGACCTCCGAGCTCGTTAGTAACCTTCCTTTTGCCTTTAGGATCATGGAGAGCTTTCTTCGTGTAGGCTGCACATGGCAGCAACTGCATACGCCGAAATGACTGCTTTTGAAATTGAAACAGGTGTTGGTCATTCCCGCTCTCGATCTGTACGAATATCTCTCACCTCTGCCAGCGCATTCTGTTTGCATTCTAGACGGGCTGACATGTCCTTGACAAAGCGCGAGACAATTTCCTGTGACAAACGTTCAGTAACGAGCACGCCAAACTCATGAGCAAGAATCTGACAGAAAACAGCCTTATTTGATAGTAAATAACAACTCAAGAACGGAAAATATGCGAAATAAATATCACCCAAAACACTTGCTCTAGCATGAAATAGGTGCAGTACGCGTTGCTGGGTATGATTAGTGCATCACACGTTTTTCGATGAGAGAGCTTGTTGTAGAGTGTGCGATAGCGTGGCGCTAATCGAGGAATACATATCTGGATGTCAGTGCGTTTCAGCTTCTCTAAACGGCGAGCAGGATCATCAACAGATGCTGAAATCCACTGTAAAGACATGGCTTTAGAGGCTTGCACAGCTGCTGGATTGAGAGGAGGTGCGCTGATGACAGGAGGAGTACGTAGAGCAGCTGCCACCTCGAGACCGTACAAGTTCTGAAACTCAGCAGCAATCAAAGTGCCCCGTGATCTCGTGCAAGCAGGTGGGACTGATGCGGTCAAGAGACTCTCCGAGTCGTACTGGGATGTTTCGAGAGAAACACAGACATTCTGAATATCATGATTATTGTCAATAAAACAAGCACACAGAAAGAAACCCAAAACATACACACAAGTTCATCTCTATAGGCTAAAGACGACAGACTTCGAGTTTGTTGATGAGTTTAAGTATATGTATGACATCATCATCTATTGTATCTATATCGATGAATCATCATTTTTTTCGAAAGTGTTCCCACGCATCGAGGTATAGCTGCCTGGGGATTTGGATCCGACCTCCTCCCACATTCGCGGGAAGTCGGGGATGGCACATGGGGACGGTGTTTCTCTCGCGAGAAGTCGGGGATGGCACATGTCTACTCCTTGCACTTTTCTCCTGATAGAACAATGCTGGCCACTAGTTCATGACCCGAAACGAAACTCTGGAGTGCCATAAGGACTTAGGAAAAGAAGATGGTATAATGTCAGCAATACTCAGGCCAAGACTCGGAAGTTTGTTGTACATGGGAGACTCGCAGTTGTGTCGACTGAAGAATTTGCATCCGTTAAACGTACTTCGCAGAGGGTCAGAGAGGGAGGAAAAGAATATATAGTCATTGACTGATGTAGCTACTAGTATGTGTCCCTAGGATGAATAACATAACGAAGGGATGGTTATGAACCCGTGAAACTTCATCTGTGAGTCATATAAACCTTGCGGAGTAAGGTCATGGTGCTATTGGGATAATCTGCCAGTCACCTGACATCAACATCATGCTGTGCAATCACGCGTTCCTGTGCAATCATCACGCGTTCCATTGCCAATAAAGTACAAAATAAAGCGTGAATAATGATACAAATACAACGCTCAAGAACACGTTAACGCCCTACGGAATACCACCGGCAATAGTAATACAAATATCACGAACAAGAACACGTCCGCGCGTAACCTGTTAGCCCTTGGAACCAGTTGCCTCCGACGCAGTCTCAGGCTTCTTGTGAGGCGGTTGTTGATCATTGGCTTCGCTGTCGATAAGATGTAATTCGCCAGAGACTGAGTAAAAGCTGCTGCAACGGTCAAAATAATGGATGGATTGAGAGCACCAATGTAGCACCAAAGAACAAACAAAAAGCGTACACATGTGCCGTGCGATTTCGAAAATGGAATCGGAGCAAGGTCATCAGTTCGCACAGCGAACCCCTAGTAGAAACGCTTGCACTGGCGTGCGTCACATGCGCGTCACGACTGCGTCAAAATAGCTACGGGCTGCTACATCACATAGGCTTGTAGCATTCCGAAACGAGGGACATGTAGTCCCTACCCCAAACAACAAACTGAACTTGGATTATCAGTCCTTGTTGCGAGTTGGCTTCGTAAGGTGATATTCTGTTCCACACCAAATCGCTAGTAGACATTGCTTCACGAGATAGGTGGAAGTATGCTTGGCATTGACCTTGCTCCGGAAGATGACATCTTGTTCCACGCCAAATTGCCAATAGACCTTGCTTCACGGGGTAGACGTTATTAGGTCGGCTGGGGTATCAGTTCGAAAGGAGATTTCAGGTGGACTCAGTTATCCTATATAAAGAACAGAATTCAGCACAAGATGGCAAGGTTTCTTCTTACTTTACCCTTCAGAAATTTCTAAGCCCATACTATCCTCACAAACAATGCGTTTCTGCCTTGTTCTCGCCGCCGCTGTTGCTTTGACAGCGTCAATATCTGCTGTAAACGCTCAGGAGGAAGGAGGCTGTCCTTTCTTCTGCTTTACCCATTGGGAGTGCAGAAGCTGCGTGGAAGGGCACAGCTGCGTGAGTACGAGTAGTTTGTATTTAACAAAATAACTCACCGGCGTGGTAGAGATGGATGTCATGCACGACGTCGTAGGACGACTAGTGAAGCGATGGGATGCTCGACATTGGGGGTGGAATAAGGACTTTGGTGGCGTCAGAAGTGAAATTTGGGGTGATCATGCAGTGGCAATCTGATATTCACTTCTTTGGAGAGGTTACTGAAGGTTGAAAAGTCGGAGTTCAGATGACTAAGGCATGCGTTGAGTTTCGAAGGGGAATGATGATTAGGGAGCGTACGTGTCTGTTAAACGTTAAGACGAGAAATGGAAATGCGAGACTTGCCATAAATTTCATTTCTACTAATTAACCAAGCGGTGGTAAGATTTATTGCATCTTACTTCCAACTGTGATAGTAAGAGGTAAGAATATGTGTCTCTGGTTCATCCCTCAAACTCACTAGGCTCATGTCCTCGTCGCACTAGCTCGTGGCCTCCGACGCAATACGGCCACAACGCACAACTATGTTGCATCTTCACCTGCTCTAGATTCTCGCGTTTCTGCTCTCGGCTCTCCTTCAAGTTGCGCCCTTCCAGACTAGGTACTATTAGTGAGGGGAAGCTACCTTTCACAGGCGCAATAATTTCTTCATCTGGCATTTGAGGCGGATTGCGCAGTGACGTTAGTTCTATGTGTGACAGGAGCCGTTGCAACAGTAGAGAGTCACGGAAGCATTGCTATTGCTCACTTAAATCATGTGAAGCTCTGAAGGTCGAGTGGTGTGCACAGAGGCCGAACTATTATATTACCTGTTCTACTTGTCAAATTTGAGTTCTCAAATAACATCAGTCGAACAGCGCACCTGAGCGGTCATAGCAGTGGATGAGGTCCCAAACACCCAGGGGCTAATACCGTTGTAACCCTCAGAATGCTTACTAGCAAATGACTTATTCCTGCCTATGGACAAGAAGTGTATGAATTATGAATACTGTTATAAAATCAATTATTGAAAATGATATAGCCAAGTTAGACTGACGGTTGAAGCGGTGACGCGCAGGGTGGGGTTTGATGCAGCACTGATGAGGCACTGACGCGGCCGTGACGATGCATTGAGGCGGTACACAATTTGCTTGACACGGCACACTACTATCAAGCGTGGAGGTTGACATTAGTACGGAGACTGCGAAGATGTTGGGGAGAAATTATTGTGGTATGAGTGGTGCTCGACCCAGCCTGAATGAGGCTTGACAAGGTGGGGTCGAGGCTTAGACGTGGTGATGTAAATTTACAAATCACCCCATTAACTGATCGCCGTCCTACTTACAAATAATTCTAGAGGACGAAGGGTTGCAAGAGATGATAAAGAAGTAATGCAGGTAGGTGTAGTGGGTCTTATACCTCAGTGACATGAACCAGTGACCAGCATAGTTCCATCGAGAGAGAAGCAGCGAGTAGATCCAACTAGAACGGACTTCGCTGGGTTCAAGTTGGGTGAGAGGTTTCCCAGTTTCTCAGTGCCAGGCAATGAGCTCTCCGTCGACATCACCACTTGTTATCAATTGCCTGCATCTCGTGACACCGTCAATGCCAACATCAACTGTGATGCCCCTCCATCTTCAATATAACACCTGTCTTCAAATCCTACAGCCGAAGTGTCTTGTTGTTCGAAGCTGTGACCATTCGTCTTCTATCCGGGAAAATTATGACTGCCTTGACGCATCCTTCGTGACGTCTAACTCTCACAGACATGTGGTACTTGGAAAGAACTTCGACATTTGTTCATGGTGTTGAGGTTGACCTTGGAGGATTGTGGGCGTCTTTCCCGAAGCTGCAGAGATGCGTATATTTATGATGTGTCCTGTAAGCCCGCTGGCTTACCTGAGTTCCCATAATCAGCATAAATACTGTCTGCGGTAATCAAGTGTGAGCTTTAATTATCACTGCCTTTTGGCGTAACTGTCAAGGGACAACAGTCTTAATTACTTACATGCTCACCAACTTTGTGGGGGCTATCATGCAATAGTTTTGGTGAGAGCGTGAGAGAATGTTTGCATTGACTGTATGCAGATAGCTATTTGTGCAGAGCCCCGATAGCAGGCCCAAACCTGTGCAAGAGTGAGCCGAGGTGAGCTGCGAATCCCAACAAAGTCGGAGTGAATGCGACGCAGCGAAGTGAGCCTCGGGTCCTACAGTCGTAGGAGCTGCAGAGCGACACAATGAGGTGAGGAAACAAGGAGCATGATAGAAAAGATAGCTCAGCAAGAGGTAGTGCAGCACGAGGCAGCTTGGTGAGAGGGCAGCTTGGTGAGAGGGTAGGGTAGCTTGGAGAGAGGTAGTAGGTAAGAGGTAGCATGGCATCATCGCCGAAGAGGAAGCGAGGCATCCACATAAGCAAAATGCGGGCAAAAGCAATATTATGAGGGCAAAAGCAGTACTTAGGGATAGCTCACCACATGAAATTGTGGAAGCTAGGCGGAAGCTCCCTCCCCTTATCAGGTTTTCTGCCTCAGTGGAGTGAGAAAACCTGACGAGAGTCTGCAGTTGCAAACTTCCTGCACGGGTAAACATGAGAGAGCGGTGCCGGAGCACCATGTGAAGCTCCCGACCCATAGCCAGCTTCCCTGCCAGACTTGTCTTCATTGTATGCGGATGCATACAAGGATCTGAGCCTTCAGAGTTCACCGAGTTGACAGCATCATGAGGACCGGGAATAGACCGGGTTCCGAGATGGTAGTCGAAGTTCGAGGCCTGAGATTTGAGATCCGAAGAAGACTGGTGAAAGTGCGAGAAAGAAACAGCAGCAAGAAACAAATTACGAGAAAGAAAAGAAAATGGTGAGAAAAGAAAAGCAGAAGGCAAGAGCCTGCTGGAGTGTGGCCGAGCACTACGCTAGAGCCTAGTAGGTACTAGTAGGAGACAAGAGTAGTCACGTGCTGCACTGACGCTGTCCTTACTCTAACACTACGCTCGTGCCTCGCTTCGGGATAGACCGCCAGCATTTACCTGCCTAGACGTCCAGTACCTGTACCGTAGTTTCCACGTACCTGATCTAATTAGATATGACAGTGACATGTGCTGACGGGTCTAAATCGACATTTCTGGTTGTTACCAGCCACATGAATAAATACTGAATACCGAGGGGCCTTACAGTAGTGTAGAGTGAGTGACACTACTAAGTGGTGGTGCTCGGGAGTGTTGACACCCTCGGCTGTAGTTTCCAGAAAGTGGGAAATTAGTCGAAGACGTCCAGAAGCGCATCTACACGATTTCTCGATTGCAGATGTACGCATGCAAACTATGTGGGTAAGTGGGGTGACATCTAGAATACACGTTTAATAATACAATATAGTGTTATCGTAGCTGCTCACCTCATGGTCCTGTCCGCGGACATTTGTAGGATTGCAGAGAGCTAATTATTAATGTGTCGATCGAGATCGCCGTCGATGTCTCGTGTGAGAAGTTGTTTAGCAGTAGACAAGTCCCCTGCTACGTATGCATTGATTCCAGCGGTTGTGTTGATGAGGAGGATCCACGATATGTCATGGACATGCTCAGATTGCATTGTCAGAATCAGTGATGGAATCATGCCTTTGAATCAGGAAATTCAACTCGAACCTACGGCGGACTCGGAGGCGAGGTCTGCTTGGACTATCTGCGCGGGTAGTGAAATGTAAATAGGGAGGGACAACATGAAGCAAGGAGTCAAACCTTCGCTGACGTTGACCCGCAGCTCAGCTCACTCCAGTGAAGCAAGCACCCTCTTATCATTTACAAAATGCAAAATCGTACGATATCAATGTCACGTCATTCAATCCGATCCATTGATCTCCCAAACTAATTATAAGTGATACACAGTACTTGAGGGCTGAGTACATACATATCATCACGGTCCAAACGAGTACGCATGGATAAATAGAATCACAACCCAACGATTATATCAAACGAGTGACTAGAAATCTGTTCCAGGACCAAAGCCACAGCCGACCCGGCAGATGACCCTGGCCTGCGGCGGTTAACGGGTATCATGAGAGGTAAAGGAAAAACCACGGCAAGTTGCCTGCCCGAAGAGGGGCAGAGCCTAAGCACCCACTTCAGCTTCATCAACGAAGATGTCGGAATAGTGGTCTAAAATTGTCTCGATCGCCTGTAAGGTATAAATCAATGTAACAAAGCTGAACCAAGAGTTATCAAGGCTTGATAATCACCTTATTCTGAAAAGGAGCATCTGCTATGCCCCCGTTTCCATGACCCGAAAAACTCCCGTTACCCGGTATTATCTGACCAAAGAGAGTCTGTCCGAACACGATGGCAAGATTCTGGATAGACATGGAATTATCTGCCTCGTACTCCGCGATCCTGCAGCACGGGGTCAATTGATTGATCAGCGGAAATAAATGACGACAAGGGTGAACACACTTGTGCAAGTGCCCCAAAAAATATTTGAGTGTAGCGTAGTTCGGGTCCGGTAAGTCGTTGACTCGCTCGTGTAAACGTATGTGCCGCAGGCGATCGTTCTCGATTTCTGGAACTCTGTAAGAAGTCGCCATTTTTGGATAGCATAAATAGCTTACTAGCGGCTTCCACAAAGCCCTGATGCAGGGTTGATGTTAGTAGCGGATCAGGAAGCTCTCTGAACCACATCTTGAGGACGCTAGTCACATTGTTGATGTCAGATATCCACTCTTCCGAATCCAAGTTGACGGAGTCTATATCTGCGGAAATAGCCGTAAGCTCTAGGTCGAACAGAGCCGACGAATGCCAACCTTTGTCTAAACGCTCTTTCAGTGAAGCAACTTTCCGCGCCATACCACTGATTCGATAGATGCCTTGGGATCGAAGGCCATGCTTTTCGATAGCAACACAGCACTTTTCGAGGATTGCTGGAAGTTCAACATTGTCTCTCGCCATCTGCTCTGCAAGATCTACGCCGAATGTTGGCCGGCCCTTATCAGGTATTTGGGCGTTGTGACCATTCCCAATCGGAGCATTTACATGAACAGCAGAATGTGCGCCACCCCCGTGGGTCGGCAACGGTGGCAGCTGATAGTCGTGTTGGTGCTAATTCCAAAGAGAAAATGTGGATGACGTACAAAACCTTCTTCTGCTGGACCTTCGCGTCGCGGTCCGCGGGGAGCGGCTCCGCCACGCGCGTATGCATAGTTCTGCATGTAGACCTTAAAGTCTGCTCGATTATCAATAGACTCGATCGTAGATTTCAGGCCGACGCCTGTTTAATGTGTGATGAAGCGATTAGTAGGTACTAATTTGTGGCTGATGAGATCTTACCATCTTCTGGCCCTACTGGAACAAGGGTTGATCCGTCGCTTAGAACTATGCTCTCGAATAAAAATGCATATCTCGTCAAATGATATTGCGTCCCGAGGTCTATTTCGTCAGCACATTCTTTGAGAGCCTATAAAATTACATCAGCCCCATCACGACGTCACGGTTGATTTTACTCAACACGTAGTATCCGAGGGAGCTGGAAATTAAAGTATTCCTGTCTCATTGCTTGGGTATCAGTAAGTGCCTTGCGGTATGAGTCGGATGCATTCGATACACGTGTGCGGACGTCGTCTTCTTGTCTTTGTATCTGAAATGACGAATGAGGGACTGTCGTGAACAGCACAACAAATGCCAACATTTCCAGGATTCTTCCCTTTGAGCAGAAGCCCACCTTTGGCTACTGCTTTTCCAAGTGCTCGTTTACCTGCGACTCCTCCTTGGTTCTTGGCTTGCAAACCACCGTCCTTTAGGGACTCCCCCTCCTTCTGAAGCAAGACTCGCTCAAGTTCCTCCGATGAGACCTCCAATCGATTTTTTGACTTTTCCATGTTCAACTCTGATTCTTGCAGGGCGCGTTCGTAGCGACTAGCCAGCTCCTTAGTCTAGGTAATGTCAAAAAATGACCTTCAAGTGGAACGATGCGAAGCACCTGTTTTCTGTTCTTGTCCACTTCCTTTGCGAGTGAGGCCAGCTCATCGCTCATCTCATTTAGCCGCTGGGCAAAACGAATCCTGTTCTCTGCCATAACTTCATGGATTTTCATGGATGACTGCCAAGCACCCACGAAAGACCTGTGGATTGTAATTAGTGATATGCGAATAGCACTCGGTCCATATTTACCCAGCCTTCCCGTCGTTCATAGAGTATACCTCGGACGTAGTTCGTGCGAGCTTCTGCAAACTCTTCCCATACTCTTCTTCCAAGACTTGCTTTTTTCTTGAAGAAAACTGAAGCTTCCTACCAAAGAAACTTCATATAATGCCTTTTTCAAATTCAACAAATTGAAATATTACTCACGCGACACGAGACCATACTTTGTTTAATCCGATCCAGCAGCAAAGGTACACCACACTAGGGCGGTGCCAAGACATGTCAACGGGCATGGCGGACATCACAAAGTTTGAAATACTTACGTCCAGCTCGCACAATACTCTTAATACATTCTCATCAAAGCTGGTCTCCACAAGACTGATAGCGTCGCTCGGGATCATGGATAGTGTATCCTTGCGTTCAATCGTCACCGGCACACTATCTCGCCATCTCGAACTGGATGATCGACCCAGCGAGTCCGAGCTTGACCTGGGAGGAGGCGATGATGGCTTGACTGATAAAGAAGACAAGGCAGGAGCAGTGACGGATTCATGAATAAGAGACGGGCTATTAGGCTGGAATAGGCCGTAATAAGGAGTCTGGCTAGCATTAGGATCAGAATTATCAGTCGATTCCCAAGCAGTCGAGGAGTAGCCTTCGTCGGCCATGGCTACATTCAGCGCGGGTTATACAGGCTCGGGAAGATGGCAAGCAATTGTAAGGATCCTGTGAGTAAAGTCCACTAATGCTCGGAACAACTACCGTGGATTATGTAACTTTCCAGAACAGGCATATGTCGTTCGGAGAGTGTTGGTGCAGTTCCCCTGAACAAGGGCCTAAGAAAAATTTACAAAACTGTTCCATTGTGTTGAATAAACTATCTCTTATACCTCTACAATATGTAAAAGCTTGCGTAGGAATGATCTAATGACTTGGTGACCGAGGAGAGTACCGTATGGAGCATCACAAAACCAGACACACGAAGGCCAAACGAATGGTAGGCAATTGCAGATATAGAAATTTTCATCTTCTTTAGTGACCGTTAGTCACTCCCCCGCAACGCCGACAAGGGTTACTGAATTGTTCCATGATCAATCCTTGGTCAGGAAGCATTCTGGTGGTCGTGAGTTCGCAGTCAGAATTGTCAAGCAAGATACTAACGTTTGGGAGCAAGTAGATCCACAACTATGTGCCCCCGTCTGATGCGATGGACTGAAACGACAGTCTCTTTTGCGACAATCGACCTACGCAATGATTAGTCGTCGATGGAATATGCACCATAGTCAACACATACCACTTGTTGTCTGGTGACCGTTTGGTGGCTGCAGCTATACTCTGCGTACTGAATGATTTTGTAGCACATTCCAAGAAAGATTCGCAGTTAAATAATCCGCAGATCAGCATTGAGGGCTGGGTTATAAGTTACTCTGGGATCTATACATCACCAAATTAACATAAACTCACCTGACCGCCGAAAATGATGAATGTATTAATTGAGCTTCATCAGCTGTGCCCTTGGATCCATGAGTCAAGGCAATCTAGGTTGCGATCGTAAAAAAAATCGCTCCACCGAGCTGCTTTGGGTTCGGCTATTGCCACCCCCACCAGAGCCCCGGGTTGTGGCTCTCTCCAGAAAACAGATGCAATCTGCCGCCGATCCAAGACAAGATCGTCTTCCGCTGCGGAGCGGATCATTGGTCACGATAAGGGGCAATACCACCACTACTTGTATCGACGCTGTATTCGCTATTTTGGCAATCAGTAGGTGAGCGGTATGAAGAGCACGACCCTGGGGATACTCACCAGCGGCATGCCCGTTGTCGATAAGGCTCGATCTAGGTTATATTGGACAGAATGGTGAGGCTCACAATATCGAATGAGAAGCGGTCAAGTGGGTTAGCCACGCCGCTTTCATGTTACTGACTGGCCAAGCAAGAACGCATTGATATTACCCGTCGTATCAACCGCATGCAAATTGACAGGCACGGGCCGAGACAAGATCTTCAAGGCTTCGCATGCTATAATCGACAATTAGGCATCCTCGTTGAAGACACACAATGTCCCAACAAGAGCCAACAGGAACTCTGAATGAAACCTCCTTGATGGCCTCGGACTAAATGAGGTCCCACGAAGGTTCTAGCGCTCTTCTACGATAATTTGTTCGGCACCAAAATTCAAATGCTCCATGACAATGGGACGAACCTTACACACTTTGGGTATAAGAGTGAGGAAAAAAATCGAGTAAAATTCCAGTTGGGCGAAAAGTAAAAGATGGGGCTCAAGTTTTGCCTAGGTATAACACTCGCATCGAGCGCAGTTAGCCAGCCCAGCGGTACGAAAGTTCGCCGTTAGGACAGCACACGGGCTTTTTTGAAGCTCCATTAAAGTGGTACTAACTCATAATGTCAATCAAGCACGATAACTGCAAAGACATAAAAATCAGGTATGTCACACCGCAGCGGTGAATTTGCGCTCTAATATCTGTTTCCCCCCCGTGCCAATCATTGTGCATCTGGCAAAATACTTCGCCAGTGCCAGACGTACGCCTTGGAGTGCATGGAATGCCTCAGTTGTCCCACCAGAACCGAACTTTGAGATCAAGACACAGAGATATTCATCGCCGGATCCTTGATCAGTTCGCGCAATTACTTCTTCCAAATGCTGTAGCAAAATGCATGCGCTTGCATACGGAAAGAGCAATGTGGCATCTAGCAGAAAAGTCAGGCACCCGACACGCGTATATGGAGCTCGTTACGTACCATGCTGCAAAAGTTGTTGGGAATCGCACAGTAGGACCGCCCACCACGATTTCGGAGTAAGCCCATCTTGGAACATTGATACAAGATCCCACGCAGCATCCTGCAGATCCTGATTACTCAGGCGCTGATGGAATTCAGCGTAACGAACAGCAAACATCAAGCGGTGGATGAAGATGCCCTGTGCACCGGACTGCATCCGAAGTGCCTGGAGTGACGGCGCAATCCCAGCCACGTAACGGGTGAATTGTTCCGGCCCTGCTGGTATTTCATTCAATGCCGAGCAGGATTCAAGCTATTCATACCTGCAGTGATATATTCTTGTAAAACGCGATCAACCACGCGACCTAGTCCAGGCCAGTCTTCCGCTGAAGAAGAATATGAAAGTGCGAGTCCGTATTCCTTTTCTTGTACAAATGTCTGAGCGGCTATCTGTATGAAAACATGGTGAACACAATTGGTGTAAATTGAAGATGATGCATACGCGACAAATAGTTCGTCGAACTTCCTCCCGCTGATATTCATAGCACGTCGCATTGATGTCTTTTATCACACCCGCAAGATCTCCCGACTTTAAATTATCGGCACCTTTTTGCTCCCCTTGGCCATGGTTGATTGATCCGACGAAGCGCAACTTGAGCGGAACGTGCATTAACACTTCGTCGGCACTTCTGACGCCAATCTCTCCACAAGAAAACATGTACGCCACAGTAATTCTCCAAAGCGCAGGATCAGCATGAAGGTACTGTGCATAACCAAGCACGTAAAAATCTCTGACATTGAGACCTGAGCTACAGAAGGCATAAGCACTGTTATCCCCAGTAAAAGACTTTAACGTACTCCTCGTTTGTGTCCTTTTCGATTAAAGATAATGCTTGCATCAAATCTGCCATATGCGCAGCAAGCCAGGGGTCGAGCTGCGCTGCGTGGGACAGTGCTTTGGCAGGGTCACCGCTGAACAGCGCTGCATGTACCATATCCTCCAAATTTGTCGGATCCTGGGGCATGTCATCAAGGACCTGAGAGACAACCTCACTGTTAAGGATGTCAGTATAAATTCGGTCTTGGAAGGGAGTAACGTACGGTAAATCCTGTCTTCGTAATCTTGCATCGGCAAATACGCCCCATGAGACAGAAATTTCTCTCCAGTCCGCGCCAAGATCTTCGCAGACCCGACGAATGACTTCACTGCGCCCTTCTAGTATACCAACAATGTCACTTAGACGATCCCACCAATTCTCAATCCCGTCATGCCGATTAGATTCAGACACGCTGTCTAGTTCAATTCGCAGAGCTTTCACCTTATCCTTCCATCGATGAGAAGCATATGCAAAATCGCGCTCCGCCTCAAAAGATTGAAGGTGAGGCTGAGATTGAAGCAATGGGGACAACCGCTGAGCAAGCCGGCGGAGGTTGTCGGACGGGTGAGTTGATAGCGTTGCGAGGAAGAAGGTTGCGGCTTTGGAAAGACCTCTCAAAGTCACCCTGTACGGTATTAGCTTGTTGAGTAGTATGAAAAATAGGATCCTACCTAACAAGATATGGCCAGAATGTCTCGTCTTCCCAAGGACGATCTAGACCTGATAGGTGATCGCCCTCCTCCGTGGAAGGTTCGATGAAGTGGACATTCAGCCACTCCATTAAATCGTCACCGACTGGTGCGTCTTCGTACCCGTACTCGGGTACGTATAAAACAGCAAATAAGGCAAGACACGTGTATAAGCTGCGATAATGATCACCGGAAAATTGGGAGGAGCCCTGAGACTGAACAGACGTTTGCTATCTCCCGATCAACATCTCATAATTATACAACACGCAAATACTCACCGAGGTGTGTATCCAGCACTCTCTGGTGAAATTAACATAATCCAAGGTTAGCTTTCTGATCACATCATGGGTTTCTTGACTGTGTAACCTAATGTGGCACGGGATTAGTGTGTATGACAAATAAGTTATCAGTTAAAGGCCAGCACCATTCCTGTCCTCGGCTTTGAGCCGTGTTAGTCAAGTTTTGTAACGCAGCAAATATTATGGATGTATCTCCGATGAACTATCAAAACATGAACGCGTGCGATATAGTATAGACCGTATGGACACACCAGTCGTCTTTCAGATGATGGCAAAATTTCACTGCTCGCGAAGAATATGGGCTGTTCTTCCACACCACTGGCTTTTATGCTCGGAACATCTTTCTAACACAAATTATGAATTGGCATTTCGTTGAAGCAATTTGACGGTATGAGACCTACTCGGGCAGATGGAAATACAGCGTACGCCTGGTTCAAAGGTGATTGAGCAGATAAAAGCGTCTTTCCTGACTGGAAGAACTGTTCGGTGTGTCCGACTTGAATGAGAGGAGGGAAGAGGTTGAGGTGGTGATCAATGGAGCTCATGGGGTTTTGAGGAGTGGCACTTGCAAATAAGTATAAGAGTTCCCTTGCTCTTGCGCACTATCACGTGTGAATATAATGGAGCGAGTTCGGGACGGTCTACTTAGATGTTCGAGGTAGTTGGTCTCAGTTGGTTGGTTCTGATATTGATTACGATTACATGAGTTCCCTCATTCGGATATATCAATAAACATTATTATTACATAAACAGAAATAGGTCAAAATATCGATTATACGGCGCAAATATCTACCGCAAAAATCGGGAACACAGCATTCGGCAGTACAAACTTAGAAACAAAAGAGTGTTGAAGAAAGGGTTGATGCATTGATGCGTTGATCAGGTGTGACACCGATCCTGTAGACTGCTGATCACAACCTTCCCAAAACGATTTATTCCTTCAATTTTGATCCCACTACTGCTACACCCAATTATTTCCAGCCTACGAATCCCCAAGCTTAAACTTAAGGTTCACTAACACATATATGTAACGTCATATTGTTAGCATAAACTCAACTCACTATGTAATTAACTGCCAAAAAATTTCAGGCGGTGTCTTATTACGAACACTCAACGGTTTCGTCATTCAATGACGGCCTCGACCTCCCCTCAATCAGTGATACGCTTACAGCTACCTACGCCCGGGCGCAATGCATAAGATCAGCACACATCATCCCCCCAGTACTAGTATGTGCTAGATTGGTATGGTAATGACTCCATGACACATCGACATTTTATTAGGCATATCAAGCTAAAGCGTTTTGCAGGAGGGCGCGTTACGAGGACCTAATGCAGCTTGGGCCTTTTTAATCGGCGTTTATTCGAAAGTCCACCCACACCCTTGATGTGGTGCTCATTTCCGCGAGCATCTACGGCCACCTTAATCCGAGCTCGGAATTTTTCCGTGGTGCTGGTCCACCTGACTTATCCTGGTTCTTGAAACCTTAGGATAAAAAGATAAGGCCAAGTAAAGAAAATTCAAGGCGAGTCTGGCTGTCAAATTCCTTTTGTTGAAAGAGCTGAGAGTACCTTTTGTGGATGGAGCGCAGTAGCTTTCAAGACTGCTACTGAGTGACTACCGCATTCACGGTGGTTTAGCCTGGTGGTTGTCCCCTCATTCGCAGAAATGCCGCGATACAACGCCATATATCTCAGGATGCAATTAGCGAGCTACGTGCCGTGGTGCCCAGAGCTTGAGAATCCTGTGCGATAGCACCGATGGTCGATGTTACCACATGGGGCAAAGGGCTCAAACTTTCCGTCAATCTCGATTGACCTAGTTTCAGCCCTCCAGCTCAGGAAGGCCGAGGTTTTGGCAAAGTGATGGCTTCCTGTACATCCGTGAGAGTTGCCCTGTAGCCACCTCATGTAGATGACTGATTTGAAGACCCAATGCTATCTATCGAAGCTTCTCGATAGATCAGAACATCGAGGCATGTTCTTGCCCTCGTTTTCGGGCGTTCCATTTTAGCAGTTCCACGGTGATCGCAGATTGGCAAGCTACGAACCGGTTTGCATGACATCCAACCTGGTCGTGGACTTCGTGATCAGCTTGAAATGCTCATGAGGCTCTCGTTGAATATCCAATCGTATCTGTGGTTTGTTATGAATATTATTCATTGATGTTTTTCTCCATATAATATTCAGGGACCGTGGACGGTTTAAGAGAGAAGCTGAGGGAGTTGTTTTAGTGGCCGCCGCAGCTTTTAAGTTCTAGACTTACTAGAACGTCATTTCTCAACCATACTTTTCTGTTCTTGATTTTTCACAACAGAGGCACGCACGTCACCGGCCGCATCAGGAGCGGAATTGACGGTCCATAAAACATATAGATCATGAGTTGATAGGGCTAACTCGTCAGCGTGTTGAAATCCGAGCTTGCAGTTCAGTAGCATGAATGAGTATTTTGATCTGCGAGGTGGAGCCATTGGCGCAAAATCAGGTAATATTCCACTTGATTCCACTGATTACTCGTGCTGTTCTTCGAGTCCTGGGCATGCCATCGTCCTATGGTAGTACACATAATTCAGTAGCGATTATTGTACAAACATTCGTTTTCATAGGTTATTTGGCATGTCGTTTTCGATTCCCTTCGCAACGAAAAAAATAATTTTAGCCTGAGGCAACGTGCACGTACCACTTTCGATCGGTCCATGTTTTGCACGGTTTAGCCATGGCCACACTGACATGACTTCACCACGAGGAAAAAATCTCCTGACCCAGAAAAAATAAAGTCATAACACGGCCTCGCCACAGAGAATAAAGAAATATCACAAGGACTATCGCTGCCCGCTCGCACGAAGTGTACCTTTGTCGGCACCTGGAACATTAGTCACATCACCGCGCTGGCCATCGCCCGCGCTTGGAATTTCTTGGCACAATTATTGTCTCGCCTTCGATGTCAAACCAGTTATACTTATTTCACAGGACGATCAGTTTACGATTTGGTACGATTTGGTACGATGTTTAGGGAATGGGGAGCAGGCCATCCTCGTTAACCTGATGGTCCCCAGATTGGTGAGCAGAATCTGATTGGCTTTGATGTCTCTGCGATACCGAAAGATTATATCCAGCCAGTTGAGAGCAGAAACACACCAGTACGCCATCTACGCGCCTAATCGTCGACATTCGTCCTGTGATGCAGCCGGCATCAAAGGCGCTCCCACTAAGGCACCAGTTCCTTGAACATCATTGCTCATGTCGCTCCAGTGCGCCGATCACAGAGAAGGCATATTCCACACCTGAGGAATCGGTACATCATGTACGCAATGGCAAACTCTTACCTTCGAATGTACAGCACTCATCGTCCTGAGGAATACAGATTGCAGAAGTCGAAGTTGCTGGGCAAAGAGTGGTCTCGTTCTGCTGGTCGAGGAGAACTATGTTTCATTACTTGGTGCGGGTCGTAACAAGACTGGCCATCTCGACACCAGAAGGCATGCGAGGCATCGAGAGACTGGGAGGTTGCATTGCCGATGGGTCCAGTTGACAGTCCTAAAAGTGGGATAGTAAGTTTTTTTTTGCGGCTGTGTGTCTGGACGCCCGGTAGGTTGATGATTACATCTTCCACGTTGCCATTGTCATCTAAAACGAACTCTAGCCCAAAGTGACTTTACTGCAGTCAAATGACATCAAGTATTACACCCTCCGATACCTCGTGACACCACTCGATACACCGAAGCATCGAAGACGAACTTTCCAGCCTACAGTGATGGAAAGTAACAGCGTCTCCTGCGAAACCGTATTTTATACCATACAGCACCGTGGTCTCGCTGCTATATATGATTGTTATCTCACATTCATGACGTGTGTCATCTCCCTTTGCGACATCATATAGCTTGCTTCATGTGACGCGGCTTCCTGCGGTGGCATGCAAATCGGGTTTGGTCTTCCTGCTCTCGATGTCAGAGCAAATCAGCGCCACAGAGAAAACAGCCCCGGTGAAGCTTCGTTCAGCTCACCGTCAGCGTTTACAACGTTATCCGGTTTTATCTTCGATGAGCCACCCTCTGTGTCGCCGCTTTGGGCACCCGTGTTGGCCAGTAGTGGACGGTCTCGAGGGTGCTCAGACATTGGATCGAAGCACTTACTGGAAGGATGTCGCAGCGTATCATACATCATGGGCTTGGTGAAGCAAGCTTCTCATTCATGACCTGAAATCGAGCTCCACCAGTCAGGAACCCCCATTTCACTGGAGAAGATTGGCTCACTCCGATCCCGTGAGATTCTATCTCCGCGACCCAGTGCAAGATGCTGGACAATACTCTTCTACCAGATGCGTATCCCCAACTTGGTTGAAGTTCGTTTAGAGACTTTTAACGGCGATCTACGGTTTTACGATACATGTGAACCACATTCGGACGCGACGCCAAGGTCTAGGTGCGTGAAAAAAAGCATGGCCGCTGGCTAACATGCCACAACATTCTTGTAATCATCTATGTGCCCTAACGCCCCCACCAAAATCATTCATGCATACAAACCAAGTTTCCTGTGTCATTACTATCAAGGACACAGTTCAGTGACCTGGAACCTGTAACTAGCGAATTTTTGTCGCGGACCCCCAGCCTATTCCGGTCAGCGAGGCCCGACGCATGTTCCTGTCGATTGGCTTTTCTCTTTTTGTTGTTTTCGACCCTAATCTATGACCACTAGGTCATTGTACCCAACGTCGGGCAGTACGACTTTTTTCTCACTATTGCGCCCCAAATTCAAACATCTAATCCTCTAATTTTCCACTCGCGACATTTTCTTCAGCTCGGTCGAGGATCCTAGATCAATATTTAGTCCGGGTTCTTTGAGTAAATGATCATTCGTATGATTGGGAGCTGGTCACAATTTTGGACCGTTCTTTTCAGGAAAATCATGGATATCCTATTTGTAGAAGTTCGTCGTCAGCAGCCGCGTCCCCGGAGACTGCCCGTTAGTGAATCGAAGGAGTAGTTCGAGAGCATCATGGATTTTGGTCCGATCGGTAAGCCCACTTTCTTTCTCCATACCTCGTATGGCAGCGCTGTAGTAGCTTCCAGATTAGCAGGGCAGCATGGTGTGGGTCGTTTGCAGAGCAGATGGAACACAAAGGTGGAGCACAATGGTCATCGTAGTTCGCTCTCTTTTGTTGCACTCCTTCCCCCAATCCGTTCGTGGAGCTAATTGATATTCATGCTAGGCATGACAAACAACTTCCCTCATCGAGAATAAAATGCACTAGTTGAATTGCGCCCTGTGTACTCATTTGAGACCTAGAACCCTCTAGCCACTTGCTGAGTCACCGAAACCACCTAGTGACGTACGAGGACTGACGACGCTTGAAGCTTATGGGAATGTAGGCTAATGGCCAGAATGTAGCTCTAAAGTCAAAAGTCGACTCGAGATGGAACGAAGAAGGGGACTGCTATTGCAATAGCGGAATCCCTTTGCTCCACATACCCTCCGACGCCATGAATTGCGACATACGGCGGCGCTGTCGACGAATATAACTAAGGTCCTGGATCGTGCTGTGTCTAGGTCAAAGTGCAGCTCTCGCGCCTACCGAGTGTGCCACCTGTAAAGAGCTGAATGCCCGAAGCACTTTTGTGCTGCGCTACCGACAACACGGCTCGGTAACGTATCCCCTCCCAAGCAGTAATTCTCACAGTCGACAGCGCGAACCAAGCGCCAATTCCATAGTTACCCTCTCATGCGCAAGTCCACGCAGAAATAAGCCTTGTGCAAACGTGCATACACTCACCCCTTCACACTTTCACAGCTCTGGGCGATCCATTCTAACCAAAGCACAAGCTATTTAACGTCACGCATGTACCAAACTTTACGTTCACCATGCCCAGCTTCTACTGCTGTGTGTACTCATGTCTCCAGACATAAGTAACAAGGCGGGGCAGCCATTGGCATCGCTATTTTTGGAATCTTTTGCAGCGGAACAATTGAGTTATAATCAACGCGTTTGCCACGACGATGTATTTTACTGGGTTGTTCTGATTTACTAACTGGTATGACTGCGCAACAAGCTCGTTAACAATCAATTTTACTGATGGGCCTTTCATTCAGGGTCTTTGAAACGTAATATGAGTGCAAGAAGCGTGCTTCTAATCATTTACGCCCCAACGAGCCTTGCCGAAAGCATTGAAACAACACTACGACCATTATTGCGCCGGATGAGAAGGAGGCGCAATACCAATCACTTCCTTCCATGATAGTTCTCTTCGTAATGCATTATGGCGTTATTAGGTGTAAGTGCGTCACGATTGCAGGCTGCCAGAAGGCATCATCGCGCCTAGTACTTATTTCGATCAACAGTACTGACATATTTCATGTTCGGGTATCAACTTCGTTCAGGACATTCACCGATTTCTAGCCCTATGCAGCGAATGCACGACTCGCAACAGGGCCTTTATAACTAGGGATTCGAGCCTATGCTTGAATCATCTCCTACCACCCACGTCGAGCGGTACCCACAGGACGACTGATATGGAGTCCGACGAGCACAGGGCTCGTCTCGGGCTGCGTGGACGCACGAACACGGTTCTCCCAATGAAAAATGAAATGTTATCGTGTCTGTCATCGAGGCATCCTCATCATAACCCCAACGAATCGGCCACCAAGCTCCATTGGCCAGGTGGCTCGTACCAGAGTGAGCCCGGTATGCTCAACGCGGTGCATGAGATTACACAGTACAAGCCACAGGTGGACGGCCACGTCCCAGAGATGATCTGGCTCCATCAAGTTGAAGAGACATCCACAGCAAAACTCAGAAGGGAGCTAGAGATTGACGACCCTGCACGACGCAGTCGTATCTTGAACATCCACGTGTCTTGGAAACTTCAGCCGATCACGAAGCTGAGTGGGAAAGAGTTCAGGCGTGCGTTGTGGATAGTGATAATCTGTAGGTGCCGTTCCTTATTGCGCTCATCATTGTCCGTTGACCGCGAAAACAGACCATCGAGTCCTCTGGATCAGTGGCGTTTATCACTATGACGTCAGCCCCAGCAATCTCATGGTTTACCGGGCCCTGAGCAGTTTAATGATGGGTGTCATCAACGACTGGGACTTGTCATCACCTGAAAATGGGTCCGGTGGCCACGGGCGCACAGGAATGATACCATTCATGGCGATGGACCTTCTCACAAAGAAAGCCATCAAGGGCGAAGCGGAGCACATGTACCAGCACATCGCTGAATCGTTCATCTGGGTCCTTATCTGGGTCTGTCTTCAGTATGAGGATGGAAAGCTCCTGAGCAAGGACAGACTACTCGATTGCTGGCTCACAGGAGATGCTTTTAGTTGCCAGGAGATTAAACGTAGCTTCTTACAGTTGGCAATGGAAAATAGAATAAGAGCCCCTCTGCCGCCCCAACCTCTCTGGGAACTCGATCTGTTTCTCCTTACCTTTATCGTCTCGTTCTATGTGGAGGATCGTAACTTTTCCGTATTGGAAAGGGAATGTATGTTTCGGACATGGTTCGTGACGCAGCTGCCATTGTCAATACGGTCTATTATGCACTCGTCAACTAGTACATCCCTTTGACCCCACACCCTTCGTTTGCACACGTTACGTGGCACTACTACTCTATGACACTTTAAATTACGGTTTGCATCATCTGATAGTATACCATAGCCTGTTAGTGTAGTTACCTTATCTTTGTCGTCTTACTGTTAGAGCGAAGACTGAATTATTGGTGGGCCAGAAGGTCCTCTGCTTCATTTCCATCCTCGTACAGCAGATCACGCTGTATACTACGAGCCAAACATCACCTCTCCAACTTGTCACTTAGTAGGGGAGCTCAGAGCAAGTACTTGCGCCGTTGTTCGCTTTCGCCGTTGCCGCGTGAGTGAAAGAAATATTTCAGCTACTTTTATATCGATAGACCGGATTTAATTTTTTTTTTCGTCTTGCCGCTTCTATTTATTTACTTGTGGAGCTGGAGTCTGGACAAACAAAAGAGTCCTGGTACCTTGGTCGGGCGAAATACCTTTGAATGGCAAGGGCGCTCTGCCTAGACACTACCACACCCCAGTAGCTATCAAACAGCAATAGGTGTTGAACTTCCTTTGTCGTCTTGAACCAATGAGGTAGGTACAAGTGCTGTAAAACGGTGCAGTACCTATCCGTGTATGGTAACACGTCGGCATCGTGATGGTGAGCAGCCGTGGGAAACGACGAGCTACTCCAATAATAGGTCATTGTATCTGCCTATCGTAAAAGGCGGGACCCTTTTGTTTATCCAGCTCCACAGCGAAATAATTTAAACTCAAACTACTAAATCCGGAAAGTCAGTACTTGCCTAAAGCTTATATACTTACATGTAGTCTTCCTAGAGTCTGATTTTTTCCTTTCTCGCAGAACCTTCGTAGGGTATTCGGTCATTCGACAGGGCCTTTGTCCTAGCTCCAGCGCCACCAGGTTCTCGGCAAGCCACCTTTTCGTCGTACGCGGTCGGCATTTGCCATTGACACGATGACCAATCTGACAGGGCTAAATTGAATGGCTGGGACGTTATGGTCCTGTCAGATCAGCACTGCACAGTGATCTGTACGAGCATACTCAACCCACGATGCTAGAGTCTCCCTTGCCCTCCCCTTATCATACCTAACCTTAATTTATGATGCACATACGTGTTTCTTGTAGTTTACAAAACGCGGGATCTATTGCTAGTTCGATATTGGTTTAATATGCATGATGTCTATTATATGTGAGGAGACATGACTGAATAAATATCTCAATGGTTAGGTATTATTGAGAGATGGTTCAAGAGGCTAAATGGTGCCGATGAGGTTTAGAGTATTGGCAGGATGACTGTTGTGACGAGTATACGTAACGAGTTAGAATGATTTAGGACAGGGGTAATTTGCTTGACGCACAGGCGCTCGTGATCATGGGCGGCAACAGTGAAAGCAAAAGCAACAGCAGACAGCGGTCTACTCTGACAGCGTGGCTGCATGATACTTACTTTTATGATATGACATGTACAAGTATCGGTATTCGGATAACCAGCAGCGAGTTCTTTGAGGAGCAGGTTTGCCTCATCATGTTGATCTGCATTGAAGAGGGCGACGGCCTTAAATACGTGATGAGGCGGAGTGTATATATACAAGGCAGCTGTAACATACCTTGATCAAGAGCAGGGAATGAATGGTTTTGGAATCTTGCTCCGTGTACATGGATGCAACAGCCTGATCCGCAGAGTCGCCATTACCGCCCACATCCAAATCACTAGGGACAACATCACACCTCTCTTATCCTGTTACTCTCAATACCAGCTCCTGAACCTCCCCATATTCAGTTTCTGGACAAGTCCGCAACGGTCACATCTAACCCAGGACGGAGGTCATGAAACGGAACAACATGAGGCGCATCGAAGCATCCGCCACAGCCGTACTGGGTCCACACATAAGCTGAGTCACGGAGAGCACCGATAGTGTGGACGACTGATGCATCTTCTGCCTCTAATGAGTCCTGCACAGCTATTGGCGCTACTACTGATGGTTGATGTGACTGCGGGCTAGTTTGTGTTATGTTTTACTTTGGGTTAGGAGATGGCAAGGATGAATGGGGCCAGGTAAGATGAGAGAGGTAAAGCTTGAAGCCCTGTATTGGGTATATGCGTCGAATGTATCAATGCGCTGAGCCACTGCTTGATCTTGACTTCGCATTGCGCTCCGTGGTTGATGGTCCATAATGAGACTGCAGGATGCTTTAGGGAGAAGAGTAACGAGCGCGGGAGTTGATGTTTATTAGAAATATGCGAATAGTATGCGGGGAGAGAGAGATAACAAAATCGGCGATGCGCCGAGATGGACAGACAAGAGATACCACTTGTCTCACTCTCATCCCAAACCACTGTTCCATACCGCCTTCCGCCGATAAACTGAACAGAGGTGCGGGGTGCACACAACAGTGAATGACTCCTGGTTGTCCCATGAATTGGTAGGGTGAGCTGAACGCATGTGACAAGGGGATGACCAAAGCATGCATATGGGAACATTAGTAGATGCATGCGGAGATGACATCAAATTTGGAAAACGCAAAGCGCTTGGCTAGTTATAACGTTTAGGTGGTGAAGAAAGATAGAAATTTATTCATGAGTAATAGTATCGCCAAAAGAAAGAATGTCGATGGATAGAGACAACCACACATCCCAATACCAAACATACAGCGCCCCACCTTGCATATATGTAGACCATACCTGCCTGGCGTGAGATGGCATCGATGATGGTCGAGTCCATAACCTAACATGCACTGGCATCATTGGTCAGGTTCATGATTTGAATTTCTAAGCCTGTTTGCTTCGTTTGTGGAGTTCGTCAATGGATCAAGTCCAATATTCATCATTTAGATCAATACTCGGTACATACTAAGTGCTCGCATGTTCCAGTAAGACGATATATCCAATACGTTTGAGCCTGAGGATGTTTGTTTGGCAAAAGCCTTGAATCCAAGCAGCCAATGACCGGATGTATTATAATATTAGTGACACCGAGCGCCCACACTGATCCGGAATGTCACAAATTACTCGTTCTCGCAATTGAACGACCCCTCGACATCTTTCATCCTGCATGCTCTTCCATGCCTCCACCTTTTCTAATCATCCTGCACTCTAGTTTGAAACCGCTTCTTTCATCTTTGCAAGCAACTCCGGAGTCCGGGAGCGTCTCCTTCGTCACAGCCAGCCATGTCCTGATCAGCGTTGGCGTAAATCGCATCTCCGTCGCTAAATTTTCCCATCACCTTATTATCACTACTATTGTTCTCCTTTTTCTTATTCCCTACACCTTCAACGGGACTACATTCTCAGTCCGAGCAGGAAGCGCACCACCTAGAATCAGCCAACATCCCTGTTTAGCAGTGCCGATACAAATGCTGCTGGACTCGAATCACTCGATGTTTCATACGAGATACCAGACCTCTGTGCGAGCTCCATGCCATCCCCAGTCTTCTCTCCACATGTCTTCGAAATCTCCCTCCTCCACCCTCCCCCATCCAGGTGCCTCTTCAACGTTCAACCCTCCCTGGAACTTTCTCTGTCTGACATTGTACCTCCAATGCTCAAGCTCACGGAATCCTCACCGCCATTATCCTTTACCCTGTACCCCCACATCTCTATAAAAGTCCTCCCCGCCCCACTGAAAAAGCAGGTCTACCCGCATCATCCACTCTGAGTGGCGGCCCAGCCCACTCCTTGGGAAACAGGACAAATTTATCGCAAGACAAGATCACCCACTGCAACAGGCGCATGTGCTGCCCGTACCTTTCCTCCGCTTCGCCTTGGGCATGTAAACTCTAGCAACTCTATCTGCATGTTGCTTCGTACACTTTGTTTGAGCCATCAGGAAAGGACATGCAACAATGCCTGTGCGCTTATCTTTGTGTCATACTGAGCACAATTGCTATTTGATATCGTCTATAGGTCTCTTGCGTTTCATGTGCGCACATAAAAATCAAGCATCGCGGGGTCACCTCTTGTTGTAAGCACCCTTCGCTATACGATTGAAGTTAAATCCTGTCAATAAAGTTGGAGTCATGTATAACAGGTAATCATCCTTCCATCTCGTCCATGCGCTCACAACGCTCAAGGTATTTCTCAAGCATTATGACACTGCTCCAGTCATGCCATGTATGCTTCTGGGTCCATCGTCTTTTATCGGGATCAGTGCGGACATCGCTGGGTATATTGAGAGTGCGACGAGATCATGGGCAGATATTGAGGAAGATGAATACATCTGTTCAAACCGTTCCTTCGCCCCAGTGTATAGAGGGACGGCATGATCAGATATATTTACTAGTGTCTGGCCCTTATCAGTTCGATCTGGCTTATTACTTCCGCTGCTCTTCCACCACAACCCGGCTATCAGCAAGGTAGGTCTGGTCATTGTTGTACTTCCATCATAGTAACTATCCCCGCCGTCCGCACAGTTCTCAACAGTGATTTGGGAAAACTCGTCCATTATCAGCCGTACGCTCAGTGTCATGCCTATCGAATAGGAGCAGGAACGAACGAGAAGACGAGTCCAATAAACACCACACAACACTTCGAATACAACGAACGAAAACTCCCGCTCTGCAGAGTACCCACTTCTTACTCCGCAGTTTTGTTGCATGGTCGTCCGAACCATTGGCCAGCACTGTGTCGTTGGGGAAAAGTCTAGGGAGCAGATCCAATTAGTGGGTTTTGATAACTTGAGTGACGTCTTCGCCGGTAGTACTGTCCCCATGGCAGGTGAGGAGCTTTCCCTTACCACTATTATTTACCCATCTGCACAGCCTTCGAAAGTGAGGTGCCGTGCCCCATCACCTTCAGCATAAGTTGAAAACGTTGGACAGGGTGGCTGGACTTGAACCGAGAGCTGCACAGGTGCTGAGCAGGATGGACGAACCCGGACCAAGAATCAGAGAAAGGCTCGACTCGGAGCGAGTGTGTGTGTGCCACTGACAAAGACAACCTATGCTACCGACTAGACAACCTATGCTACCCTGCTGACCAAGCTTCGGAATGGGCCGCTGGGCTCTCCTATGCTATGCTATGCTCGTGGGACCCCTACTCCATGCACCCCCCTAAAAAAACAACCGGTGCTGCCCTCGACGCCACCTAACCTCTCTCCTCGTCCTCCTCCTCATCCTCGCTCTCGACCTCTAGTCCGTCTTCCATCTCATCTGTGTCTCCATCTGCGCTGGCTGCTATCTCATCTGTGTCTCCATCTGCGCTGGCTGCTATCTCATCTTCCACCCTTTCATCCTCCTTGTTCTTCGTCAACCTCTCCTCGTACTTCAACTGGTCCTGTTCTAGCTTGGTACCTGCTTGGGGGACGAATGCTCTTAGTCGTCTCGCGCTGTACTCGCCTTGAAGAAGAACACCTTCTAGTGTCTCGAGGGTGTAGGAATTGAGTATGCGGCTTTGGATTCGTCTTGGGACCGACCATTTGGGGAGGATCTTGCGGTCTGTTTTGAAGGTATAGTTGAGATCGCTTTGATATACTTGTACGAGTTGTCCTTGCTCAAATATGACCTCTCCTGGGGCCCGTTGTAGGAGTTTCTTGTCGAATGCCGCTTTGCGTTTGATGGCATGACGTACGATCTCGTCATATCCATCGAGTCGCTGTTGCTCTACATACGCGATATGTGACAGGGCATCTGTTGGACGAAGCATTGATGAGCTCTCTTTGCGTGGGGTGCGTGGGGTGTTTGCTACGAGGCCGAGTAACAATTCTTTGGGGAAGAACTTCAATGCCGGTAGTAGGCGATTGTTGAGGGCATCTACCGCGTCATCAAGGTGTTTTGGCCATGACTGGGGAAGTTTGTCCCATGATGTGTTCTGTACATCATCTTCACCTACATAGGTCTGGTGCGCATTTGCGCTTCAGAACGTGTAGCAGCAGCTTGTTGGTCCCTTCCACAAGCCCATTGATCCAGGGTGAGTACGCTGCGACTACGTGTAACTTGCTGTTTCGCGATGCGCAAAACGTTTTCACGTCTTCGTTATTGAAGTGCCTGCCTCCATCTGACATGAACGTCTCTGGTGGTGTGAAGCTGCCGAATATGCGCGATAGGCTGTCAATGGTGGTTTTTGCACTTCCTGCGGACTTGTACTTGAAGACCCAAACATGTTGCAAGAAGGTGTCGAGATATACTCCCAGGTTGCTATATCCTCCTTTTCCTTTGGGGAGTGCTAAATAATCGCCTACTAGGAGCTCGAATGGGTGTCTCCTTACGATTGGTTCTAGGAGGGAGTGAATGTGCGCTGGTCCGAAATTTTTACATTTTGGACAATCTCTCACCGCGGTTAGAATTGAGGCGTCGAGTTTTGGGCTCCAGATGCGATCCAGCAATGCAATTTTGATCGCATCTCTTCCCCAATGGCCTCCATTTGCGTGTTCTTTCCTGGCTAATTCTATGGCTTCCGTCCTGGGTATGCATTTGACTCTGGCTCTCGCCCGGGTGGTTGAGCCTCCTTTTATCCTCCATAGCTTGCCTCCATTGATTAGGTGTTGTGATGCTCTGTGACGGGCGCGTGCACGGTCTCGCAGTGAGGAATTACTACTTTGGACGTTTGATATTGCGTTGATAACTTCTAGAAACAGTGGTTCATCAGCGAAGCGAAGCTGCAGTGCCTCAATGTCTGGATCTATGCTTAACACGTTCAGAATGTCATTGGTAAGTCCCGTTCGTGCCTCCCAGTCTTCGCTAACTGTCCATTCACTACCATCTCCTTTGGCTTGTGGTTCTCCTTCCCACTTGCGACTCAACCCATCTGCAACAACATTTAGCTTTCCTGGGACGTGTCATACATCAGTGATATTATATGAAAGGATACCTTCACGCCATCGTGCGTGGGCTACGTTTAGGGTGCCGTTGAGTAGTGTATCCTTGAGGGCATTGCAGTCTGTCTCTACTTCGATGGGTTGTCCCCAAACAATGTTTGAAAACTTATCCAGGCCGAATTTGAGTGCTGCGAACTCCAATAGATACGATTTGTAGCGTTGTTCGGCTAATGATGTGCGTTTGGAGGCGAATCCGATGGGATGTAGCTTCTCTATCCATTTCCCGGTTGGCGTTTGTGTCCGGACTTTCTGCGATAACACAGCTGTGAACCCTTCCAGGCATCCATCTGTGGTAATCACAAAGGGTGATCCGTCATATCAAGGGGCTTGGACAACTGGTCTTGAGGTTATTGCGATTTTGAGGTCTAAAAACGAGTCAGTGTGTTCCTGAGTCCAGTGAGGTTCGAGTTGAAAATTGCTCATAGCTTTCCGATATGATGTCTTGTTATATGGGGCTGTGAGCTGGACCTTGGCGATGAGGTTGCGGAGTGGGTTTTCTCGTTTTGCATATGCTTTGATGAGGGAGTGGTAGTGGCCAGTTAGACCTAAGAATGAGACAAGGTTCAGTGCATTCTTTGGGCGTTGCCAATCGACGATGGCTGTTAGCTTTGAGAGGTCTGGTTGTACTCCCTTTGGTCTGACTGTACTTCTGGCGAATTCTGTCTCCGTTACACAAAGGCTGGTTTTTGCGGGGGCGATCGAGAATTGACATTGTTCAAAGCGGTCAAAGATGGTGTTCAGTTTGGTCATCATGTCCTCGAATGTGTCTGCTGCGCATCCTCCGTCATCCATGAATAATTCCATTAGCGAGCTGAGGAGGAGATCATGGAGGCGTGCTGCTGTCGTCTCGCAAAATGTGGTTGGTGCTCCCGTTATGCCCATTGGCATCCGCTTATACCAGAAGTACCCTCGGCCTTCAACATAGAACACCAGGTACGGTCTCCATTTCTCTGGTACTTGGATTGCATAGAACCCTGCTGTGAAGTCAAACACCGAGAGGTATCTGTGTCCGCTGAGCCATTGTTGTTTGGCCAGTATATCCCCTTGCGGCATTGGCGCTATCTCCATTACCTTGTTGAGCTGTGCGAAGTTTTGCGTGAGTCGCCACTTTCTTGGAGTGTCTTGTGTGGGTTCTGGCGCTGGGGGATCTACTTCCTGCTCTGGGAGGTTGAAGGCTGGTTCTCGTCCTTCCTTTGCGCATTCCATGTTGATTTGGTGTTTGATCTCGTCCCATGTTAGGCCCATTGCTTCATGAGTTTTCTGGGCGATTACCGTTGTAGCTGCACACTTCACAAGTTCTAGTGGGGCTCGTTCAATCATATTGGCCTCTATCATCTCGTCTATTCTGGCATTGAGGAATTTCGACTGTTCTGGGGTGAGCGGTCGTTGGTGGATGCATAAGTTGAAGGTTGCGTTCTCTGGGACATTGAGGTTGAGATATGCAGCATATGCTCCTGGGATTGGAGTGATTTCTTTCAAGGCCAGTGCGAAGCTTTTCACTCGTTTCTGTACGAAGTCTTCTAGTTGTGCGCGCTGTTCTTGTGAGAGGTCGTTGCCGAAAGTGATTAATGATAGGATTTTGGCGACTCTTGCGGGGTTTTCTGGCCATGTGTGTCTGGTGTAGATAGATCGGTCTTCGCACGCTGGTAACTCTGGTAGTTCACCGATTAGGTCGTCTTGTTGGTTGTTGGCCTCCTCATCTAGCGTAACACATATGCTTGGGTTTGTTACTATGGGTGCGGGTGCGTTAATCGGGGGTTCTGTATTCGAGGTGGCTATCAACTGGACTTCCCTGGGGGGGAGTTTATCACTCCCCACTATGCTATCGCGTTGTGTGTCTTTCTCCAGCTTCGGTTCGGCTTGTTTTGCTTCATCATTGGTAAGTCTAACTCGTCTCCAGATTTGCTTGAGGCGCTTCTTATCTTGTTGCCGTGCGCTCATGGGTGTGTGCTTCCATTGGCCCATAGGTTGGTGTGTGGCGTTTTGCGGCTCCTCCGCATTCTCATTAGTTATGCTTCTTACTAGTATGTGTTGGTCTGAGGTGACTTGCCTCGAGGGGGGTGTATTCTTACCCCCCACTAAGATTGCTCGTTGTTTGATATCCGCCGTTAAGCTTATTCCATCTTCGGCTTGCTGCATTGCGTGTGGGTGCGTGACTTGATTCATTAAAGTTGCTGATCGGGAGTTGTTTGCTATCTTCATTGAATCGTTTGTGTAGTCGTGTACGGCCTTGAACGCTTGGAGCATGGGCTTTCCAAACAGGAAGGCCCATCCACCTCCGCTATTGAAAACTTCGAACCGTCCTTCTGTGCGTACTCCGTCGAGTTCGATGATTCCTGACCATTGCGCTTCCGAGGCGACTATGGTTCTGTTCGCCATCCGTAAGTGTTTTATTGATGGGTGGAAGTTGTGCAGCTGGTGCTTAACTTTGTCAAAGATTGATGAGCACATGGCAGGTACCATGGCCCCATCGTCGAAGAGTGCTCGGATCCTGACGAGTTCTCCGTTTGGTCCTTCTAGTTTGATTTGGTGGATGAATGGGACTGCTTCCCCAGTTCCCATTTGCGCCTTATCGAGTGATGCGTGTCCTGCCGTGTACAAGTCAACAATGCTGGTCTCATTTGTTGTGGGAGGTACATATGCGTCATGTGTAACTAAAGGTGCGAGCGGAATCTGGGGGCTTGGATGGGGTGTTTGGTCCTCGTATGGTGCCTCCGTGCATGCGAGGGCATCTGTCCTAGTATGGGTCTCTGCTGTTTGTGGGGTCGGTGTAATGCCCTTGTCTACACCGACCCATCCCCTTTTCCCTCTACCTGTTCTCCTTCTCCAAACTGTTCACCTTCATATGCGTATACAAGTGAGATTGGTGTGGCTGCAAAGCGGTTGAAGGCGCCCAAGACCCTGCTTGAGACTGCTCTCCAGGCAGCTTCTTTCCTTTCTAGACGTGCTGCATCTCCTTGGGGCAACATGCAGTTGCAGCTGTTGTGTCTGTGTGTCCCACATGCAAAGCATTCTCCTGAACATATGGTTGCTGTCCCCGGCTTGAGTGGGTAGCCTGTCTCGTGCGTGACCCGTGCGTTATCTCCCCATTTCGCGTTCCATTGCGCAATTTGAGCTGCGTGCGCTGTGTGGCCTGCTGGAGTATCTGGGTGGTGAGGAAACAGTGTGATGAGGAGCCTGACTTTTGCTTTCAGCTCATCCGTTACGACGACAGGTTGTTGTGGGGCTGCGGTGGTAGCTGGCTGGCGGCTATAGGTGGGTTGCGCGTTCTGGTTAGCTTGGGTTGTGGGTGTCCTTGCGTACATGCTCGCAGTTGTGGGAGCTGTGGGGGGAATTGGTGTACTGATAGCTATCCTGCTCAAATGGCTTTGGAGTGCGTCAACTGGGTTGGGTGCTGGCACACGTTGACGGATGCAAGCAAAGTCCATTCTCAGCGTGTTGAGTTCTTGTGCTTGTCGGTTGTGCTGCTCCTGTTTCTCTACTAGTCTGCTCCCTTTCAAGTCCGTGACCGCCTTCGTAAACTCTGCCCAGTTTGCGTAATCCTCATCTTTGAGGAGGTCTTTGACGATATCTGGTAGCATGCTGCGTACTTGCCATATCATTGATGTGCTCTGTGCAATCCCCGCGCTGGTGGCTAGCTGCAGCGTCTTTGCTGCCCATGCAACGTGCGACCAGCATTCTCTATCATATAGCGTGGTTTTCTTCCCAACCTCCTTACTCTGCAGGACGTGATCTAACAGCTCCTTCTCATATTCCGCTTTCATCTTTTCCACTATCTTGACTGGTGGCCAACGTACTTCAAATGCTGCAACAAATAGCGGCCACGTAGCCTTGTCTGTGGATGGGAGGGCTTTGAACCATACTTCAGCTTGGGAACTGGTGCCTAGGTAATCTCTGAATGCGTCTAGCTTGTCGCCGCTTACGGTTATGGACTGCTGCCTCATTGCCTGGTTGAACGATTTCAGAAAGTCTGCCGGGTTCTCCGATGCACGGCCATCACCGTGAAAAATCTGCGGTGTTTCTGTGGGCATGTTGATATTGGTTTGTGCGACTGTGAAGAGCTTGGCTAAGTCATAATCCGGGATTGCAGAGATGGGTTCAGACGGTTTGATTTTCCCGTGGCTTGGTTGGAAGTTGAGCTGGGGTAGATGAAGGTCTAGTTCTGGGACGTCTAACTCAAAGGCTGGTATGTTGTTCTGGTCGTCGTCTTCGAGACTGCTAAGTGGCAAGCTTTCTGAACGATACGGTGTGTTATGCGAGGATGGGTCAGGTGTGTCGAGTGGGGATGAGGTTGTGGATGAATCTGTAAACCAATCTGACCAGTTGGTTTTTGAGCAAACATTGGTTACTGCGAGTCCTGTTGGGGCTCTGGGTCTTAAACTGCTAGCCATCAGCGTTCCAATGGAAGTCCACGTAAATAGATAGACTGTAGTACAGCCCTTTTTTAATATTTGCAGGTGTTTTCTGAACACCTGCCGTCTAGCTTGGCCTTTTGGGCGTAACGCGACGTAATAAAGCTGTCTTTTACTTCGTTGGCTTCCGAAGTGGGCTGTTGTGTTTCTGACTCGAAGGTTCTCCTTTGTTCCAATTGGTTGGTTGAGGACCGAAACTGCGGCTAAGACTGCGGGCTAGGACTAATGGCTAAGGCAAGTGTGGGTTTAGGTTGAATTCGCTCTGTTCACCACGATGGACAGGGTGGCTGGACTCGAACCGAGAGCTGCACAGGTGCTGAGCAGGATGGACGAACCCGGACCAAGAATCAGAGAAAGGCTCGACTCGGAGCGAGAGTGTGTGTGCCACTGACAAAGACAACCTATGCTACCGACTAGACAACCTATGCTACCCTGCTGACCAAGCTTCGGAATGGGCCGCTGGGCTCTCCTATGCTATGCTATGCTCGTGGGACCCCTACTCCAACGTGAGTATCCTGAATGCATGCAATACGATTAATTACAGTGGATGCTTCCTAGAAGTCCTACTAGCGGTGAACTGTAACGTCCCTGAACCTTGATGCAAATTTGAGGATGCTTTCAGTACAGTTGTCGGTTGTTATACTTAGCCCATGTAGCGAGTCTTTCGTACCAATCGGTCTACGAATATATATGCTCCTCGCAAGCGGATATAACATCACTTCGCGGGAGCTTGTATTGCAATGGCCACTGATGCGCATCCTCGAGGAAGTGGTGGACGCTCGACACTTACATGTCCAGCTCCCATGCATAACCTATCGATCCAACTTATCGGTCGCGACCATCTTGTTGTGAGTCTGCACAGAAAGACAAGTATCCAGCGTACTAACAGCATTTGGTGGTGTGATGTAGTCCAGTCCATTATCACACGAGAATTGATTATCGGGGTGAGGCTTTTCATTTTGTATACTTACCTCGACGTGGGCATGGACAAATGAACAAATGAATCGTGGTGAGCTTGGCTTCACCTGCTTGACCATTTATTGAACTCTGCCATGCTCAATCTCATCAACCATAATCGCAGATGGATCTGAAAACCTAGTTCACTCGGGGTATCAATCTCTTGGAAGGTAGCGTGATGATAAATGCTCTCCCGGCACGAGGTGTGAGATTTTTGAAATGATCCATACAACTACAGTACCTCTAGTGTCCTGATGTCTATCAAGTGGCTAATAGAAGCCATGTCTTTAACCTGTGCAATGATGTCATAATCTGTGGCGATCCTCTTGAATTCTCCGTCGCGCTGCCGCGCTAGCAAAAACGCACTAAAAGGCTGTCCAATGCGAACTACCAAACGTAATGCTCGTGAATGAGAATTCGAATAAACCGGGTCGTTTTCTGCAGCGCGTGAATCGTGTAATGGAGATGACATGGTCCAATCTGCCACGCTCTGCATATCGTCTGCAGGGTCATGCAACTCAAGAAGGTCGCGACTCCATGGACGGACAAGCAAGATCGTCTGCCAGGCGGGCGGTGGCCTTATAGGTGAGAACGGGGTGAACTTGTCTTCCGTGGTGATCTGCAGGTCATGAAGCCCGTCTGACTTGACTGCATACACATGGTCCTGGCCTCGACCGGGCCTCAGCCAGGCTTCTGTGACCGGGAATACGATGCAAGGCAAATGCAACCGGTGGTCCTCAAAACGAGCAGCACGCGTGCGATCGAGCTGGTCATAAAGTCTCGAAGCCAAATCCACAGCCACGGGATTTTTTCGCAGCGAAGACACCGCTGTCTGAATCTCATCTTCAGACAAAGATTGTAGGGCGGATGGCGGGGCTGCATATGAGATGACGTCGGCAGGAAGACAACTATTGAACTCTGATGATTCTCCGACCCAGTCCAGAGCGGTAATATCGCCCGACTGAGTTACGATTTTCTGCAGGAGCCGCCCGAGTGCGTTCTGCTTCTTCTCGCCATAATCAACATGTAGGCGGATGCCAAATATGCCGAATAACGAGTATGCGACGTCTTCTTGCAATGTGGTAATACGTCTCGACGCCCACTGAAGTTTCTCCCGGGCGCCTCTCATCCCGGGACGGAAGTTCACAACGGCTTGTCGATCTATGCCTGTCGCAAACTCCAACTCCTGCATGATCACGACGGAATATTTGTGGTTGGAAGTGCGATCATTGAGATAAGGAGTCCAATCGTTCTGATAAAATATAATGATGTTGGGAGCGAGGAATTCTTGGACCGTCCACCCGCGTGTGTTCCAAGCGCTGTTCGCCAGTGCGCCAGACTTTGACGAGGGTGGAACATCCGAGAGGTACGCGATCGTGAGCGCGGAGTGATGATACCAGACGAACATGGACTTGACCGATGCTTGAAGCTCAGCATCGTTGCTCTTGTCGATGCAGCATGTATCGCTCCATGCCCAGCGATACCCCAAATCACGAGCAGTTTTGCAGAAGGACTGCAACTTCGTGATGCCGCCAACCGCATCTAACTCATAGACAACCTTGCCCTGGATATCCTGCAACAGCGGCTCCTCGCCTTCCCACCTGTGCGATAGCATGACATATTGGAAGTACTTCATCACCACTTCGTTGATGTGCTTCATTCGAAAGTCTGGATGGGTGATAGTTGATGATACAAGCTCCTTGTACTCTATGCTCGATGCGAAGGTGCATATCTGCGCCTCTCGATCGCATAAGAGTCCGGTGGTGGTGTCGAATACACGCAGCGGAGCATTGTCAAGTTGAGCATCGATGACCTTTCGAATAGCACGGTCCACTTCGGATGAACTGGGATACTGCTGGCGCAATTCTGCAGGAACGGTTAAAGAATGCTGACACATGGGTTCTATGGGGCTTACTGCGTGTCTCAGTCTCTGGAGCATTATCCATCTTTGAAAGCATGATTTGGAATGCCTGTATCGCTTCATCGTAGCGTTGTGCACCATGAAGCGCTGCTTGCTTCAATTTGTATCCAATATGAGACGAAGGGTTGAGTTGGATGACCTATGTATCACCACAATGACTATAGGTTAAGAAACAATAAATGCCATCGCACCTTCTGCGCATCAATAAGTGCTTCCGTCCATAGCATTTTCCCCAACTTTGCCTTGGTACGATTTGCAAAAATGACATCGGATGTAGAATCCAGGTCGATCGCCGCCGAGTATAAGTCAATAGCCCTGTCAAAATCGCTTGCAGCGAGGGCAGTATCTCCGTTGGTAAGAAAGAGCGCGGTGCACTTTTCCGTGAAAGCTGAGTGAAATGGGGGTGAGGATTGTAGCCTGCGCGACATTACGAACTCTAGACTTGCCGGTGGACCATTCAAAGCAGCTGCCCTTCGTTTTTTCGTCAATATTGTCCATCATGTATCGGTATGATTTCATTGCATCTTGCAGTTTACCTCCCCGAAGGAGTGCATCACACCGTGCCTGATGTGCCTTTTGCCATAAGAACTCCAGGTCACAGCCAAAGAGCTGGACAAGACACTCAGTTTATGAAAAGCATTATGTATACATCATCTTAACGCACCACGACCAAGTCCTCGTATATTTCATGGACGAATTTGATGAGAAAGCGCCGGAGTTGATAGCGTCATTGAAGTGGTCGGCGGCTTCGTCATGACGCGCGCCATCCAAGGCTTTGAGTCCGAGTTGAACACGTATATATGCCTAATGTGCAAGTTACAAAGAATCTTAGTGTTGATGACCTAGCGTGGCTGCATTATACTTACTTCCACAATATGACATGTACGAGTATCGGGATTCGGACAATCAGCAGCGAGTTCTTTGAGGAGCAGGTTTGCTTCATCATGTTGATCTGCATTGGAGAGGGCGATGACCTGAAATACGTGATGAGGCGGAGTGTATGCGAGACAGTTGTGACATACCTTGATCAAGAGCAGGAGATGAATGGTTTTTGAATCTTGGCCCGTGTACATGGATGCAACATCAAATGCTGCCCTCGCATTCAGGATGCAGCCTTTTCCGCAGAGGGCAATGCCCTTGGAGATATAGCCTGTCAATGAGGGCTGAATGCTGATGGACTATATCACCATCGAGTTAGCCTTTCGTAAGGGGGCCATGATCAGTGTGTATATCTCACCTTGATTGCATCCTGAAGGGCGTGGTCCCAATTGTGTTTTCGCGCCATAACGATTGAGCGTTGGGCGTAGGAAGTGTGGTTGTTCGCATCGGTATTGATATCTTGGGTGAGTAGTTCTTCGGCGGTAGATAAGTCTCCATCTATGCATGCATCGCGGGCTGTCGTGATGGTGATGATCTGCACCAAACATGCTCGATTTGTGGAATATGATGCAAGGACGGAAACGTGCCTTTGAATTAATGTCGTTGGGAACTGCCCACTCCGAGACCATCTTATCATCACCTCCGCTGCCAGTGAGGATGTGTTTGCCGTCCACGGAGAAAGTGACGCATCTCGTTGAGGATGAGTGCTCGAAGATAGCAACAGTTCGTCGATCTGAGAGCTGCCAGAGACGGACATAGTTGTCACCTGATGCGGATGCGACGAGTGTATCAGTAGGATGAATGGCGATGGCATAGATATAGCTAGCGTGGCCCGTCCAGGGATCACCGACCTGCTCCCAGGATGTTGTATTCCATTCGCGTATGGTAGGATCGGAAACATCGCCGCCTGTGAGAAGGCGTGTGCCATCGAGCGTCCACGCGAGTGACATGTTGTGTTTTGAGTGATATAAGGATGCGACGCGTTTCCTGGTACCTGGATTATAAATTTGAATATTACCGAATGCTGCGATGGCAAGAAGTTTTCCAGACGGCGAATACCGTACGCAGTAGACAACACCATCACAATCAATTGGATTTCCTTGCTGCTCCCAGGTTTTGGTGTTCCACAGCTTCGTCATGTGGTCCGCATATGCACCAGTGGCCAGCACTGTTCCATCAGGAGAAAAATCTAGTGAGGTGATCCAAAGGGAGTGGGCTTGAATAGGTTGGGTGAGCGATTCACCAGCTTCTCCGCGCCAGATGATGAGCTGTCCGTTATATTCACCGCTTGCTATCAATTGCCCATCTCGTGATACCGCCAATCCCGGCACCCTGCTGCTATGCCCCCTCATCTCCTTCAACATAACACCTGTCTCCAAGTCCCACAGACGAAGGGTCTTGTCACACGAGGTTGTAACCATCTGCCGTTTATCGGGGAAAACTGCGACTGCCTCTGCGCCTTCTTCGTGGCCTTCGGACTTTCGCAGGGGTATAGTGATTGGAATGAGCTTCGACATTTTACTTGAGGTCGATGGTGTTGGGCATGGACTTTGGAGGAATTCTAGGCGTCTTTTTTTAAGCTGCAGAGGTCCGTGTTTCGTGGGTTTCATGCTGCTTCACTGCGTCAACCAACCTCGATTCCATAGACGCCTAGTACACCTTGGAGGCTCTTCGCTCCCACGCCGTTATCGCAAGGCTGTACCCCTCGGCTCTATACCCTCCCAGCGCCTCTGCAGTGCATACATGCGACCTAGTGCTGCCGAGGTTCGGTTCCGTCCGGTTTTTTCAAGATAACTGAGGACCGAGAACAAAACCTCGGCCAAGTTCACACAGATAGGGTGGACTCTGGGCCGGACCACTTTGAACGGGTTCACAATGGTCAGGTTCGGGTTCGGACCAGTTCGAACCGCCGAATGCAACATAATTAAGTAAGAGTCCCGTCAGCATGAAAATGTGCGAAATAAGAATGAGGTATGTACCAAGGCAGATGAAGTAGACATCTGTGTCGTTTGTCTTTCGATACCGCTTACAAAGATTATCGAGGCCGGACATGATAGACGCCGAAAGGCTGTCAAAAGTATACTTGCTGCCTTCCGTCACTGGCAATAGCAAAGCTACCGCACCGTCGGAGCTAACAACACTAGATATGCTCTTGAGTGTGCTCTCAGCGCTGATGCAGTCCAAAAAAATTCGAAGATTTTTGCCTACTGCGAGTAGGATCTTCTCGGGCATGTCGTCAGCGCTGTAGTCTATGACATGGGCGGCACCAAGAGACTTGAGGTAGGAATGGTGACGATGGGACGCGGTTGCAATGTCCCGCTTGTACCCAGCAAGGGCCAATAGTTGAACAGCGTATTGACCAGATGTAGCTCCCGCACCATAAACAAGGATAGGAGTTTCTGCATGGGGAGGTGGTACAGATATTGGGAATGTGGGCGGAGCAAGTCCCAAACAATCGAACAGCGTGTAAAATGCAGTTATGAAGTTGTCTGGAATTGTTGCAGCTGCTTCGAGCGATTAATCATTGGGGAGCTGCAAGTCTTTGATTGTGTCGGTGATGATTGCGCCGGCGAACTTACTGGTGTGTTGACAGTGAGCATCTTTCGAACCTGAGGATCATATCAGTTGATTCTCATGAGTCGCAGAACAGAAGGAACAACAGTTAACAAACTTATGGGTTCGGACTGGTTCAGACTCGTCCAAACGGGTCCGAGAGCCATCCGAGACTGCCCGAACGATAAACCTAGGTAGGGTTTGGTCCTGCATTGTGTGTCGGACCACTAACCGAACGGTGGTCACGTTCGCAAAAGTTCAGGTTCAAACCCAGGTTCGGGACTGAACGTTAAAAAGCTACGGTATTCCATCGCATCCAATCGAGTAGTCGGTGCTTCCCTGCGCCCGAATCTGACTATTTAACCTCCATGAGTGCATGAATACTATTGTTTTTCGTGTCGAGCAGCTACTCCAGCACATCAGCATGTCACTCCTTCAAACGCATCGATATAGCTTACTGCAATATGACCACTTCATCCTGCCGATTCCCAAGACCTGCTTGTGCACCGGATGCAGCCGAAGTTCTTGGGTCGTTCAGCAGTGGCTCAAACTTAAAGCTTTCAACATTGACGGCCGTCTCCATGTTTACAGCTTGCGGGGTAAATTTCTATGGACTTCAACCTTAGGCCATGTAGCGTGAGTGAGCGTCTGATCCCATTCTACTTTGACGGTCTGTACACCGGTTCCGCAATGGGTAGTATGTTTTGACTGATAGCATCGTTGGCAGAAACTGGGATCACGGATCATGCCATGATAAGCGGTTTAATTTGTGCTTGTGTTCCAATATCTAGTTCTATTCCTGAGCTCACGTCCGTGTTCTCAGGTTATTCGTCACAACTGCGAAGTCAGACCGGAGAATCGCTTCAAGCTCACTCGTACGGTTGTGATCGCGCTAGGTTTTGACGAGGAAATAAGTGCATTGCAGGTAATTTTCTAAAATCTCTGCATAGCTAAACGTTTGAAGGGTGCGTCTTCCTCAAGATACCAGAATGATAGAGAAAATGGCTTGACCTTGCTTGTCGACTCCTCGCCATTACCACCCGCATCCAAACAACTAGGAACAATATCACGCCTCTCTCGTCCTCTTACTTCCAACCCCAGCCCCTGAATCTCCCCATATCGAGAGTCTGGACGAGTGCCTCCACAACGGTTACATCTAACCCAGGACAGAGGTCACGAAGATCACGAAACAACACAAGGCGCATCTTAGCATCCACCACAGCTGTACGGGGCCACACATCAGCCAATTCACGGAAAGCACTGATAGTGTGGATGACTGATGCATCTTCCAGCTCTAATGAGTCCTGCTCAGCTGTGGGCGCTAATACTGATGGATGATGTGACTGCAGGCTGGTTTGTGTTATGTTTCACTTTGGGTTAGGAGATGGTGAGGAAGAATGGGACCGAGAGCTACAGCTTGAAGCCATATAGTAGGTATATGCGTTGAACGTAATGATGCGCTGAGCCATTGCTTAATCTCGACTTCACATTACTTTCCGTGGTCGATGGATAATAAGACTGAGGGGTGCTCTAGAGAGAAAGAAGAGTAGCGAGCGCGGGAGGTGATGTTCGTTAGAAATATCCGTATAGTATGCCGGGAGAGAGATAACAAAATCAGCGATGTGCCAGGCAACTTGCAAGAGATATCACTTGCCTCGCTCTCATCCCAAACCACTGTTCCATACCGCCTTTCGTCGTCAAACTGAGCAGAGGTGCGGGGGTGCACACAAAAGTGAATAATTCTTAGTTGACGCGTAAATTGGTAGGGTGAGCTGAACGCAAACAAAGGAATGACCAGAGCATGCATATAGGAACATATGGTAGATGTATGGCTGCCTAAGTGGCCAGCATTAATATTGTTCGCATCAGGAGAAAGGTGTAAGGAGTAGACATGTCACATAACCGGTGTGGGCTTTGATTAATTTGATTTGTGACACTAGTGAGCTCGCGATCAGTGCTGGCCCATCACGTGATATATCATTGATATATTACATTATAATACATAAATACTTCGATTCGGAAGCGCAAGCTTGTTGGCTTTTTGCTATCATGTTCGTTTTTTATGTAACCACATGTACAACAACCATTCTGTGACTCTGATCTGCAGACACTTCGTTTTAGCCATGCCAATATGGCTGTCGGCGCACAGCCTAAAGAAGCTGTATGAACGCCTCCATAATGATATGTTACTGACCCCACAACATGAAAATCTGCACACAGTGCATCCTTTATTAAGTGAGCAGCCACGGGCTTTCAGAATTTTCCAACTAAACTTTCGCACACCTGCCACACCGTGACAGTTGCGTGCGCAGATTCTCCTGTGTCCACTGTTTCCCCCTCTGGAGCCATCGTTCGTTCCGTAGCACTAGCGCTCTCAGCACGCTCCAAGAATACTAGCCAAAGCAGACGTACATTCGATGGAAATTGGCGTCCTGAGGGATTACCAAAAGCACCAAGCACGCGTCGCAAGAGCCCAACTGCCGCAGTACATTACGAGACGATAAGCCCGGCGCCGAGCTCTAGTTAATATCGGTCATGAAACATGCTGTAAGTATATCGCCTAGGCCTTTCGGAGCCAAGGCACCAACAGGTGCTCTATCGGATGTAAGATGGGTTTATGATGCGGAGCTCAATAGATAGAGTGATTTGCTGTGATTAAGCGCCTAACTTGAAAAAAAATCCAGGTCCAAAACAAGTGCGACAAGACGCATTGCCGTCTTTTGACACCCTACACACTGTTACCTTCCCCGACCTTCTTGTCTAACCTTACAGTGTCGCAATGGAGGAAGGATCTGAGCTCCAAGAGCGCAGACAATCAAATAAAGCCACTGAGCCTCGCGTGGAACTTCAAGTCGATTCAAGTGGCCCGGGGAGTCTTCCACTCACGAACTTGAATGTTCCTTCCATGGATGATTTTGTGGTACGGAAACTCAAGCAACGACATGTACAGATGTAAGTCCGTGACAGATGTGCCAGCTTTCCTACTTATTTTGTTGGCCTTCATTCGTCTCTCATCATAGGATTGCTGCAAGTCCCTGGATGTCTTTCCTTTGAACGTCTTTGACTATTTTCCTAAGATTGCTGGTACTTTCGGTACGGGACTATTTCTAGGCACAGGGGGAGCCATCCGCACAGCTGGGCCACTTGGTGCCTTGATTGCATTTGCCCTTGTTGGTTCTGTAGCGTATTCGTAAGTTCAGTAGCGATTTTTGCGGGATCCACCTTGATTCGGCCAGGTCATTATGTTCACTCGGGGAGATGACCTCCCTAGCCCCGATATCAGGATCATTTCCCCACTTCGGTTTGTACTTCTCCTTGTGAGACTGGAATGATGACAACTTGCTGTCACGCAGCCTCCCGTTGGGTCGATCCCGCATTGGGATTTGCAGTGAGTGACCTACTTAAGTACTTGCCTCTGACTGACCTTTCATATTCTCTAGGTTGGTTGGGTGCATCTTTATCTTCTCGCCATGTTCGAACATAGCTAATCAAGTGTCACTCGTCAGAATTATTTTATCGTAAGGTTTCATTCTGTGTCCATCGAAAATGTGCCTAGATCATGATTGCTTCTTTATAAGGCCAATTTGTAGGCGCATACAGTTTATCGTAGCCATTCAGTGATTCAGATCGGTATTTTCAGGCTCACTGTCCCTGTGGAAATATCCGGAGCACAAATACTGATCTCTATGTGGGATGTAAGTTTCCTAAACTACATTTGATGTTCCAGTTCTGTCCTAAAGATCGGAATCTTATCTAGTCAAATCACGTTGCAGTTTATACTGTAGTGATCTGTATCTCAATATGCGCCACCAATATATTTGGTGTAATGTGAGTCGTTGAAGCTGGTTGTACCACATGTATCCATTCCTAAATTTTAGATACTTCGGAGAAGGTTGGTCCGTTATGCTTGTCAATTTATATGCTAAAGGATGGACAGCCGAATTTGCTTTTTCCATTTTAAAGTGTAAGTTAGCCTTCTGCCAATATTTGTACAGCAAACTGAGCGTATTTATCAGTGGTGCTGATCACTGGTCTTATCATTGTTGGCCTCGTCATTGACCTTGGGGGAGCACCGAATCACCAGCGACTTGGTTTTCAAGTACGTGTCAGTTTATCAGCAGACTAGTGGGCTAATTATCCAAAGTACTGGAAAAATCCGGGTGTCTTTGCTGGACCTGGACTTGAACCTCGGTATCCTGCACTTGATAAGTTCCTCGGAATATTGAGTGTCATTACTCAAGCCGCATTTGCTTACCAAGGAATGGAGTTAGTGGCTATGTAAGTCGTATCTCATTCTGGGCCAATATATATTCACTGACAATGCGATAGTGCGGCATCTGAAACGGAGAACCCACGGAGGAATATTGCCAGAGCTATTCGCAGAGTTTTCTACCGAATCCCCATCTTCTACGTTGAGCATAATGGTATCTTACGATGAATAGCCTCTTACAGCTCAGTAGATTCTGGGCGTTTTCATTGCAGGGCTCATTGTACCTTCAAATAACAAGGACCTGTTGACGGGGTTTGGTTTCTCTGCTCAGTCGCCGTTTGTGATTGCGATGCAGATTTCAGGAATAAGAGGTGTGTACTCAAGGTTTTCCGTAAAGTTATGTCTCATTTTCCCCTGCCATGTAGTGTTACCCTCTGTGGTAAATGCAGGCCTCATAGCCAGCGCATTCTCCGCGGGCAACTCGTTCCTTTTTTGCTCTTCGCGCACCCTCTATGGTTTAGCACTTCGTGGGCAAGCACCCCGGTTCCTCACTAGATGTACGAGAAAGGGCGTGCCTATTGTGGCAGTGCTATGTTCGGTATGAATGAACGCTCGTTTAGTCCTACATAAGTACCACGGACGCTGATGTGGGGTCAACAGAGTGCCTTCGCTTTTTTGTCTCTGATGAATATATCATCAGGTGCAGAAACTGTGTTCAAGTGAATTTCAGTCATCTTGTGTTCACAACTTGGCTCACATCGTGTCTTAGCTGGCTCCAGCATCTCAGTGTCATGGGTGGTTTTTTAGGCTGGCTTTCGATTAATATAACTTACATTTTTTTCTGTGAGTACCGGGCGTATCTATGGATCATCGATGAACTAATGAATTGTGTAGATCGCGGACTGCAATACCAAGGCATCGACCGACGGAAACTCTTTTACTGGAATCCCCTACAAGTCAGGCAGGATCACCAAAACGCATAAAACAACCACTGATCTAAATCTGTAGCCGTGGCTATCCGTCTGGGGCCTGATCTGGTGTGTACTATTTATTCTAATAAATGGGTACAACGTGTTTTGGGATTTTAGTGCCTCTGGCTTCTTGACGTCATGTAGGCCCGTCCTTCTCTACCAGGATGACGTCTGACCAATTATCGCAGATCTGACTATCCCGCTATTCATTGGATTATTTCTCTTCTGGAAGATTACGCGAAGCACGGCGATTTGGAACCCGGGTGAGATGGACTTCACTACGGTGCGCATTTGATACGTCAGATTACCTGGGACTCAAACTCACCTGCAATTAATCAGTGTATTCCCAGCATTGAAGAAACCGAAGGTCCTCAGTACCCTCCGAATGGTTTCTGGCAACACGTTGCTGCGGTGCTTTTTTGACCGGAGTTACTATGTCTGCTGAACATGTAGACTACGTGGACACTTGGGAAACATCATGTATGTAAGGATTACCAATCGTCTGACGCCGGAAACTGCTGATTTAACGCTTACCTTGACCACCATCAGCGCACTGACCTCGACTCCCTGTCAGCACCTATCTCTCGTCATTGTCAACCCTCAGTTCTCAATCCTCGTCATCATCACCCTATTCTCAGTTCGCCGTGTCCGAATCTGTCAAAACCACTATGCAACTCTCGTCATTCTGTCAATAACATACCCGTTTATATCATTCACTCAATCGTTTCGTATCCTCTTCCCTTTCAGTCTACTCTACCCTGTCAGGCGCGACGCCACTCCCTTCAGCGTCCGTCATCACATAATCGATTCGGCATAGCTATACCCGACCCTTAACGTTTCGCTGTATAAAAGTAGCCCATGTACACTCCTTACTTCAGGCAAATATACCAGTCTCCCAGTCTCATTCTCTCACTCGTCTTCTAAACCGCATCGCTATCTCTATCGGCTATTCATTTCAGACTCGTCTCGATCCGTATCGCATAACCTGTGTTGAAAGCTAATCTAATTTTACAGCGCATATGCAGCGCACTAGTGGTCTCCACGCCCCTTCGAACTCGCAGCGAGAGCCACTCAGGTTCTTATATGTAATCTAATGATTTGGAAACTACAATAAAACCATAACCCTTCTGTACTGACATGGTTCGAGTTCAACAGGTCACACTGCTATGTTGATAGTCACTTTGGTCATCCCATTTCAGGTGCCTCTTAGGTTGTACAATACCTATAAAGGATTTTCACCTAGGGGGCACCTTTTACATGGTGTTGTTGAAAGTGAGAACGCGAAGAGACACTATCTATTTGCAGAGACGACGCTGATATTGTATTTCCTGAGTTGCTACTGTAAACACGATATCATATTATCGTAGAGCCGACCGAAGGGGAGTCCTTGTATATAGTAATGCCGCATCTACTTGCTGACGAGTCACTCAATATTGTTCTAGTCTCCCCTAGTCAGACCAAAAGAGAAGGAAGAGGTACTTAGTGCGGATCCAGGCACATTGGGTGTGGGCTAATGCCGCCCGCATAACCGTTACACCAAAAGGTGAAATACTGAAAGCTTAGCTTTCAGCATCAGCGACAGAATATGTACTGATTGTGAGAACTCAGGTAAGCCGGCGTGCTTACACCCTCCCACGTTATCGTCCCCCCACCAGTCCTGCTCCCAATCGCGAGTTAGCATTATTCCACAGGTTCCACAGAAACAAATGATTCCCTGTGCAAACTCCAAGAATCATATTGTACAACTCCTGAGTGTAACATATAAATTACAACGCATGTTAAGTATTATCCCCGCGTATTTCCGCGGTTTCACCATCATGAGCTTATTAGTGCATCTTGTTCAATAAGCCCAAGGGCAGTCGCAGAGCGAGGCTTGATAGAACACTTGAAAGGTTTGGGGTGGCTTGGAGTGTGTCAATCCAGACCAGCGCCAGACGTGACAAGATACGCGACATACCTGATACCACCTGGTAAGGGTTCAACCTCGGGGGTGATCTCGACACCATTCTCGATAACCTTGGAAATATCAAACACGGCCAGTGACATCGCAGCGGATATCCAAATGGAGGCTTCAGCAAGGTAAAGACCTGTACATCAAAAGCAAGCAAACGTCAGAATACTGTCAGTTAATTGATGCGAGTTGGACACACCTGGGCATATACTGCGGAGCAGAAAATTAGCATTCCGATCAGATTCAAAACCAAATTTATGCTTACCGTCTACCAAAGCCAAAGCAAATTGTGCGAGGCTCCGTCTCAGGTTCCTTTCCATCCTTAGTCAAGAAGCGTTCAGGATTGAACTGCGAGGGGTTAGCATATGTTTGTGGATCGTTGAGCATGAACCTGTCGCGATCAAGAGCATTACATTCTGTCCATCAACCGAAGGGGAGCACCAACGAAATGTTAGGCATTACTAAGGAGCCTTTTGGGATATAGTACCCGTCATGGATATCGTCCTTGGTCACACAGTGTGCACCTGTCATTGAAATACCCGTTGGCGAATAAATAGTGTCATGAACAAGATCCACATACCGGTGGGAACGATAACGTTCCAACGCAGGACTTCTTTGACAAGCGCCTCAGTATAGGGGAGGTAGTCGCGGTCGGCGAAGGAGGGAAGACGATCAGGACCGACAACTGCATCTATTTCAGCCTGAGCTTTCTTCTGCACATCAGGGAAAAGTGTCATAGCTAGAAAAAGCGAGTATATTGCAGAAACAGTCTGAGGAAATAGGCGCAGTACTTTCAGAAGATAATGAATAGAAACATAAATATGTAGGGACCAACCGTGTCAGAACCGCCGGCGTATAGGGAAAAGCAGACCATTTCACAGTGTGGTCCTCTTCCGCAGACATATCACTGTCTTCTAAGAGATTCGAGGTAAAAGACATGGGGGCGATGCCAGCAACCTGTAAAATTTGAGCTTCAATGCATGATCACAAAACTGCAAATTAGTCACCATCTGGTCCTTGACGAATTCGTGGGGTGCAGAAACCATCTCTTCGAGGGTGCCGCGCCATTCACGTGCTATGCGCTTGAAGCCAGCACCGGGGAACCACGCGGGGACCTTTGCCACTAAAATTTTCAGGTCATCGGAAGCCAACCCAAACGTCAGAATAATATAGCTCACAGAATGGTAAAATATCAACCATAAAATTACCGAACTGACCCTGCGAGAACTGGGATATAGCGCGGTCTGCAAGGTCAACGAAGGGATCATCATTCTCTTTCACTTCATAACCATGAGAGATGCGCAGAATGATAGCGCCAGCAGTGCTATAGTGAAAATTCAAGATAACGTCATTGCGAGGATAAATAATACATACTGTCGGATATGCTCCTGCAGTCGATCGGGTTTCGCAAGCACACGCTTCAGGAATCGAAGAGTCTCGACCTCCTCGGTCTCGTTGTATACGTCCACTGCGGCGCGACTGCCGATGACACGCTGTATGTTCTTGCGTTGCCGGCGAAGACGGTCACCATAAGAGAGGAAAAACAAAGAGTCCTTCCAACCAACAAGTTCACCAACCATAGGAAGAACAGGACGATCAGAGTACAAGATGCTTTTTCTGTCCATCATTTCCATTGCAGTCTTGACAGAGTTCAGCAAAATGATGTGCCAACCCAGAACCTCGACATGCGTGATATCACCTGCAGGAAGACTTTTGAAAATGCATGATATTGGAAAAAGGGAGGCACTCACCATATTTCTGACCCCACTTAGTAAATGTGAGCCAGGGTTTGACGCGAGGCATATCTAAAACATTGCCAATGAGAGGCCACCCCCGGGGACCAGGTGGATATGGTGCAGGATTCTTCTTGATGACCACCTGCTTTACCAGATAGACTCCAACACCGGTAAGGCATAGTAGGTCCAGCCAGGTAACGTTGGTGATTGTCAACATTGTCTACTACTAGCAGAGGATGAGCAACTCAAGAAAGGGGATGTGGAGCAAATTGATCAGATAAGAGGATATCTCGTATTTATATAACACATTGAAAGGTCGGTCACCGCCAGGGCCTGTCCCAACTAACCAAAATCAGTCTGTGCATTGACATTTGATTGAAGGCTGTCCGAGTCTGATACGGTGACTACCTCGGAGTTTGGACCCTTTCTCGGTTCCTTCGAACGACTGAGCAAACAAAGTCCAGACACCTTACATAATTATATAATGAAAAGACCCCAGATTCTGCTTTAATATTCAAGTTAAATTATTTAATATGCTATGTTGAATATTTGTGGCTTGAACGACAGGTGTTATAAGTATACTAGTACTGTTTGGCGATATATCGAGTTTAATCTGGTTTACACCAGGGTAATTGGACGAGCGCTCCATAGCAGGCTCGTTTCCCCGGGTCTTCCCGTGGTTTGCCCTTGGTATGGGACTTTCCCTTGGCCACATTCTGGCCGATGCTCTGTGCATCTTCGGCATGTCGATCGTGTCTCACTCACCTCCTTTAGTGGAGCTCTTACAGCCTATGTCTAGCGAGGCCGAGTGACATGGGGGTTTTTACCTCTTCTCACTCGTATTATTCGTCTCGCTAGGTACGCTGTTTAGTTTGTATTTTTCTCTCTCTTCTCACTCGTATTATTCGTGTCAATAGCAATTTTGCGCAATTTCTAATACATCGAACACTTGTTCTCATGTCTGAAAATGCAGGAAACTCCCATACGATTTCTTCCAACCCCTCTTCTGAATCCCAGGCAGAGTTTGATCCAGACTCTGTCACCCAGTGTACTAAGTTCATCGAGGATTTCAGAAACAGCCTCATTTCGAAGGGAGACGCCTTGCTTGAAATACAGCACGTCCTCCTTGATGCAATCAACGAATCGGAAACACTTACCCAACGAGACTTTAAACCCGGCTTTAATCACTTCCTTGAACTCCTCGACTACACGTCCAAAGAGTCTAATCCCCACCGTGATTCCTCACGAGTTGCGAATGATCCACCCAGAACGCAGTCGAAACAACCTGAGGGAGAGTCAGACAAGTCCACATCTCGGAAAGAGAGTGAGCTGCGAAGGAAATTGCACAGACGAGTACCCGAAGAAGAGGATGAGAGTGATGACTCTGGGGAAGAATACGAGAACGTTTTGCGCAGAAAGAGACGCAAACTCACTGCAGAACGAGCCGGATTCTATCCTTGGCTTGACCCAGATCAATTTAGATTCGTCTCCAGTCAGCGTGCCGAAGAGCTCACCTTGGAATGTTATGAGGAATGGTCCGAAGACACCAAATATTACCGAGGCCAGGTTACTGCAACCCCCGGATGCCCCAGCTTCCCTTTATCGCAATGGACACTCCTCCTCGAAGGGAGAGCGCCTGACCTCGAAAAAGTGTTATCAGGGCATTACTCCACATCTATTGATCCCAAGCAAACCCAAACTCTCGGCAAAGGATTCGAAATCACCCTTTCCCAGCC